ATTTATTTCCAAAATATTTTTGTGTGGTGTGTTTATAAAAGTATGTAATCATAGAGTAGAGACATTTTTGTATTCAATATTTTTAGTATAACATTATGTAAAGTTTATACACTTATACACTATAGTTACTAGTTAGGGAGGTTTGTCGTTCATTTCACAATGTATTCTTCTCATTCGATTATGAGTTAAAACTTATAATATTATAGATTTATCTAAATAACTGTTATTTAATACACGCTCTTATCGCATATTATTACCCATAATAGTATAAATTATTAATCAAGCACAATGATGTAAAACCTCGCTTTATATAAAAGCTGATCAACTAAAAAACCGTTATATTGGGTCCATTATTTAGAAAAAAATAAAATATTTAATAAGAACTGTCATTTAAACATCCTTTAGGAATTAAAGATATTATAATAAAAAGATAACATACAAATTCTTAATTATATTTTTGAAAGAATTATAGTTTGTAATAAGTGTTCATACGACATCGATCATAATTCATAATAATTTGTGAATAATACAAATCTTCAATTTTGTTTTTTGCACCCACGGATATTGACGATTACACTCTAATCATCATTTAATACTATATTTTCCACCTGTCTGATTATATATTAAAGATAAAGTCACAGTATTGTTTTTTTTTTTGCTAAGACAGTACATAGATCTCTATGTACTGTCTTAGCAGATATTATCCCCACTCGAGAGACGCTATGACCTTCTTGTATTGTCAGCACCTGTAAGATGGGCGTTTTGAGTTCAAACAATGATTATTCACAGTGTGTACAAAAATATACCAAAGTCCAAAACGGGTAATAATGTCATTCTAATATCTCATTAATTATTCTGCAGCACTACGTTCTAGAAGAAACCACACGCCATATTTTTTTTCATAATATTTCTTATATTTTACTAGCTATAACCAATAATGTGATTTAAGTTCTTAATGTTCTGTGCTGTAAATACTTAAGCAATGGAAATAAATAAAAAATGTATAAAACATTAAGATAATTAAAATTTGTACTAAGTACAGACATCAATGCAATTGTCAATTGAAAAGTAATTCCCTTTTTCTTTCAGATAAAATTAAAGATACAATGTAATAGTATAAAAATTGGAAAATAGTTAAATACAGTGTTTATCTGTGTACAGAATATTAATAAGCTTCTGCTTATTTTGTAAATAGATAATTTTTAGTAATTATAAAAGCAATATTTCTAGTAGATATTATTATAGTTTTCAAGTGAAAATTTAATATTTGTTATTGCATGTACGTCTCATACATGCCTTTCTAAATGGTTAATTTAATGATACTTATATGTTTTTATGCCTTAGACTATAACCTAATCGTATACTGATTACTATTATCTAGTAATGTACCATTTTATTAAAATATATTTTTTAAACAAATTATGCTTATCAATTGATAATTGTTATAAAATAAATAAGAATAATTATTATTCTTATGAGAAAAAAAAATTACTTTAATTTAGTTAATACAAATTTAAAATCAGTCTAGTATAGTTTGCGCGAGTAACAACAAATAACTCATGATACATTTAAAGTTACAAGAACTTTCGATATTTTCAAGCTTGTTACCGCCCAAGGTAAATGCTAAGTTTAGGTAAATAAAAAAAAAAAAAAGTTAATAAAAAATATCCAAACGTTATACATTTGTCAAAACATTTAAATGAATACGTTATATACAACTTATACATGCAACATGTAAAACTCATTTAAACACAATATCGATAAGTTTTAACTGTTTAATGTAAATTCAGAAGTTTATACGAATAAATATGGTAGAATATATGAGTCACGAGAAATAAAACGAACAAATCCTTAACGGGAAATACTAATATTTCTTTAAAGGAAAATATATAGTATCGGAACCAAGTCCTTGGCCTTCAGTTTATTTTAATAGTCGTTAATCTCTATCGTCCTCGATGTAGCGTATATCATTTTCAGTATTCATATACTTTCTCATTGGTAAAATTTTCATAATATTTAAGACTTAATGTATAATAATGAACTATTTATTAGACAAATATAATTTTTTTTTTTAATATCTTATATTTTCATGTAAAACATGTAAAATAATATATACATATTTAAAAAAAAAAAAAAAAACCAGTACAGTGGGGTCCGGGAATACTCCGGATGGTTACTCCGCCACCATTGGTGTTCCTCCCTTTTCCTCTTCCTTTTAGGATATGGTGTTCATATTAAGTTAATGTTATCAAATCCTGTTTTGCTGTTATTAATCCAAACCTAAGCCATTGCATTCGTAACTACTAATAAGATTCGGTAATTTGTTTCATTTATTAGAAAGGTTAAAAAAAGGTATTGTCCTTTTTTAGGAACCGAGCCGAGTTATACACTATAATTCGTACTTATAAGTATAACTTATATTTTGTGATTCCATATGTTTTCAATCACTATTATTTTATTGTTGAATAATTATACGCAATTTATTCTATTCCTGGACAAATCATTAAACTATTTATACTTATAAAATATGTTCAATGAAGGCATAAGAGTGACTGGTGACATATACAAGTAACAAATCCATATTAGATATTATATTTTTTACGAAACGATTTTTACTTACTCTAATCGTATACCCGTTTTAGCTTTTAGGCTAATACTTAATTTATAAGCAGCTATTATAATATTATTTTCAATCAATTTTACAAATGTGTCTCATTTATATGCAGGTTTTTAGTACATGTCTTCCTCCTCGCTGATTTCCCACGTTCAAAAAATAGAAGCTTACGTAACATTTTAAAATGAATTAGCTTTAACAGTATTAAAATGTTAATTAATGAATGATCAGAAAAAAAATTATATTATTATAGCTATGTTAAAAAAACTTAATCCATTAGAATTTGTTTTTATAAAATTTATACTTTATTTTATTATTTTAATTTTTTTTTGTTGTTGTTCTGTAGCAAATGCATTACCTGTAAACCAATGCCGTTATAACAAAACCATAAATGCAGACTAAGCAATATTCGCCCTTCACTATCGTGAGTTAACCAATACTCCACATAGGGACTACCTATACATTTGATAATATGTAACTGGGATAGATTGTACAAATCGTTTCATGGAATATACATTATTGTAGACATACAGAGCGATGCATTTCAACAATATACGGCAATTCTAATTTTTAAGGCACAAAGTATTATATTACTTTATGTTATATTGTATACACAATTTAAAAATATGTTTTAAAACTAAATTTTCTATATGCTAATAATAAAACTCAGATAAGTTGTCAGCTTTTGAAGTATAATACTTAATTTGTTTAATTGAAAACTTAGGTTCTTTGCTAGTTAAGTGCTACTAGCTCGCTTTTATACAGTAACAGCAAAAATATATCTATTGAAACTGAAAATAAAAAAAAAATATATTTTTAAAAATTGGCTGTATAATTTGTGTATATAATATACATAAAATAAGAAATGGTTGCAATATTATGTAGAAATTACATTATGTGCACATATTAAATGGACTAAATAGTATATTACACTGATTTTTACCACAAATATTTAAATAGGTAATAATTATTTTTTCATAATCTAGATATACTGTAGACATTTACTTTAATTTAATAAATAATAGTATAAGCTTAAAAGAATAAAAGCGAATAATATTTGTAATATGCTGCATGGATCGCCCGGTAGAAACATAAAACGTATACAACAGTATGCCTACACCATATGAGTTTACTATAAAACATTACGATTTATCAATAAAATGCGTTCTTTTATGGAAACTAGTTTTTTCCCTAAGTCGCCACTCGCAACATATGTAACTTTTAGTATTCATACTTTACACACAATTTATAGATCAAGTTTTCTATTTAGAGTATTATAATTTTCATAGCATTCATTTATACAACTAATACCCGAGTTACCAAGTACATTTTTTTAGACGATTACAGATAAAACCAAGTATTAATTTACTTATTACGTATTATGTATTATTGCATACGTGTTATTTTACATTTTTGTTTATACCTAATGGCTAATATTAAGCAAGTAAACAACATTTCAATGTTTTGTATGATTTTATATTATTTAAAAATTACTGAAAAAAGTAAATTAAAGTCTTTTTAATATACAACATTATGTAAAAATACTTAACGCAATTATATATAATATATATAAATATAATTTTAGTATATTATAAAATGTAAAATACATTCTATTTAACCAATATTTATTAATTATTTTGCATGATCTGCCAGACTTCCAACGGTATGATTAAGTTAAATACTATTATTTGTGCTAAAGTTTAGTATGATCCCCCAATATGAAACTTAATCGATGGTAATTAATAATTATAAACTCTATTCAAAATTAATCCTATTAGTTTTTTTTTTAGCAAACGAAACATATGGTTTTAAACAATAAAATATGTTTAAAACGTTTGCTGTACACACCAATCAAAATGTTTTATTTTCTTGTCAACCTTTTTAAAATGCATACTCAACGTTGCTCTCTTATGTTTTTAACTGAAACATTTGAATTATTGAATTTCTGGATCATTATTTTCCATAAGACGGAACAAAACGTAATAAACATAAAATATGTATTCGTTCCTTTACTTGTCGTTTTTCTGGTCAGTACGGAGATTACCTGCGTGTACAAGTGCCTACCTACCTACATAGGTATACGCTAGAGGGTGACTTTTCATTTGGATGCCAAGCTGTTAGGAATGCGGTGGGATTTGTTGTTGATAAGAGAAGTATAGGCTGTAACCTCTGGTCCGTCGTAGGCCCCCGTAGGAGTTGGCGAAGGACGGCACGTAATCTGCTTCACCAACAATTCCAGACGAACACACCGGTTAGTACCCATAGTGCTTCATTGGACGACGGTTTGGCATCGCGAAATAATTCATTATTTATTTATTTGTTTTTATTGATCTCTTGTCCGCGTATCAATCTGATCCTTACAAGGCAGGTTAGATATAATATATAATGTCATTTTTTTTCTCGCTTTCTTAACAATTACATATTTTAATAAACGCTAAGTATACCTACTAGTATAAATAACGAAACCAATAATTAATATTTTTAACTGTGAACTAACCATTAACTTACGTTACATAAGAATATAAGATTATTTTCGAATCCATAACATTCATTAACTCAGGAGTCCATCAAGGTACTTATACATTTTTATCGCTGGTAATAAATTTTAATTAAATATACATTAATTATATAATTAATAATAATTAAGTATATATTATTATAACAAATATAATTATTAAATATTTATTTTCTTGAAAAGTTTTAACTTATAACTTTGTATAAATATTATTATATGCAAGCATGGAACGGTATTACCTAATTGAAATGTATGAACTTTATAAAGTTTTAAATTAATTTTAAAACTAGTATTTTATATAATATATTTTGTTGTCCTTCGAAGAAGTTTTAAACAAATTGCTGGAATGTAACAGATAAGACAAATACTTGGTGGACTGTAGAATTTACCAGATCATAACGGTTACCTATATAGCTAGGTAATGAGTTTGAATAGTGCTTAGTCGCAAAAAAACGACATCAGGTACCCGAATGAGTCATTCTATTGTCTGTAATCACTGGCAAAATCGTGTTTTTTCGACGAAGGTTTAACAACAATGAATAAATTCCGATATATTTTTTTTTTTTTACTGCTGTTATTTTATCTAAAAAAGAATAAGGAGATACAACATAGAGCACCTTACAGATATCTATTTTCCTAATATAATCATTGCAAGTCCGCTACAATCATTTACATACATACTTTTTATGTCAATATCAAGCACGTAGTTCATTATGTATTTTAATTATTTAAATAATAACAATCTGTCACTTAGTTTAACGTTTAAACAACACTATAACAAGAACAATGCATAGTCTCTTGTTGGTTATATTATGGAGCATAAAAGACCCTAACGGACTATAGTATATTTACGATCTACGATCTAAAAAAATTACAAAGTACTAAAATTATTAAACAGATCTATTTTTGTAATTGTATGATATCCTTACTAAATAGTTAATTTATGTTTAAAAAAATATATTTTCTTCTACTATATGATATAAGTAATTCTATGAATAAATGTCTCACAGCGTGCTTTCTAACCAAATGGTTTTTTCAAATAATTTTGTACGTTTATTACTTTAAAATGAATAGAATAATATAACGAAATTCGGGTTGTATATGTTGCAACTTATAAGAACCTAAAAACATACTAGCTGTTTTATATGTATAAAACAGATTGGAATTGTTATCCGTTTTGATAACAATAATATACATATATCGTAATATTCGTCATAGGGATTTCGTTATTTATTTGTTAATGCCTCTGCTGAACACTTCTTTGGGTTCATAGTCCGTCGTGTTGTCTGATGGCGGTAGAACGGTGTTCATAAATTTAAATAAAAAATGGGATATCGTTCATGGAATGCAACGGATGAATAATACAACCAGTTTTAGTCCTGCGCCACCGCTCTGCCGCCACCGCACTTAATAGTTATATTACACTAATATGCTGATCTCTTCAGTTCTCTTAAATGCTTAGCGTCTAATATATTATCACTGAAAACGGTTGAATCTCCCATTGATACTTAGTTATAGACTACAGTCATTAAGTAATGATATTCCACGGTACTAAGCTGGAACACTTAAATGTATTAAAAATGAACACAGGTGTTTCTAGTATTTTTAAATTGATAGGCAACAAAAAATAATAGGTAGTGATATATAGACTATACATTGTATTAGGTCGTATAAATAATGCAGGTTTTAAGTATCCAAGCACACATAATACAACAAAACTTAATATTTTCACATGATGCTAACCTCCTGTTTATAGGAGGGAAATAATTGCAAAAAATAAGTGCAAATAAATAAGCAAAATCAAAGTTATTATTATTATTTATATTATTTATTTATAATGTTTCCGGAGTTGATTTAAAAAAAAAAAAAATCTGGTTGAAATTTGAAACGTGTTAAGTGTTTTTATTGGTTAGCATTAAACATTAATTTTGTGGTGGCTGCCCTTCAAAAAAAATTAATACTCAATCAAGTAGTTGTAGTATAATAGTAATTAGGGAAAATAATTTCGAGGAGGTATTTGATTAATTAAAAAAAAGGGGTAAATGTAAATGTTTCGGGCGTTTTTCTCGATTTTGGAGGGGAAGGATGAACTTTTTAAATTTTTGGTCTAATTTAGTACCTTACAGGTACGAATTCTGATCTTAAGAGCTGTATGGAGAAATCGGTTCGGTGGCTTAAAAGATATGTGGGTACAGACACAAAAATATAAAAATAAATAAAAACATATCATTGTAAATACAATACTTTCTCAGCTATCGCACCGAAGCTAAAATATTTCAGAAATTGAATTTATTTATCAATTTCACCTTTTTTTTAGGGCCATGGCAAATAATAATAACTACTTTACATATTATTTGCCGCAAACAAAATTCACCAATGTCTACCTGTCTACCCCATCCGAGTGGGATGTACAAAATTTAACGAAATGCGAGTATGGGCGAACAGATAAGACATCTGACATAAATCTAACCGTTTTTTAATTCGACGCCCAATTTATCACGCGATAAATAATTTAAAAAACACAAATTCAGTAAAATTACGTATAATACCAGAGTAAAGCATAAATGGAATTGTCAAAAATAATGTGGAAATGTTTTCTATATTTTGTTTGGCTATTAATATTTTAATAATATTTGTATTTAAAAAATATAAATATTTTTTGTATTGCATCGGGTGTATAAATATTTATCATAATAGGAAGAACTTAAAATTAATTTAAACAATGATACAAATTTATATATTTTTTTAAAGCAGTATTAAATTTGTATTAAAACATTAATGCTTTTGCTTCGGTGTCATATGTCAGTGAAAAATGGGTGTCAATTGTCTGCCTACTGGGTGGCATACATGGAAGGGTGTTAAATGTTTTATAGACATTTGACACCCATGAGGTTATTTTACTGCTTGTTGCTAATGTTTGTAATTTTTGTGTGCCACAAATTTTATATTGATGTAACTCGTAGGTCATGTCACTTAGTCTAGCAATTTGCCATCTTTGATGTTTGCATTTCACTTTTAATCTATACTGACTCTTCAGAAAAACTGATTTTCTACACTCTAGTGTAGTGCAGTTTCGGTATATTAATATGAACTTATTTACTAACCTTGAATAAACATAAATATTATGAAATAACCCGAGTCGACGATTCATACTTATAAACAAACGAGTAAATAGATGCACACTTTTTTTAAATACCAACACGTTCAAACACTTTCTAGGACTTATAAAAAGTTCTTGTGGATACAATAGTGATAAATGTGCATGAACTCGGAAGAACAATAATTTCTTATGCTAGCATACCAATCAAGCGTAATCCCGGTAAGACATTATTAAGTACTTTACTCTAATAGGTTGAGCGTTTTCTGTTCTTGTAGATACAGACATTTTAGAAAATTTTTCCTGTAACTGAATGATATATATATTTGTCATAACAAATACATTTAAAATGCTTTTATAATTTGTCGTATATTTGAAGTCAAAGTGTTATGGTAATGCAACAATATTTTTTAACTATTGATACAAATCTAATAATTTTTATTTGCTAGAATTGTAATTAAGAAAAAAAAAGTCGGATTTATGAAATAGATAAACACAATACAATACACTTAAATATTTGACAAAATGTCTGTAAAATATAATATTTTAAATGCTTCTAATTTTTATAATACGCGGTAGTAGTAAATAGTATAAGTAGGTAAATTGAAATTTTAAACAAACAAGTTCTATACAAGCAAAAAAAACATCGCGAATGATGTTTAAAACGTAGACTTTGATTAAGTAAAAAGTAAAAACATCCATTTAAAAAACTTGGTAAGCATTAACTCTAATGCAGGCAACGAACAGCCATTGACGTAAATGTATTGATATTTTTTTAGCCTCTAGATCTACTTTCACTCCATACACAGATTCATTATAATACATTTGTGTAGTAACACGTCTACAAGTACATATTGTATCAAATTATTTCTGATGTCATCAAAAATATTACGTATTTATTTTTTTAGCTCTATTTGCTTACGCCACGTCAAGAGAGCATTATAAATGCACTTTTAATTTCATTTCCGGCAGAGAACCGGGGAATTTAACATTTCTTATTAAAGTACTAGTATAACATATTTTATTGAACAGCTACAGTAGTGTTGAGGACATTGAGAAGAGTCAGGTTTCTAATATTATTATTACTTGAGAAAAATACAAACAACCGTTTTCTTCGGTTGTTTCAATATTATTTCTAAAAACGAACTTTTATTGATTTCAAGTTGTTCATTTTCGGCGGTCAAGAGGCCATCTCATGACGGCAAAGTTGGGTTATCAACACCCGTTAAACAACAGGATGACGATTATGTTAAGTTTTAAATATTTTAGTTTCGTTGCTTTTTAAAATGTATTTAGTATTACTTGTCGATTAGTAATGTTCGATTTTAATTGCAAAATTAAGGACAAATGTGAACCGTGCATATTTATGTAACGTCAATTTTCTATTTTGAACAAACAATCATTAAATATGTTTAAATGTTTTATATATTTTCTTCATAATAAAAAATATAAAAATACAATTTTAAAATAATTGTAAATTTACTAAATAATAATTTGTATTCTATCCAATTTTATTTTTACATACTCGTGAACAGCTTATTACAGTAATTTAAATGTACAACCACAATAATACTCAATAACGCCTTTATCAAATATTGTAGGTGGTTATTGTCGGCGAGGTACTTTAACTAACAACAATACGTAATTATGCATAGTTTTACTGTGTTCGGTCGATTGTAAAAAATATATCTATAGTTGTAGTTTTATGGACTCGAGATTAATTAATGGCGTAAAAATAGAAATTGATACAACCCAACGGCTTTAGCCTTAAGTGTCAATAGTCATAATAGAAATTTTAATGAATAGTTAGTATGTACCAGCAACAGCCGATACAATTGAATTATGGTTTATTGTTCATTAAGGTAAGAAGGAGAGAGGATATTGTTTAATACTAGGAGTATTGACTGTATCTAGTTTAAAATTTCAAAACAAAGCTTCAACTACAGCATGATGATATACTCGTATACTATATTATGTAGGTACTGAAAAATCGGAGTTTAAAATTTGATTAATAGTATAACAACTGACGGTCGATAACATAAACTTGAACGAGAAACTTGGACAATCGAACATTATATTTTTATTATGCGTACATAATGTATAATCGATAACAGAAATTCCTATTATACACTGAACATGCATTACACTAATATGACGCATTGTGTTTGGTAAAGTTTTGTCCGCAACGTGTGTACAGGAGCATTTCATCATTTATTTAATAAACAGAGTAAATACATGTTTAAATTACATTGTTGTTTGTCACGTATTACAATCATTTATAATTATTTATAACGTACATCAGATGTGCTGTTTGCTTCTGTTTCATTATAATTATTTGTTATTAATTAAATACTCGATTATTTCTTAAGAGGATATATTTGATTAATTATACTTGATTTTCTTAAGAAAAAAGGCATATTTTAGATTTTACACGTCACGTTATTTTCAAGTTTTTCATCCGGCAAAATTGAATGTTTGAGGTCTTAGTAATTTAAAAGTTCTCCTCCAAAAAAACTATGATTGCCTAATTACCTAATTCAAATTCCTCTTACTTTCTAGTTAATTTTGAAGAATAAATTATCAAATATTACGCATAGATACTACCCAACTCCAAACTGACATGGCATATGAGTTATGTTTCATGATTAAGTACAACTTTCTCAAAACAATAATTACCATTTATAAAACCACGCATTTTTTAAAAATGATGATTTTTTAAAGCGCATATCTATTATTGTATGGTTAATATTAAGCACTAAGAACTATATTATACATTTAAATTTTGCTCGTATATAACTTAAAAAATATATTGACAGTGATTACATGAACTAGTGTCTATTTAAATCAACTAAAAATATTCGTTATTCAGATTAGTGATTATATTAGCACTTTTTCAATGGATATAATTTTATTTTTTAAGAATTTAAATCAATATGATAAATAACGTTTTATTAAGTAGGTAGGTACTAAAAAAATTTCCTCAAAATAAATATGTATGACGGTATTTCCTTCCGAAATAATAAATAACGTCTCGATTAGTAAAGACAGCGTGTGGGTTTTGACAATTTATAATTTAATATAATTTTTGTATGTTTAGACGTGTTGCGTTATGGACGGATAACTCAAATAAAAGCGTGAGAGGCGTTAACATAATATTTTCTTAAATAGGAAACTATATAAACAGGTAACCTTACCTAATAATTGAATCCCTTCGAATGATATTAAAATATTGCAATGAAGTTCAGTAAAACAAAATTATTGAGGTCTAGGTCGCCGCAACTTGTACATAATGTTCTCGACTAAAACTACTTCCTTGTATGGAAATCCTCGCGGGGCTTGCGAGCACACAATGTTCTTCGATAGTAGACTTCTCGTATATACTAGATCACACTGTAGTAGTATCCAAGGACGGATGGTCTGCTGACTTAAAAGTGCATCGATGTGGCCTAGATGGTTTTTTCTTATCGGTTGACAATTTTCGAAACTCCGATTGATTTGTTCATAATAATTACAATTTGTATAAATGTTCATTATAATACACACGAATCACTTGTGAAGTCTCTCACTTTATAACGTAATACCGTATATTATTATACCGTAGTGTCAACAAAAAAAAAAAAAGTAACAAAATATTTATATAGCCTTGGATTTGTTTTATACAGACGTGTCTGTTTTTTTTATGTTTTAATTTTGCGTAGGTTTGACATTTCTAATACCTCCGATGAAGTGCATTCAATATGTAATTCATTACTATCCCATAAAAAACATTCTCGAAAAAGCACATGCTTTTCAAACGACAGTTAACATAAAAAATTGCATTAGTAATTAAAAAGTAGTGTAGACGTTTTATATCCATTTTAGGAACTCGTTTATCCCGGCGCAAGGACTTGATATGCTTAATTATATTATTTTAGCTGTCTTAAATATTAAATGTAACTTCCTATTTATGGTGCATACGCATAATGACAATGTAAACCATTTCGAAACTCGTTTAGTTGACCAATGTGTGTAGTGTAATTTTGCAGGACCGTTTTATCATGCTACCGAAACATTGCTAACCATAAATGGAAATGTTTGTAACATTCGAACATTATTGTTTCTATTTTTTTTTTTTTTGCATCACATACAAAGAATTTTACATACGTATTATAATTTTGAATTTAAATATCTGTAACAAATGTTTATTTTTGAAATAGGGATAAACCGAGGTAATCATGGCGGCTGAAGTGGGATCGGATATTGCTCTCATTCAAGACGAAGATGTTCTTCGGAGAATGGTATATTCAATATATTAACTATAAACATTAGCAATTGTATAATTGTATGCAATTTTATTTTCAGTGGCAACAAACCGAAGACTTTGGAAAAAAAAAAGAAATCCGCATGAAGATGTACAAGCTCAGGGAACAACGGCTGAAGGAATTTTACACTACAGGGGAAATGATTCAAACGGAAACTACGTCAAAACGTTCATCGACCAGAACTCATACTGAATCTATAGCTGACCAAGGTTTTATGACAATGAAAAGCAAAGAGATTCGAGATTCCGAATCGCCTACAGACGAATACCAACGACAATCTAACGTAACTAAAAATTATCACTCGAGTTCTCAAAACGACGATTTTGGTAACAATAGAGGAATAGTTCAAGTAGAATCAACCCGATATGTACAACCAATTGAAGAGGTCACAGAAAGTTCAGTACAGACATCTATGTCTAGTTCTACTTCCTCAAAATGGGCATCTTCGCAGACAGTCATTTCCGTGTCAGAAGAAATTCAGCAAGCAGAAACTGATTTAAATTCGAAATTTATTACAAATGAACAAATCAACGTCAACGATAATCAACGATTAACACATAATACTTCAACTAATCAATTAAACAGTTCTGATACCAATAAACAATTTACTGAATCGTTTTCTGTCTCAGCCTACGATAATGCCGCACACGAAGATCAAAAACAATACCAGAATGGTTATAAAACAGTAATAGAGACAACTACTTCTGCTTCAGCGAATAATGATGTTTTCGAGCCAATAACTGAGACAATATATTCAACCAAACAAAATAATTTTGAAGACATCGAAAGTAAAAATGACTCTTTAGAAACTACCAATATATCTAACAATATAACTACAACGACCGATAATAAAATTATTAATGAATTACAAAAACTCGATTCTTACCTATCTACACATCAGTCCAAAACAGATTCATCATCTGGACTGGATTCGACACAGTATAACGAAGAAAAACAAACTGAAGAAATAGGAAAAAAAACTTTTTCAGCTGATATCTCTAAAGAAAATGTTGAAGGGCCATACACTACAACATATCAACATTCCTATCAGCAGCCGAAAATCAGTGTCGATTTAAGTCCATCGCATGATGCATTTGCCAGGAGTCTCAGATCTACTCCTGAAAGGTCTAGCCCTTCTCCGCGTAGAATAAGTCCTGAACAAAGGTTGAAATCGCGTAGTCCTGAAAAGAGTAGAATGTCTCCTGAAAAGTCACTAAGCCCCGTTAGATCATCAAAATCGGTAACTAGAAGAAAACTTTCCTCTACATACTCGAAAGATGCTTCCAAAAAACGAGTCAATACGCCAACCCGCGTTGATAAATATGATTCTTCAGATGATTCTGATTGTTCTGGTACTACACATGGGACATACGACAAATTTTCTACTTCTAACACTAAAAGAACATTACTTACTGAAAAGACGAAAACTGATTCAGCGACAAAGTCTAATCAAATATCGGTGTCTAAGACTTTTGAGTATAAAGACAAATCGCCGTCTAGAAGTCCAGTACAAAGAGAGAAATCACCATCTAAAAGCCCAGTTCCAAGAGAAAAATCGCCTTCTAAAAGTCCTATACCGAGAGAAAAATCTCCTGGTTATAGTAGTGAAGGGTCTGTAGGCAAAGAAGTACGCAAGTTAACATCAAGAGCAAAGAACAGTTCCCTCGAAAGTAGTCCCGAAAGAAGTGCGTTTAAACCAGTTAAAAATTACAAGTCTACACGAGTACAAAACACGTCGCAAGATAACAAAATAACGATTACAACTCAAAAAGAAAATGTGTACTCAGATAGTCATACTTTTAAAAATGACACCTTAGAAAGAAATAACACAAGCAAATGTTTAATATCTGATAATGTAAATAACATAAAACAATTTGATGGAAAAAACCAGTATGTAGATCATAATGTAAATGATACTGATAAACAGAAAAAAACATTCAGCAATGACAGCTTTATAACAGAAGAAAGAGAAAACTTACTATTGGAACAGCGTAGACAAACAAATCAAGAAAACCTCAAGTTTAATGATAATGAAACGTGTAGACAGTCTAAGGAATCAGAAAACAAATGCAATCAACAACAATTCGTAACAAAAGAACAAATAAACATTAGCGTTCAAGAAAACAGTAGAACAGATCATGTTGATCGAGTAAATGAAGTCATTGCCAATACAAAAGAAAAATCACCAATAAAGGAAGTCAAACCAGCTATAAAGAAAACGCCTTCAGCTTCAACTGTTAAAACTACAGAAAGGGTTTCGTTAAATAATCGAAAAACTGCATCTCGTATCAACAGTGAAAATACCAGCATTCCTTCAACTCCTAAAAAAGCGACCTCTACAGTACCTTCATCGCCTGTTAAGAAAACGCCACCGTCGTACTTAGAGAAAACGCCATCAAAAAAGAATATAACTCACAAGAATTTGAACGACACGTCCATTCACAAAACTGTCAAAAAAGACTTGTCTAGAGAAAAAGTTGATGTAAAAATTAATAAAACCGATTCTAAGAATATAATACACACAAGTTCTAAAGAAAATATTATTTTAAAAACTGTCCAAAAAAAACCCAGCCAAGAAAAGTTTATCGACCAGAAAACTACAATTTCTTTCCGTAACAAAATCAATTCACCTGATAATAAACCTAAGACAGTTGAAAGTAGAAAACCGATTGAGAAAAAGGATTCAAAAGAAAAAATGAAACTTCAATTTAGTCCTCAGTCTTCACAAAAGAAGCTCGGGGTAAAATCAACGGTCGAAGTAAAAACTATCACCGAGACAAAAAGAATTTTGGATAATCAAAGTATTAAAAAAAGCCCCACGGCAAATCCATCAAAACCAAAATCTAGTTTTTCAGCAAAACCTAGCATTAGTATAACTCCGACTAAAGAACCAAAATTTAATCCGAAAACTAATGCGGCAACGCCTACAGCTAAACCTGTTCAAAAAAAATTTACTCTATCCAACGTTTCGAATAAAAATATCGTTGAAGTTAACAAAAAAAATATAGCTGATAAATCAAAAGTCCTTGAGGATGAACTACCACCGGACAGTTTTGATAGCGACAGCGACATTGACAACTGTGCAGAGAAGACAAACGATATTAGTAAGAAAGCAGCGTCCTCGTCATCTTCGTCGTCTTCTTCTGAAGACGAGGATGACATGCAAAAAATCGAAGACCTCGACTACATTAGAAACCAAGCTGACGAAGAATACGGTAAAAAAATGACAAATAAAGACGTTCTATTGAACGTTGTCGTTCAGTTGCCACCGTCGTCTAGGGAATCGTCTCCCGAATATGCTGCGAGATTCGGGCATCCTTACAGTTCTGTTTCAGACGATGCAAGTTTACCGAGGTATGCCGATGCCGTAAGCGAACCAGAAGATGTCAACGAGTATAGGCTGTACAACAACAGGTACGACTTAGTGACAGATTTGGACGAGGAAACATCGGTGACTGTTGCAGACCGAGTGTCGAAATTTTTGAAAAGCGCCAACAAGCAAGAAGATGTAAAAACCACGGAAATACCTCAGAGTCCGCGAGCAGTGAGGAAAACTAAAGAAATATTCGAGTCGATCGCAAAAGGACAGGTCGAAGATATAAAAGAAGAAATCGATGTCGTGGAAGAACCGGAAGCCTCCGTTCAAATTCCCGAAGTGCACGATACACCGAAAACCGAGATTGAACCTACAAGTATGTCTCTGTTGACGAGGAAAATTTCAGGCGCGTCTGATTACAAAACGAGAAAAGAATTTTTCGAGAAGAAAACCATCGAGAACAAAGATAAGGGTGAAAAAACAATTCCAACTGTGCCTAAAAAAATGTCCGGGACAACGACGCTAAAGGACAGTCGCTCTTCTTTTGAATTGAAGTCCGTTAAGAAAACGCCATTAAAAGACAAGACGAATGTGCCCAAGACAACAGAATCTACACGGGGCTCACCTGACAGAGCCGCGAAAAGCCCGACAAGAAGAGATAGCACGAAGGAAACATTTGAAGTAAAAGTTGACGAAATTAACACTGGTAGGCGATATTCGGGATCAAAGTCTTTAAAAGACCGAGCAACCGTGTTTGAAAAGAATGATAACGTTCAGAAAACATCAAAATTGTCTGAAGACGGTGTTAAACGTACGACCATTGTTACGGAAACATCGGCTACGACTACTGACGGATTTAATACAAAAAGTTCAGAAAGAACAACCAGCAACACCACACAGAGGAGAACAAGCTCCGATAGGCAGAAAAGTCCGGAAAAAACTATATCCTCTAGTTCTACGAAGAAAACTATCGAAACATCAAATAAACCGAGCGATATTAAACCGGAAAGGAAAATGTCTGCCAAAAGTCCCGAAAAAACTAACTTGAAAAATACAAACGAGAGCAAAACTGGAAACCGCTACCTGCAGAATACAACATCGTCGTCGGCTAAAATTGAAGTGAAGTCTACTTTTGCGCCTCAAATAACGGCAACGACTACACAACATACACCACAACGTAAAATTGACGAAGACGTCAAAATTGAAGAAATTTTCGATTTAGAAGTTTTAGAAATAATGGTGAGAAAATATATATTATACTAATTGACATCAAAGATAAATTTTAAATATCAGTTATAATATTCGGGATATCTATATAAAAAAAAAATCAGCAAACAAATAATTATAAATATAATTAAATAATAACAATTATAGGTAAATTAAAAAATATATATACTAACATTAAATTTGGGTTTAAACTTTTTACATTTTTTAATAACATAAATATATACAATATGTACGATATAAATTACAATTAATAATTATATTATGTTTTTATAATTATAATATTCACCGTTCATGTTTAATTGTTTAAAAAATATAACAACGTTATTTAAGTATTGAACGATTTTACAGTATACTCGTTACGAAAACAAATGTAATTAAACTCGGAAACATATTTTTATTAAATAGTTTCAAGGTGTAGAATTATTATAACAAAAAAAAATGCAGTTATTAAAAACTAGTTATAATTTAGTTATAAAACTGACATTGTTAAAGATTATATTTTATGCAATTCAAATATCATTGCCCACTACATTTTACTTATTAATGTAACTTTATTATATGAGAAAATTAATTGTAACATTTGTTTTATTATAGCTCGAAAAAGCTGTAGGATATGATCGGAGACGAAGAATAAGAGCGCAAATCCGATTAGTCAAACGTCAATTGGAATCGAAAAACATAAAAGAAACCCAAACTACATCATCTACGCGTATCACAAAGGTGATCCATTGCATTTAATTTTATTCTAATGTATTATTTTTATATAACTAGATTTATGTTAAATATTTTAGAGCGTTAGAGAAGTTCCGCAGACAACAACACAGAAACAAACTAAACCAGCGCTTGAAACAACAGTGTTGACGAGAACAACTGAAACTAAGAAACAAAGAAGTCCGTCACCTCAGTACACACATGTCAATTCAGTCAACCAGTCCCGATCTCCTTCGCCTCAAAAATCAGTTGTCGAACAACCACGATCTCCATCGCCGCAAAAGTCTTCAAGGCCAGTCGAAAAAGGGCGATCTCCGTCACCAAAAAAGTCTTCCGTCAATAAACAACAAGAGACGAACAAAACTAGCAAAACTGATAATTTAACATCTAGAAGCTCTTCATATTCGACTACAACTACTACCACTACTACTAGAGGTAAGATAGCACATCGAATTGTAGTAGCAAGTAAAATATATTTACCGTAAGAATATAACTCTTGTTGATCGTTGTGCTGTGTTTAGTGCTAGTTTGTTAACAGCTGTATGACCAACAGACGCGAATGCCGAGATTTGTTCAAACTTTTAATTAGCTAATAAATAACGACGAATAATTTTTATATTATAATTTTGGATTCACGAATAATAGATAACCAGTCTTAATTAATTACTTTTTAAGTTCTTAGAGTTTAAAATATAGGATGGAAGTTGGAGTGCGATTGAGTAATACGCGCAGATAAAAAAAGTACTACAACCCACCCTTCCACCCGTTATACATTTTAAATTCTATTTACTTCAAAAGTGATGATTCAAAACTGGTTATCGACCAGTCAACATTTTCAGCAAATTATCCCTAATTTAAAAAATGAAATAAATATTATGTACATTACCGTTAAAGTTTCAGAAATCACTCCCGTAAATCTAGCTTTTGGCTGAAAAAAAATACAAAAACTTATTATTTGATAAAAGTTAATTCATAAAAAATAATTTTTTCAAAATGTTAATGTATCATCATAAAATCAGGTGTTACCTAAAAACTTTTAACACACTATATATTGTACAATTTATACTCAATGGTAACTCAAGGGAACCGTTTATTTTTATTTAAAAACATACGTTATGAGAAAAACGTTTGAATATTAGGTTTTTAACCTTCAACTTTTGAGTTCAATAAAAAAACTTTAGATCGATGTGGACTGTAAAAAGTTTTTCTCCTTCGAACCAAAAAAAAAATTATCGATATTGGACCACATTACTTGTCGTTAGAGTTTTCCTCGTAATGTAATTGTTCACCACAAAAACGGCTATTAATCATAGAAAGAATTGTTTACGTTACATTGAATACACCCTGAAGCTTATACCGTATACAAATTAACTTAAAAATAATTTTACAAGATTCTAAATGTATTAAAATCACTTTTTTCTTAAATTTTGCCTATATTTTGTCGCTTACTATAAAGAGACCTAGTTTGTTACGTTTTTTGAAAAGATATCGTATATTCTATCGAGCCTAAAGTACCTACATATGTTAGACTAAATGAGTAATTATAATATGGGAAAAAATGCACCGCCTTGGCGCCTTATACCTATTATATACATATTTATTTGGCTAGATGAGTGCACGTTACACTAAATGCCTAGACGATGTCGGTATTGTCCACAGTGTTGACCTTTACACGGGGATCATTATTCGGTAATATTAATATCAATAATGACAATAATGAATCGATCAACGATGGGTTGTCACGAAGGGGGGTGAGGAGGGGACGACTAGGCCAAGACGTCGTGAGTGCGATCAACCTGCTTAAAAATGTTAGTAGACTTCTACCTGGACCGTACGGCTATTATCTGTCGCCGCCACCATTGCCTGTGAATTGTATGGCGGGGCGCAGTGTGCTATTCACCGGCTATTATGTTATGCGTTTCAGGGGTAAACGGGCGGGGGAGGGGGTCGGACGAACAGGACAGGGAAGGGTGGTGGGACGTCGAGTACTACCATGCATGATGCCGGTCCGACCGACGGACATGCGGGAATCCGTCATACACACACGCGAGCACACGGTAACGGACCGCACACCGCTACGTCGGTAGCAGTCGTGCAAATTTCCAATGTAGAAAAAAACGTATTTTTCCACTTTTTTTTTTTTCTACTTGTTTTTAAAATTTTCTTCCGGTAAATTCGAGTGACGAAAACAACACCGGCATACAACGCAACGGGTTTAGCGACGAAACACATTACACAATATTGTACTATAGTAGTATTCGGACGTTCTGCCAAATAAATAGGTACGTAGAACGATAATAATAACAATAATAATAATATTATTACATCCATTTACGATGCGTTTGTTATCTATACTATACATACTTCTCCGTACTCGGCTTGTATAGTATGCGCGCGTACCCGAGTGGTTTTTTTTGCACTCTTGACCCACACGGCGGCGGGATTGGCGCAAGTAAACCAGTAGGTTAACGTATTGTGTGTTGAACCCACAAGTACTCGGACGACGTGCCGTGTATTCCTGTGCTATAATTAGGCGCTCCAAAGCTGATCAGATCGATTAACGGCAGTAAGGGCATTGGGCTAGGAGTATATATTTTTACCGGCCTAAAACGTTTAATGTCAAGTGATCGGTTTCAGTACCGCCGGTACACGCGCTATAGCTATTTGTTTAATTGTTCACCTTTCGTCGGCACGGCAATGTCGACAAAACGCTATTCTTCACTCGGACGGTATTCGCCGAAGAAAATCGTACTATGTCGGCCAAACAAGCGGAAAACTTTGCGTACGACCACGTACTCTGTGGATTTAGCACCCGTCGCCGTGCTACTGCGGTGGCCGTCTGCGAGCTTTCCGAAACAATACGCCATTGTCGAACTGGGATTCAACACTAAACGCGTCTCGAGTGAGCGGTTAGACTTATACTTAAACATTTTTGATTTTAACACCTTAACGAATTGTATGTTTACGGGCCTTGAATCTGTACGGGTACCTACGTCGAGTGTTAGGTGAGACACTAGCAAGATGGCCTCGGATTCCGTATTTTTAGCTCAAACTTTTGCTTTTACTATAAATATAAATTATTATATTATCTTGTACCGCGGATTATTTCCAAGTTCCGTTTTCTGACGTTTAGTGAGCGCGTACATAATAATTATTATTGTTGCCTACTACAACGTATTATAATTATTATTATTATTTCGCTAAGTACAATTCGTAACCGATTAATAAATGTTGTTCCGGAACGATGGGTTTAATTTGTTCCGGTGAGATTTTGCTTTCTACCGGTGTTTTTCACGGATCCAATTGTAGAGTGCGTTTGAAATTGAAATATAGCCTTCGACTTGTCGTCTCCAACAGATTTTCCCGACCGTAACGTTTAATCTAATAACGCAAAAGTGTTTGCATGCCAAAACTATATACTACTGCAGCACGTCATCTACGATTTATTGTCTATGTGCTTAGCCCTAAATCCCGTTTCGAGCTTGACGTCAATGGCCCTGAACAATCGAGAAACATCATACTCTACCGCATCAGCTGACCAATGCCCGACCATTAAGTTTTTTTTTATTATTGTGCTAATTAATGCTTTATTAGTTTTATAATTACCGTATTAAAACAAATGTTGTAACTTGTACTTTCCTATGTAATCAACATTGAGCATTCACGCTTTAAGAATGAAATCGACATTATACGGGTGATTATATATTTGTACTATATATATATATGTATATTTTGTGTTGTGTTAATTGCTAATATGAAATAATGTATAGTATTTGCACGTAGGACGAACATATTGCATATACTTACAATACATCCGTGTCCTGTGAAGTTTTTTTAAAAGATATTTTTGTGCAAAAGTGCAATTAAAAAATCTTGGAAAGATGGGGTTGGGGTGGGTAGAATTTCTTCTATAATATTAAAAAAAACTCCAATTTGATTGCTACAATTTAAAAAGACTTGAAAGCATTTGGCCGGGATTAATGTTTGAGGACAGCATTGACGATAATATTTTACGATCATGTATTCCACATTTATATTAACTGTGTTTTTAACATATTGAACAAATGTTAAAATATATATAATGTTATATATATATATATATATATATGTACAGTGTACACCGACAAAAATGCATAGTTGGTCCAACTAAAATTATGGTCCAATGGATTAATTAATAATATAGGGACGCAATACATTTCTAGTTGGAATAACTAAAGAAAAAGTTGACTCAACTAAACATTTAGTTGGCAGAACTAAATGTATAGTTCCACTTAGTCAGACCAACTATGTATATTTTTCTGTGTTTGTATGTACTATGTATGTATGTATGTATGTGTGCATATAATAGTGTGGTTGTCTTTAAGCCATAAATAAAAATAATTGTATTTTTGATCGTTCATCGGTTATATTTAAAACTTAACATTAAACTAAACATCGACAGACGTCAGTGCTGAAAAGAGCTTTTAAAATTGTTTATAAAAAAACCCCCACACTTTACTGTCGTAATTTTGCACTACAGACTTGGGCTTTTAATTATAAATACGCCCGTGCCGAAACGCTAAATAGTGTATGTGTGGGTTTTAATTTTAACTATATTAAAAAATCGTGTGAACTGTGATAATTCGTAACGGGCCCATTGCCAACCGCAGTTTTGTATCGGCAATAATAAACTATGGTTATATCTTCTTTTTTTTTCATAAACAAATCAGTTTAATATTTAGATTAAAAAAAAGCTATAAAATCGCAGTCATAATAGTTATTACGAGTTGTCTATTGAATGAGGTTATTTTTTACTGTACAAAATAATATGTTGTTTTACTCTGTTATATTTCCAAACGCCGAGTTGAGTTTTATTCTTGATGACTACAAATATGGTCAGACACACGAAATCGCCATGACTAGGTCGCTACTAAACTTGCCAATTTTTACCACAATTTTGTTTTCCAATTATTTTCGTCTGTTTAAATTCAACAAATTTTATAATTGGATAAACATTTGTTGGTGTAGTCTAATTCTCACATTTTTGTTTACGTTACGTAAGCAATGACTTTAGGAAAAATATGTTTTTTTTTTCGGTTGTAAGAAATAAACGTGCATTTTTTTATATTAGATCCGATTAGATGTGCCACTATTCTCTCAGACCATAACCGCTGGCAGACTACTGTAATGTAACGATTTCGATTTTCACATTTCAGTTTTTCATTTCGTTTCGTTCACTTTTCCTTGGACTGGTATACCATTAATTATATTATTGTGTGCAGCTTTCGGCGGTTCTTTTCTCGTAATTTATTCATACGGTCACACTTGAGGAAATCGCTAATAATAATGTAGGTACAACTGTCTCGCCTTGCCGATGACAGTTACTATACATTCTGCACCTGTAACTCGATACAATCAAACAATTTTAAAATAATCTAGAAAACAAATTACACGAATATCAACGCAATGGGACGTTGGACGCACCTAAATCACACACACAATTATTTTGTAGTCCATAACCATATTTCCGCTGGACGTTTCCTGCGAGCGACACGACGCATGCCCGCAATCAAAATATACAATTGAATAATTACATATACATGTACTGTTTCTACTTATTATAGTAAATCATTGCCAATACAACTACATTTTATCGTCAATGATAAACGTGCTGTTTTTAATGTTTTCAATGCTGATGAAATTTAAACCGTACTTATAATCAAGTAATCGAATAGATGTAACAATTAACTTTTTTATTTACTAATAGATTAAAAAAAAAAAATTGTTTCAAAGATGCTAGTATAGTACCTTCCATAAAGAGGGAATATTGTTTGTAAATTGTAGATATGTAGTGTATGTGCTATAAATACTTTTCATAATTATATTTGTAAATATTATACAATATATGCCCATTATTATTACCTTAAAAATTGTATTTAAAAAATACTGTTATATAAATCTTGATCTATTTCCAACCAAAAAGTGGTATTAACCATAACCTATATCTGCCAAATTTTGTATCTACTCATTTGTTAATACTTAAGTGTTAGGTGCCAAATAAAAAACACCTATTGGTTATTTGGTTCGTCTCCCATATTTTAAAGACGTTTCTTTTATTGTACTTTATCAGTGTTAAAACAAATAGTACTTATTACTTTAACGAAGCCTCTCCAAGACACCACCAAAGGGAGTACACTTTCTTTTTTTTTACGGGTAGGTTAGGCTCTTTAGCAAACTGGCAAGTCATTTTACATTTACAATGACTTGTATTAGTCCTTACTACTTGTCATAAATAAATAGTAAAAAATTGAGATCTCTCTGTAGTTCAAAAAATTAGAAGTATTGATTATAATTATTAAAATGGATTTTAAATCTGAGATTAATGACCACTGGTTGTTCTTCATTGAAGTCAATTTTTAGGATAAGTTCTACACTTATCCTACACAATCCTAAACTGGCAATATGACGTACATAAAAATGTGTGCATCATTACTCATTAGAACCGTCAAATGATAACTGCTTCAAACATTATTCTAGTAGATAGAAATAGGTTTTTTTTTACTGTGTATTTGTGGTTCTTTATTTGTTTCACTCAAATTATGTTTTGAAATCCATTTTTTATATTATTCACGACGCATACACCAAACATGATTTAGCTACAGTAGATTGAATTCGGGAGTTAATACATGACTTTTAATTTTTTATTTTAATAGTGTACTATTTTTAGGAACAAGAAAATGTCTTGTAAGTAAGGCGTCTATGGTAAAAGTACGGTCTATAACCCTAACCTTGAGACGACGGTACTCGTTTCATACAATAGGGTTTTATTTTATAGACGGATATTTGTATTAACTTCACTGTACACTATTCAATAGTAAATAACGTGACAGCATTACACTGCTATTATTGACCAATGACCTAATGTACGAGTTTTTTTTTTATAGTAAATGTGCGTCGAATTCAATTTTTTTTTATACGTATTTATCGTTTATCGATATATAAAACAGAAATTTATATTACATAATACTATATTGTTATGGAAATTAAGTAACCATCATGTAACAGTTCTTTGACATTGCACAGTTTTTGATGCTTTCCCATAGGCATACAAAATGGTAACCAATTAGACACGCACATCGCGAGCCCTACGCGGTTATCAGTGATATAATCTGATAACAATAGAAAATCTCATATATTTATATATATATATATATATATATATAGGCATAAAGTTTTTCAGTTCTTATTTTGAATAGAAATAAAAGTAATATGGACATCGATCCATTTTCATCCAAGGTTATGGTCGTTTTTTAAGTTACCAAAAGTAAAATGTATTTCTGAACAACTCTAATTAGTAATAATATTATAAAATATCATTTAAATTTTCACCTGTTTATTTTCTAAATATATATGAATAAATCTAAAATTACCCATTCAGTTTTATCTGAAAAAGTGTACAAGTATGGGTTGAGCCAGCAATTTAAATTATATTGAACGGTTAAGCTTGACAATGACCACGTCATATACAGATTTCTACAGTTATTCAAATTAGTATAAGAGAGCGTTTTTCACAATATTTTTTGCCATTTAAACAGTAAATAATCATATTATAGTAGACATAATATGAATTATTTATGAATCAGATCATTATATAAAACTTATGGAAACATGGTCAATATAAGCTAATTAATATATACTAAAGTTACGCCAATACTTGTTTAATAAAACACAATACTATAATTCGTTTATGGACAAATTGGATTTCTTTCAATTTAACAATTTTAAATTCTTGATTTTTCTTTTCTTTGTTTTATTTAGTGAGACATTTCAGAAAATTTTAGCTATTACTACTCGATAATAATGTATGAAGGGTTATTAGGCTTGAAGGCGGTCACTCAACTGGGGGGAACTACAGTACCGACCAACGTAGCTCTCAAACATCTGTAATATTCGACTGCGATTTTGTAACAGTCCATAGCGAGTCTTTAAAAAAATCTTGCTAGATATACTGTAATTCATTTTGGTTAATTTAAGGTGCATAAACTATACTTATATAGATTTAGGATTTCCAACAATTACCACGCTGCAAGGCGTTTCATGAAACGCTGAACTCAAAAGAAATCGCCGTGAGTTTTTACAGTATGCAAACTAACAGTCATCTAATAATACGATTTTGTCTTATTTAGCTCCGATGCGAAGCTAAGAAGGTAATAAGGCTTATAACGATAGATTTTTTTATGATACATTTACTTGTAGTACAATAATATAATTATATTATTATAAATTTATATTTTCAAAGAATCGAAACGTCTTTTTATAAAATAAACTCTTTTCTATTTGATCGATTTCTGCTTATACGAGCAATGTTAATAGTATGTGTGAATCTAAAGAAAGAAAGCCAGTGGGCAGTGACCCATTTTAAAGCTGTACGTGTTAGGTTAGGTACAGGTCAGGTGATCCTACAACACTCTAGTAGCTTGAGATAATAGTCCATTAAATCCGAACACTATTATTATAATCCGGAAAAATGTTCAATAAAGAACATGGCAATTAAATAAAGAATCATTTATAAGACAAAATGTAGGTTAAGTTTCTTTTTCATTGACTTAATTTGTATTTAACAAGTATACGATGCGTTGTTATATAAATAAATACCCTTCATTTAGCTTTCGTACAACCAATTATTAAATGTTAAAACAGATTATTATTAAATGCGAAATTTACTAAAACATATTCTTTTATTTCTTAAATCAATTACATTATTTATTTGTTTTTTTTTTTTAATACTTATTCAAATATTAATAAATAGTCTACTGAACTTAAGTCAATGGCAATATGACAAAAAATAATTATTTTTTATTTACTCGAATTGTTTATTAAATTATAATTTATAATTCATAATGATTGCTTGATCAATACATTTTTGTTATATACGTTTTTACATTAGTAACAACTTTTCATATTAAACATTTTCAATAGTAATTATTAATAAAGAATAATTCATATTTTATTTTCAGTAAAAAGCGAACAAGTAACCAAGAAAAATGTCAACACAAATATTAATCCAGGCCAAACCGTTACCGATTCTATAACTTCAAGTTACGGCGTAGGACCTACAGACGACAATGGCAGACCACTGTTCGGTTTAAGAGCTCTTAGGAAAACCAACACCAACCAATCGATTATCGGTAATATATTTTATCCGTGGAGTCAACATTTTAATCTGTGTTAATTGCATACCATCCGTTATCGATAATATTTATTTTTTACAAATCGTTTTTATAATATAATTTATTTATACTGATAATTGATGTATTCGTATGGCAGTTGACGAATCATCTACTTATCAAATTGATGAATCAGATTCTCCGGCAATTACTGATCATAAAGGAAAACCGCTATTTGGTTTAAAAGCGTTGCAAAACGAAAACGTGTTTGTGGTGGAAGAATCGAAAACCGTACGCCAACAACAAAAGTCTACCCAACAAAAAGGAGGAGTCGACCAATTGATTACCGACCACAAGGGCAAACCGCTGTTCGGACTTAAAGCACTTCAGAGCATCGGTAAAAACGACGAAACTGTCTTCGAAAACATGCCGGAACCTCCAGTGTCTCCTCAGTTGAAGGAGCTTGTGCTTAAGCACGAAAGACACGTAGCTAGTGAGTTTACCGTCGATACGAATTCAATTACAAACGCTAAATAAACCGTTTAACAATATTTATGGTGATAAATGGTAATAGGTGTGATTGTCTAACAAACTTGAGGTAGGGAGGAAATGCTAAAAAAAAAGTTTTGAAAATGATTTAAGATTGGCTAGTGTTTAGTGTAGAGGATCGTACACAACAGTTTGAGTGAAGTTTGAGTGCTAATTGAAAAACTAGTGTAAGTAGCGATGAAGAGAAAACATTAAAGCTAAAAAATGTTACTATACCGTAAACGTTATTGTATATTTTGTTTTGTTTTGTCGCAGACGAGACTTCCAATTTGGAAACGCAACCTCGGCAAAAACCGAAGGCAAAGTTCAGAGACAGTTTTATACTCGACTCTAAAGACGAAGACTTGTACACTACGTTTAAACAAAATGGGTTTACTGACGCCAATTCCATATCTTTGAATTCTATTATCAACCAGGATGTTGAGGAAAATCAAAACAACGGTACGTCTTTTACGAAATACAATAGGGTATTATTTGAATATTCAACATTGCACTCGACATTATCTTATAATATTTTTATTGTTATATTTGTAAGCATAATAATTATTATTAACAGAAACAACCGTGGTGAAAAGCAAAAGCCAGTCTACCGTGTTCCAGTCGAAAAGCTGTATAAGGTCCGACGGATCCGGAAACGTTTCGGTCACGCAAGACTTCATTAAAGGTGATAATAGCATACGGTTTATTATTTATTTTTTTTTTTTAAATTGCTTTTCAATAAAAATTATCGTGCGCGACTTCCAAAGTCGTCAATGTTCGTCATCGCGTACACCATGTTGTTATAGTTAATTTGAAAATAATCAAAATTAAAGTTTTTCTATTGTTTGGTGCGTCGAGATGACGTTTGTTATACATTATACAACGTTGTGTTAGGTGTAAAAAAAAAAAATACACGATTTGGAAACGGTCCAAAACGTAATTAAAGCAAGCAAAACTCGGGACAGTTCAAAAGCCGGTGTCGTGCGCGGTGACTGCTACTAGTATTAGGATTGCTCTAATAACGTTCGGTGCAAATCCGGCACTGTTATTCGCGTGGATTCCAAAATGAAGTCATTGCGAGATTATATTATAAACGTTGGATTGGTGGTGATAAGTCTGTTAATTTTTTCTTGTACGTGGCACATAATTTTCTTTTATGTTTTCGTAGCGTTCATTGTTTTTCAAATTTCAGTAAACCGGCAGAATAATAATTGCTTACTGTTAGAAGGTAACCAGTCAGATAATTAACGTGTAAACGACTTTAGACTTAACACTATTGTACCCGATGGTTCATTTAACGTAATGTCCATAGTGAATCATCTGCTGTACGTATCGTAATGGCCCGTCTAATATACATATGTGTTTAATAGCATGTCTAATGCTCAACTAAAAAAAAACTGAAACCGGATCAATTTACTGACCTATGTTTATAAACCAATTGAATGCAAATTTTGGAATGTTATTTCTTTTTTACTGTTAGTTTATTAATAATCTTTTTTGACTAGGTACCAGTTAGTTAGTTTTTAACGAATAGTGTTATAAAATTGTATATAGCCATCTGCAGTGAAATAGAATATTTTTACTTTTAATAGTAATATATTTATATATGGTATTATATATATATATATACAACGCAATATATTGCAGTATAATCATATTTAAGTTATTTTGCGTTGTTGGCTAAGATAAGAATTTTTAAATATCATAATGATGAGATTAATTATTTTGGTTTTCATGAATCATGAAATTGTGTAAATGTAATGGGCGAAGCGTGTGTACGAAAGACGAAGCCTCTCATAAGTTTGATTTATGACAACATCGTTTCACGCTTCCCTACCCCTAAAAGATTATGAGCATAACGCATATAATGCCTCTAAGCCAGCATAAATTACAGGGGTGCCAATTAAAAAAAATTACAGACAAGGGGTAACAGTTACAGTGCCACGAAAAAATGCTACAAGTTTATACAAGGGGGTCTATTTAACGTAAAACACTAATTTTGTCAAAAAAAAACTAAAATTTTGTAGTTTTTCATTTTTTTTAAATTGTTTTTTATGTTGCTTTAAAATATCATAAAATAACCTAGTACATCATTTGAGTTTAAAAAGTCGATGGCACTCTGGAAAATAGTTAAAACGGTAAATACTTGGTGATTTTATGTTATTTTAAAACAGCATAAATACAAATGTTTTCAATAAGAAGTACTACACAATTGTATATACCCGAGAAAATGAGTGTCTTACTTTAAAGGGATCATTCAGTATATTACAGTATTGCTTTAAGAATTTAACAAGCTAAATGTGTTTCAGGGGAAGTCTCTTCTGTGAATGACCAAGAACCGTCGGGAAAAATCACTAGGGGTAATTACACGTACCAAAGTCCCAAGGACACGGATAGTCAAAAGGGTATCGCTAAAGTTACCACAGTTACCAAAGCTATCGGTAGGAAGTCTTCAGGTCCAGAAATCACCGAAATCGCCGAAGAATTAGACAACTCTGATCGTGTCGATGGCAATAAAGTGGTTAAAAGAAGTCGTACCAACGACAAATTCGAAAGTATTCAAAAGAGATTTAGTCAAGAGAGTTTCGATCAGAGTTCGAGGCGTTCTTCAAGGGAAAGCAATAGGTATGAAAATTCAGAAGAATCTCAACAAGTGTCTAGATCAAACACACCTAAGTCGTCCTTGGTCCGCGGGGACTCGATACGCGCACTCCAACACAAATTCCAACAAGCCACTGGTAATACTCAAATGTCACAGCGCTGTCCTTAATCGTTACTACTACGGTTAGATCAATAATAAATAAATGTTCATTTCAGTTTCATCTAGCATGAAACAGAATAGGTCAGTTAAAAGTGAATCTCCTAGAATTGCTAAACAAACCGAAGACACTTCCACGGTCACCACCAAAGTCGGCGGAACATCAAAAACAGGAGCTTCGTCGTTTTTGGACAACAGTTCAAGAGTGACTGGTGTTCAAGACGTTTTGACTAGAATGCGAAATGCAGATTTGGGTAACAATTGATGGTTAATACATTTTCAGTTGTGATTTCACAACTTATGTTTTTTTTTTTTGGAATTTAGTCGTAGAAAGCGGAGATACCAACGAAGACGCCGAGGCTCGCTCTTTGCTGAACAAATTTTTAGGAGCATCCGTCATTCTCCATGGAATGGAACAAGGTGTCAAGTCTCCTACTTCAAGTTCGGTTAAAACCACATCTACAACGACCAGCAGCGCAACACTTGTTAATCAAGTGGAGAAACAGCGTAGTCAGGTATATGATAATTATAAATTATACTCCTAACATAATTGTTTTTAAAAATAATTTTGTTCTGGTTAAATTTAACTTGTTAATTGTTACTGGCTAGTACTTTAATCCATTATGTATTCTGAAGCCCTGTTAGATTGAGTTTCGAGTAGGGGAGAATTTTTAGTTTTTGTCAAGGAAATTTCATTTAATTAAATAAAATGTCATTAATATATTCTTCATTTTAAATTATTTATTTTTCGGTATCAGATTACTATAGCACATATTTAAAAAAAATTTGTGAATGTAAGTACATAACATGTGAATAAATAATTATATTCTAAATCAAATATTTAATAATTTAAATTTCTAGTTTATTTATTAATTATTTGGTATATTTATTATATTTAATCATGCTGCATACATGTAGTACATTTCGGAGTATCTTATATTTCTCTCAGTCAAGTCTGATAAGTATAAGTATTATAATAACTCGGGTAAGGGGACTAGCTGAAGTCCCAGACTTGTTGCTTGCAAAATCGATTTTCAAAGCGCTACTCACAGATGCAATGGTCCAGGAATGAGAGTTTCCCAGTTGTAGCAATGAGGTTATTAAGATAGTTTTGGTAATAAAATGTCGGTTAAATTTTTAATACACCAATCATGGTTGTATCTGAACATGTTTAAAATAATATATTAATTCAATAAAGTTTCTAAAAATGTCCATTAATAACATCATCATTACTTATTTAGTGAGCTTGGCGTTTCAGTTTAATTTGGATAAAATGAAATTCGATTATTTTTTTCTTAATTTACTGTTAACCGATAAGAAATATCATAAGGCTACTTTTGTGGTGTGCAAAAGGATTGAGTAACATATTTTAAAATGATGTCACGTTTCCAATTTATTTTATTTGTTTTCTTTGTGACTATAATCTTTTGTTTATAAACAATGTGTACACATAGTAACCCTATCTACTTCTATAACACACAAAGAATATCCCTGCCTCGTGCATTCCGTACACACTGTCAGTCATATTTATTTTAATATCCCCGTTTTGGTCTTTTTTAAACAAAAAAATACAAATTATAGAACAACAGCAATAGTCAATAACAGTGACTATTGTTAATTTCCCTCCCGTTGGACAATATATTTTAGCTTTGCGCGTTTCATGACGAAAATAATTTTTGAAGGCAAATCCTATTTTGGTCAGCATAGTGATTCTCTCAGCGTCGAATGCTCACTTGGCCACGCAGTTCAGTTTATACTTGGCTACAAGCTCAACTATTTCTGTGTACATCGTGTCCGTTCGCCGCCGTTCACAAAAAGTTGTGGTTTTTTTCTCTTAATTTTTTTTTGTAATTTCAGTGATATTTTAATAGTAATTTTAGTAAAAGTCTGATAACCAGTAATATTTCGAATACCGCTTATAATTCGTTGCACGTGATACTTTATCGTACTATACAGGAACGAGGTAAACATTTCCGTTGTTTTTGTGATTTTAATTAATATATTTTCATTTGAAAATCATCTCGAGTCACATTACTTGCTTACTTACATAATTTCTATAGCTATCGGTATGAAATCGTAGCTGCTTACCTACATTTTGTTTTTTTTTCTTCAATAACTTTCATTGACTACCCACTAGGAGGTATGTTGGTCATGTTATGTTGGCTATACCTTTAAAAGATTATTAAAATACAATTATTTTATTTAATTTTGATCAGCTTATAAGGCTGTATAATCTAATATTCATCAACTCGTCATGAAAACGCTCATTTTTTCGGTTCCATGAATATTATTAGGCCAATATTTGGCCGAGGCCCAGCAAATAAAACTTGTTGCCAACTATTTACAAGCGAATTCATAAATTTGTATTTATGTATATCATGCACGAGGTTCTTAAATTAGATTGACACCTGTTGACATAAAGCCGACCGGTCGTTTAAACAAAAACTGTGCCTTATTTGTACAAAATTTGCGGACATGACAATATTAATTGCATTTGGTTTTTTTTACCTCAGAGTTCTCCTTCCACCAGATCGAATTTGACCGAACAAGAGCTCGAAAACATTTGGGACGAAAAACAACTACAAATTTTGGTTAGTATAATCATCGCGTGAATTCTAATCATCCTGAAAATTAATTTTAAATTAAATTCATAAATGTACAGTTGGAATCTTGCCCGGACTACGATCAAAGGAGGAAAATTCGAGCCAGGCTACGTCAAATCATGGCCGAACACAAAGGTAACATTAATATTGTTAGTTTAGCAAATTACAACTCGGTTACAATAATATTTCTCTTGGTAACAAAAATATTGGCTATTAAGCTTAATTTTATAAATAATTTAAAACAATATTTTTTAAATCTGTCATATTACAAATGTACAGTAATTATGTGTCACAAAATTCGCTATCAGGCCAAATAACTGCAATTAACTATTAATTTAATAGGACAAGAAATATGTAAGTTTATTATGAAAGTTTTTTTTTAGAAAATAATTAGTAAATGGCGACTGCAAAAATTTGTTTATTTTTAAGATAAATTATAGTTCTTTATTTACGAAATAATTATAATTTTTGTTGAAAAACATGTGAAACGTATAAAACTAAGTAACGGTTATAACTAGTCTGTTAGCATGGCCGTTGTAAGAAATTCATAAACATATTAATACATACACGACTCTAAAATCTAAAAATGTTTATGTATATATCCCAATGAAGCGGTTTTATTTTATGGTTAGTGGCCGCACACAAAGAATCTGCTTACAATATTCAGTAATGCCGCGATCGACTACGTTCGAATGCCAACAAATAAACTTGTCGGTGCAGAGCATAAAACTTTGAAGTCTTAAATCGTGTTACACGTCATATTTTTTTTATTTATCATTCTCGATAATTGATATGGTGTTCGGTTTTTATTTTACTAAAATACGTTATTACGACACTTAAAATCCCCACAAAAACTGTTAACTCGCGCGCTCGCTTTCCAAGTGCATTTCATTGTGATTCACCGACGAATAAAATGTTGTGTACGTTACCCATTACAAAATAAAAATTGATACATCTGCAATAAAGATTGCACCGATTCATAATTGGGTATTTTTAATCGTTCCAGCGTGTGCTGATGTGGTTGCCATGGCAGCTAATACAGATAGTGCCGCCAGCAATGAAAAAAACGGTGAGTTTAAGCCAATGTGTCATTTAAATATAAAACCTAACACGACTGTGGTCGACGACTCGGGCACGGAATCGGGGGAAGAACTAAATCAAAAGATATTGGTACAAGTCCAAGGGGCTTTGGCTAACTTGGAAAGCGCACTGCCGGCTCTCGATCCGATTAGGCGGTCTTCGGTGGTCGAGCTGCTGACAAAACTGCAAACCAGTCTGAAACTACCGGCGGAAAACAAGCCGACGCCTCCTCCCAGAAAGTGTTGGAACAAACGGCAGGCTCGACAAGACAGGCACACTGTGGGCGTTTCGTCCGAAGAGTTGCAAGACGCCCGGCGATGGCTGGAAGAAAACGGCTTCGTCGACAATACGGTTCCCGCCGAAAAGAAGCCAGCGTCTCCAGTGTCCGCTCGTTGCACGCCCAGGAGCTACGACGTTTCCGCCCCCAAAGCGTTTAGGCCGGTTAAATTTGTACCTCCTCCGCCTAAACGCAACAATTTCTCGGAAGAATACATACCGGAACCGTCGAAACAATCGTTGCAGAACAACTCGTTCACCTGTCCGCCGTTGCATCACGCGGTTGTCGAGCACGTGACCGACAATAGACAACCTTTGGCGATCGATCTGAGAGATTCTTCCGTAGATTCGTCAGAAAGCGGATCTGAAGACGACCGGTCCGTGTCTTCGGCTCAACGGTTACTCCTAATCGCGTCCAGCGATCATGGTCGCAAGTCGTACGTCAGGCAAGGCAAACGTACCAAGTTAAAACGAGGACCGAATCCGGCTGACGACCAATCGTCTGGCGATGAATACAGTAACTATTCGAACAAACCGCCGTCCAACACTAGTGGAATACCGCCTTTCACACCCAAAACCGCCAGCGACAAGAAATATCTGTCCCTGTTGCAACAGACCAAAGAAAGCGATACGGCGTTCAACCCGCTTCAGGGCAAACTACAAGGTAACTGGGGCAACCGTTTCGGACGCATCAAGAACACGTTCGAAAAGTGCGCTACTGCCATTAACAACTCGCCCAAAACGAACTACGCCAAAACTTTCTGGCACGACGTGTGTAAGTGTCCGTCCGACGACAGTATCGCCTATAGATCAAAAAAAGCGACTTCGTTCAAACCTGTATGGACGGGCGAGAAAAGCTTCTCTCACGCTCTCAAGTCGCCGTTCAAACCGGTCGTTCAGAAACCTATTATAGTCCCTCCTCCCGTCGTCGAGCCGCCAAGACCGGTTCATCCGCCCAGGCACTTGCCGCTTTACAACAGTGCGGTGACCACAGCGCATAGACCGTTCTTAAGCGTGGCCGACAAACACGCCGACGACGGCAGACACCCGTGGAACCCTGCGTCGCCCATGTCGGACTTGACCAGCTGCCCCGACAGTCCTTCGGGTGACTTTGACGTTCCCCAACCTCTGGTGGTCAGTCGGGTCATGGGCAGCCCGCAAACCGCCAACATTGTCAAGAGCAAAAGCAGCCCCCGGTCGATTCATCCGGTGGCGCAGCAGGCGCCCAAACCACCGACCAGGAGCCCTAGACTGGTGTTGCAACAGAGGTCCCCGACTTCTTCTCCGGTGCGCATGCCTTCGGTTTTACAGAAATCCGAGTCCTGGCATCAAATAATCATGGGCCAGACCAAAGCTGTGCGACCGCACCCCGAACCGGTGGCCAGAAACATGGCACCGTACGAGGGTTATTTGCCCAAAGAGCAGATTGCGCGCAAACAGAATATTGTTCGTCAACACTTGCGACCACCGGTTGAAAACGTTAAACAGCCGAGTGTATCCCCAAATTTAGTCAAGCTCAATGACGATATCGACAAAGTCGAAGATACTTTCGAGAGTCTCTTCAAAGAATCCACTAAAGCCAAATAGCCCCACTATTATGCTAGACGATAACTCATAGTTTTTTTTTTTTTCGTGATATTTGCATTTAGTTTTTATTTATCTTTCTATGTATACATGTCACACTTACCATTTGAGCACCAGTTAATTTTGCATATAATATTTTTTCTTTTTCACATGACCGTGTTACTACTTTTAAACTATTTTGTTCTATATCTAATATTGTATAACTATTATTACGCACTGCATTTTGAGAGTGTCCGAGGAGCGAGTGGATAATATTATAAAAAACCGAAGAATGTCTGTATTCATATTCTGCATCTTTACTTTCTTCGTATCTATGCACTGCGTTCAACACAAAAGTACGTTCTTGTGTGCCTATCTTGTAATTCGTGTGCGTGTGGACGTTTTTAAGTATATGATAAAATAATATTCGCATATATCTATTTTTATTTTGTTGTCCTGTGTGCTATACCATAACGCCTCTCGACAAATTTACAAACCTATATATTAGGTACCGTTCAATCCGCTCGCTCGATTTTTTTAAAACATTAGTTTTATTTTAGACCTCAGTTTGCTTTATACGAATGCGCATGCATTTAAAAATATATATAACCTACTTACTTACCCTTAGTTTTTGAGTGGTAGTAAAACCGCGTTTTTTTGTATTTTATCCTATTTAAATAATATGTTGTTAGTTTTTGTAATCACTTAGATAACAATTATTTTTAGTTGAGTATTATTTGCACTGTATATTAATTATTGTGTGACTTAAACATTTTTTTTGGCACTCAAAAATAATAATGATTATTTTTGTTCTAGAAACTACCGAGTCAAAATCAACGACAGTGACTAATAAGACCGAAAATGGCTCATATGTAAAAACCGAAGGTACTTATCATAACGTTTTTGTTAATTTTTTTTACAAATTAAGCTTTAATGTTTTATTATTTTATATATTATACAGTGCATACTAGGACAACATCTTCTAGTAACCGTCTTGCTAAAGGTAAGTCTAATTAATAATTGAGTAGTTTTGTTTTTTACAAATCATAATATAAATCATCATTTGTTATTTGCAGCTAATAGTGTGAGTGCTTCGCCATTTGCCAAGTTTCAGCAACTGGAACGCCAGAACTCAGCTCCAAAGTGAGTAACTCATAAAAACATATAATTTCTATCTTATGAACACATTCTTCAAACAAACTATCCATTTATAATTATTATTATTATTACAGTTTCCAACACTAACAAAGGAATAAATGTAATGATAGTGTATGTCCATTCGGTCATATAAAAATACTGTTACATAATAATGAACTTAGCTTTACATTCTTGGTTATATTTCTCTAATATGGTTCTGGTTGTTGGATGGTAATTTTAAAAATAAATAATTATGGATATTTTAACGATTGCAAATTTAATACGGTTATAGCCTTTAATATAAGTAATAAGGAACTGAAAAGAAAACTTAAGAAAATTGAGAAGGTATTAAAAAAAGTACAAAAAAACTTGACCAATAGAAAATTTAAGATTTTATTATTTATAAAAATGTATTATTTATTTTTATTCCTCAATACTTTTAACATAAACATTTATAAGTGGAATATATAAGTATTTAATGGAATTTTTTTCTATTGAATTTGTTGTTAATTTGAACAGCCTATAATAAGCTAGGAACGTTTTACTCTACACAAGGTTCTTGTATTATTTTAATTAAAACAATAATAATAGTACAAAATACCAATAAACCGTTAAAAAATATATAATTTCGACTTACCTATGTCCTTTTCGATAAACATAATAATATGCATGTATATGTAAATATCATAATTCATAACAAATTTTTTTAAAAAGCTAGTATTAAAAAAAATTTTCAAATTTAGAAGCTATATGAGCGCGCATATGTCATTTTTTTGGTTAAATACCATTTATGTTATTTGCCTAATGAACTCTGGAATACATTTCTATACAAACTTGTTAAAATGATTATTTTATTAATAATCATAATTTATAATACAATCTTAATTGTTAACTTTGGCATGTATTGCTTGAATGAATGTCCATAACAATAATGATGGTAACATAAATACGGGGCATTTTGCTTATAGCTCACAATCGCGTCCTTGCTATAAATTCACCGATCCCGCTCTGGCGCGGAGCGCTTCATCAATCAAAGATCGCCTACTCAGCTGGGTTAAGGCTCAGACCAAGGATTATAAGGTACTTTTTGTTTTTGTCTAACAAACATTTTTAAAATGCATGACACATAATATATACTGGCTTCTTGTATTTTAACACACATATTATTATATACGTTTGAAAATCTGCATAACTTGACTGCATTTAACCATTTTTAACGATACAAAATTGTAACTGTGTATTGGAAATACAATTTTAACATTTGGCTATACATTAAAACACATGTATTTTTTTTTTTTTTTTAGATCAATTAAATTATGCGTGTGTGTTTATAATTGTATTGTAGATTTTAAGTAAATCATTTTGTGTGGTTTGTGTATTGGAAAATATTTAATGCAGCAATTTAATACAATTAATGATTATTTGACACAGAACATCCAAATAACCAACTTTTCAACAAGCTGGAGCGACGGTCTCGCGTTCTGTGCCCTCATCCATCATTTTTACCCAGACGCATTCGACTATGAAAAACTAACACCGGAAAAACGAAAAGAAAATTTCGAACTAGCTTTCAAAGTTGCTGAGTAAGTAAAATTTAAGAAGAACAATATTTATGAACTACCTATTGTTCTAATTTTACGTTAAATAAAAAACTACTTGAAAATGTTTTAAAAGCAAATTAATTAAAAAAATAACAACTTTTGCTTCGTAAAAATACAATTAATTACAAAACATAGCTGCATTTTGTTATCTGTGGACTACAGGCATAGTGAGCCTGGAATTTAAAAATATTTTATAAATATTAATATTTAAAAACAACTCTACGGTGATAACAAAAAATATTGTTTTCTTTTTTCTTTTTTAGAAAACTGTATAAGTAATATGTAAAAAGTTTTACAAGGGAGCAACAAAAAAAATCATATTTATAATGTTCTCTTACGGCCGACATTGATTATTTTTTTCAATATCTCTTTTAAAAAACAAGGAAAAGTTATAAAACAATTACACGTTAAAAGCACGTTTGGAAACTTGTGTTTTTTTTAAATGTCACTTGGTTAAAAATAATTATTTTATTTTTACAGGGATGAAGCCGGTATAGCACCTTTATTGGATGTAGAAGACATGGTGGTCATGCGAAAACCCGATTGGAAATGTGTGTTCACTTATGTCCAAACGTTCTACCGGCGGTTCCACAACACTCCACAAGCCGTTAAACCTTTTTCATTTTAACACACTTGCACACTTCACGTTAATATTAATTGTAATCTTCGCTTTATACATTTTTTCAAGTATTGTATCCAAATCTAAACATTTCGTTGTAAAATGTTTTATTTGTTGTTATCAATCGACGAAAACTGGTCGTAGTATTTAGATGTAGTCGAGTAATATTTAGTTATACCATTTTACTCAGTTCGTTTGCTCTGGTCAATTGTTAAGAATGATGAATGAGGGTGATATATTATTATTTACTCGTAACAATACCTAAAATATTCAGTAGGCATCTGTCGGTGCACTTGATTTTCTCAACTCTTTTGTATTAGTATATTTATACATTCTAGTTTTTGTTAATAATTAATATCACACATATTAACAAATTTTACGAATTCGGATTTATTTATTAACTGCGATCGCGGACCGCGGTTAACCTTATCACGCCGTTCGATGTTACCAAAAACCGCGAACAATAAACATTTTTACTACTAAAAAAAAAAAACAAAATCAGCTTTTCAAGCTAAAAAACAATTTGTTAGGAATTTAATCATATGATAAGTATTTGTTTATTTCGCAATCCTTTGAACTATGTATCTTCCTCGTAACTATGCTACATGTATTATACGAAGTGCATTATCCGACAATGCTGAAAAATATCATTTTACTATTATTTAGTTTTTAAGTATTACGTTAATTAACAAGACTAATCTTGATAATATTTATCGAACAACATAATTTCCTATTAAACATTTTTAACTACTTTAATGTAAATAAAGTGAATGTATACCTAAAATATTTTATAAAATCATATACCTACACAGCTATAATGCATCTAATAAACATTTTACATATTATAATATATAAAAATATATATTTTTTTACATTCAATTTTCTATGTTTTAATATTTAATTACCATTTTTATATGTGATGATTTATTTCTCGGAAATGTTGTATGGTATAAGGGATAATACCTTAATAAAATCACAAGTATATCGTTATTCTTTAAAAATGTATTATTTTGTTTATACCATTTTTTTATGGTCCGCCAGTTCGCCAAGGAATATATTGTAATATATACAGGGTGTAATGTAAAGTTCTACTAAGCTTCAACTGAGACATTCAGGATACTCTATGTGTACAATAAATGGTATTCAATTTTTTTTTAATTTTAAAATTATTTAAAATAGAACTCGTATCTCATTAAAAAATTGTTTTACAAAAAAAATAATGCCAGATTTAAAATCGGGAGAAAAAATCTTGTTAAATTGATATGTAACATGATTTTTTGGTATCTGGCTACATTTGCGTCCACCGAGTGGCCACTGAGTGGCCGGCATGTGACTGAAACCAACATAATATTTATTTATTTATTACAATGTATAAAGAGATGAGCCCTATCTTATACCTACTTAGATGGTAGAAGAGCAACCATAAGTCTGTACTCGGTTTTTGAATACCAAAGTTTAAATAAAATGTATGTCCTAAGACCTAAACCTATAAAAAGCCTTGTAAACTTGTTGAAATAACATTTTATAACACAACAACGACTGTACTTATACATATATATATATATAAATACATATTACTTGACCCATAAAAATAATTACACTATGCTTGACGAACAAATATCTAAACACTTAATCGGTATAATATATATTTTAAACATAACATAGATATGTTACAAATAGTAATAGTTCTACAATAGTAATATTGTTATAATCGATTTGATAAAAAGAAAGAACATATTTGTGTTCAGTTCCAAGTTGAAGCTAAAACAGTACAAATAATTTATAGTTTTTATGCAGTTTTTTTTTATTGAGTACATATACTGGAGTTATTTAAATGTTTTTTTCTTTTGGACAAAATTGTATTGGGTTTTTTGTACACCCATTTTCTTCGACGACTCTGGCTTTTCTTATTTCTGCGCTTATGATGATTTTGACGATGACCATTTGGTTCTGGTTTCATATCCTCCTCCACTTGTCTTATCTTAGTCAAAAGTCTAGATCGCATAGTCGGATCAGCTTCTTTCGATTTTATTCTACAGACCTCCATGATGGTGGTTAACTGATCAAGTAGGTACTGAGTATCTTTTGGGTCCGCAGCACCACCAGATAAAACTACTAATTTAATTTCATTACACAATAACTCCGCCAAATTGAACGTCACGCTAGTATCTTTTGAAAATATGGAACAATGACCCTAGAAAATAATCGACACAAGTATTGGCTGTTTTTTTGACGGCCATATAATATGTATTCAATGCTGTCATTCAATTTTATTTTTGTGAAAACTTACAAGTATTCTCAAACCATAGTTATATAAAACACAATATCTTAATATTTGTTTTGTGACACTTTTTAATATATAATAACTATTATGTAAAAACATAGACATATAGAGTGTTAAAAATGTTTGTATTGGTAACTGTTAGTTTCAAAATTTACATTAATAAAATGATAAAAATTAACGGCATACTATACTTATATAAAAAATATATGTATAAAAACCAATACAATTTAACACTCTATGTCTCTATGTCTATGTTTTTACAAAATAATTATTAAAATATTTTAGACACTTGGTTTATTCCTAGTATAACAAATATATTAGACACTTCATATATATATATATAATATATTAGAGACTTACCGTGACAATATCGCTATTGGCATTATCTTCTTTTTTAATTAACATCATAAATTGCTCTACGCTAGTTCGCAGAAAACTGGGACCTTTCCATAGTATCGTGTATGAACAAATTTGAGCCAATAGTTCCCATTTATTATCTTCGTCGCATTCATCCACCAACTTAACTAAATCAACGATGGGATCTCGGCCATTGTTATGTTTTTCAACAACCGAATTTAAGCGAATTTGTAATTTGCGTTCTTCGTCGTTCTCGATTTGAATTATATCGATTTCAGACGACAAATTGTCCATTGCCGGTTCCTGTATTTTACTCTATACATAATCAAATTATTACTTGCCATTACATTAGATTTTAAGTAGACAGCTAATAATGAAAAATGTAAAAAAGTGCAATTTTTACCATTTTGTTGTAAATACGAATACTTTTTTCAATCGCTCTAATTACAGTCCGATCGTTACGGGAAACGTCTAGCGCTTTCAATAAAATATCCTTTGCCGAGTAGGTATCACAAATCACCATAGGCAACGTCATTAAAGATTGTGCACATCTTACGAATAAATGGGGATCTTTAGGTTGCATGTCCACAATCGTTCTGAAATGCACAGTATCAAGAGTAACATAATTAAAAAAAACCTAATATTTTGAATTGTTCTGATATTGTTAAAAAGCCAAATTGCCTGATCAATTCTGCGACGTGTTGATAATCTTTCTTTATTTTCACCGCTAATTCTTCTTCCAGTCTGTCAGCGTGAAGATTGTGGTAGTAATGTATTTTAGTTTTCATTAGGTTCATCCTATGAAAATTAAAATATGGATTTTGTTCGTTTCCCAGCAGTATAATTGCATATTGTATGGCGTTAAACTCTGCTTCTGTAGGACACGACTTGTTGGTGTGTAAAAATTGTCTTTGAGCACTCATTGCCAACGAAAGAATATAATGCCAGTACGCGGTGTCAGGGTCTAATTCACATGCTATTTTTGCGCATTCGATAGCTTTTTCTATTTCCTTACCACCGTATTCTATACAAACTGCAGCACGCATACAAAAAACTGCCGCTCGTGACTTCTTACATAAATTGTTAAATGGTGTAGTCATTTGGAACAGCTACAAAATAATTGTACACAACTTTAATGGAGCAAAATAGTACTAAGTACATAATGACATACATAGTATAATATAATATACACTTCCAAGTCAAAGTTTCATTGCTTAGGCAGTACGCGATATATAAATGTAAGGCTTTCGATTATTTTTCGGAACATTAACTTGAAATATTTTTTATTGAGAAAAATTATAATTTATGTTATAAATATTATTGAAGTTTAAGCGCTTAAACTAATACAACGTATTGACTATTAAGATATTATTCACGTCATATTTCTTGGTAGTTTTAAGTCTGTCTGTAATTTGATTACTGGTTTATCATTACAAACAATTAATTATTTTCATCAACTATACACTTACAATGTCGATTGGTTGATACTCAAAAAAAATAATATTAGAAGTTAAAAATATAATAATGTTCAAAAACTACACAACTTTAATACACTTAAATTTGAGTCATATATTTTACGCGGAAAACGTTTTTGTTTAATTGTGCAACCAAAACGATGTGTAATATGTTCGTAATTCAAATAACTGTCAAGTGTTTTTTTAGATGTTTTAAATGGGTTATCTTATTTGTTTTTGATACCAAATATTTTATTACATAAACTAAATTAAAACATTTTTTTATTGATTGTTTAGTGAAATAATGTTACTATATTGTTATATACATTTATAGTACATATTTGGTATATCCACTACAAATTTATTGTAAAATGTAACATTTTAATTTTATGAAATTACTAATATTTATTTATTTTATGTTGTGTACAAAACATAATTTGTATTAATAAATTTCATTTTGTACAAGATTAACGAATGTAACATGAATAACAATGACAAATTTTAAATTAACTTACCCGTTGACATTCAATAGTTTGATGTGATGTGTAATGTATAAAAGTTAGCGTAGACATAACAATGTGTTTTAATCCGGTTCTAATACTAAGATAAAATGAATCACATGCGTCATCTATTTTATCCAACCATTTCCAAATATTTATAATTGTATTATACGATTTCTCCGGTTCGTCTGTTTTAAACAAAACACAACCAACTATAAGATTACTGACGAACCTAGAACAAAATGTCATTAAATGTTAATCCTAGAAAAACGGGTTACTTCAAAGTTCAATATGCAATAATATTACTTTTCCACTGAGAAATCCAATGACTCGATATCCATATTATAAAAGCCATATTTATTTTTAATGCGAGATAGAAAATCGAGATTCCATTTGCTTGGGTCTAAGTGCCACGTAAACGGACATTGTAATGTTTTCATTTTGTTTGTTATAGTTTTCTTATAATTGGTGTTTATTATTGAAATGCTATCCTTAAGCCCTTTCGTACCATTTACCTCGATAATCGTACTACCTGATGATTCTTTTACTTTGATTGGTTCATCTTCTTCATCACTTTCGTTAAACAATGATCCCGAAAAATCACCATAAGGATCAGTAACTGACATCATATCAAAACTTTTTTCCGGTATAGACAAAACGCCAGGAATATTATTTTCGTAAAATTTTAGTTCGTCTAGCTTTAATAAAAGTTGTTCAATAGAATATTTAGCATCGTTAATCACTGCCGAATCATCTTTCTTGGTAGACTTCAACGCTTTATTTTTACGGAATTTGTTAAGAAAAAACCAAAACATTTTTAATTGTTTGAACACGATAAGTAAACCGATCGTTTCAATGTAGAACTATTGTTAAAATAAAATAAGCTGACTGAATAAGACAAAACTGTCAGTGTGAAGTGGCAACCTAATTAAGAGTGTTGAATAATCTCGGTAGACAGTCATTCATACTTATGTATAAAGGCTTTATATTTATTAACCAATCAACTTTTATCTAGTATATATGCTTTGAATCCGTAGTGCAGCTAAATAGTTACACATTACCGCTACTTTTGTGGGAACCCGATCACACAATATGTAGGGCATCAATATCAACATATTATAAATTATTCATTATTATATTAATATATATAATTTCTATAATATATGTTCATATTAGGGTTGGGACTAATATTCGGATTTTGCGGGTATCCGGATTATTTGATATCCGGATAATTCGGATACGGAATCCGAAATCCGGATAATTTCGGATATCAAATAATATTTCAATTATCCGTAGAACCAAAACTATCCGAATAGTTAAAAAATTATCCGGATAGTTTCGGATATTCATTTAATTTTTAACCAGCCGAATATATTTTTTTGAGTACTCAAATTTATGTATTTTTTGAAACTTTCACGGATTGAAATATCACATGGATGATTTTCAGATATATCCGTGTCAGTGGTTATTAACCGGCAGCGGAACAGTCGTGACAACCCTGAGGATGGACTTTGCAAAGAGTCCGAATAGTCGGTTAACAACCACTAACACGGATATATCTAAAAATCATTCATGTGATAGTAAAATTTAATTAGGTATCATTATTTTATTATTCGGTATGTTTAAAAACACTGTATATTATTATGGTATATTTGTCTTATAAAAATGAAATGAATATCCGAAACTATCCGGATAATTTTTAACTATCCGGATTTCGGATATCCGTATCCGAATATCCGGATAGGCCCAACCCTAGTTCATATAGCCTATAGGAACAATAATTTACCTTATCTTTTATATTATTTCATTGAAGACAATCAAGAATTAAGGTAAAAAAATGATGTAGTAAGATGTTAAAAATGTATTCGGTATTATTTATGTTAATTGTTACCTAGGTTTCTTTACTTTATTTATATGGATATCTACCTATTTTCTATAATATACAGATAAACTCATAGGCCCACCTAAGTACCCCTATACCTACTTAGCATCCCCTAACTACAAATTAACACCCCAAATTCTTACATACATTTATTAAACATTATATACAGATTTGTAAAAATTTTTATTTTTATTTTGAAAGTTTTAATGCAATTGATAATGTACAAAATAATTGCTAATATTGTACCTATCGCATACTCTTTACCTATATGATGTTAAGAAGTCGGAAATTGTTTATAGGGGTATTTTTTTTACTTTCAGGATATGTTTCATACACTTGCTTAAAAGTTGAAATGGTTGTATTGGAAAACTGCTTACTTACTAAATACTTTTTTGAAGATCTTAAACAACATTGCAATTCTAAGGTTTACTCAGTGGCTTCAAATTATTACAAGTAGCTAGCTTTACCTAACTAAAGGTACTATATGGCTATAACATCTGCAACTTGTGAAAGATATTTTTCATCAATGTGCCTAAATAAGAACTGGTTGCAACTAAATTGTTACAAAGCAGATTTACAAATCTATTCTGACTTTCTATCAAAAGAGACAAATACTAAAATTATAGATTATGAGACGATTCTTGATAAATTTGCTTTAAAGAATGCAGTTAGTTACCGGTTGACTTTTTCAAAATATTTTTTTTTTACACTGGAAACGATAGATAGTAGTCAGATTTGTCGGTCGAACTTACTTTACTTTACTTAAAGTTATAATAACTTCAATAAAAACAAAATCATTATTTATTTTGATTTTTAAAAAAGTGAAATAATTTCGTTAGTATTAAATTTTTCATAATATTTTGTTTCAAAACGCAATTACTCAAAAGTTATAATTTTTTTTTTAATTTTACTGGGTTTTAGGTTTAGAAGTTTTGCAATCAGAATTGACCTAGCATACCTACTTACTTTTTTACTTTTCTCAGGCAATTGCTGTGCATACGCCCTGAGCATGACGATTACCGCCCGATAACCCCGCATTACCTTCACTTATTATAAATTTAAAATAAATTGTTATATTTTCATCAATTTCTAAAATGTTAAATTTGAATTATGTGTAATATGCGAAGTACGAATTTGGGTAGCGTTATAACAGTGCCCCCCCCCGCCCCGCATTGTGAGGTTATACTTATCCAGCACTACCTAAAATTGATCTTTAGGTACGCCTAGTTTAGGTATTTATTCTGGTCATTAATTACATAGAGAGCTTAACAACGGTCACAGTTTCCCAAGCCATTTGTATTATTATTTTACTATTTTGATGCTCTATAATACCAAATATCCAAAATAATGATCTTGAATTTTTAAATATAAAATACCTATCTGTTGTAACATACATATAGTATATGAAATTAAAAGTTATAACTTATTTGTACTACAAATATGTATTATTAATATTATAGAGAGCGTAGTGTGTGGGTCACTTCAATGTTGTTTTTTTTTTTACTAGAATATGAAATAAGAACAGTAAACACTAAACTGTAAAAGTAAAAAAGTACAGCGCTGTCAGGCTGTACCTAACCTATAGATAGTCGATATAAAGTATAAACAGTATGTTATTCTACAGTCTACACTCTAAATAGTCTCTACAGCTGATGTGGTCTGTGCCTTTTGGACAAAACTGCGGAACGGTTATTCTTATCAAAATCACGATGGTTTTGTTTGGACTTCAGTTATCACTTATCACTTTTCGTCAATTTTTAACGACTAATAAACGCAGAAGTCAGAACTCAGAATAATAAAAAACACCAAAAGTGAAAAGCTCAACTGTAAATGGTTGATAACTGTGATTGCAAACAATCAAATTTAGGTATAAACAATTAAGAGGGGTAACCTTGAATTTTCACTGAAATATGTTTATTATATTACAACAATTATTGCCAATTGTCAATTAGGTACATAGTATTATTATAAAATATTTCGGTTTTTAATTTTAAAAAAAAATTATGTCAAGAATAATATTTTAAAAATGGCTAAAAACTTCTTGAAGAGCAGCATTGAAAATGCATCTCTTAATATACTTCTACAAGTCAGTAAAATATACATCTATATTTTTATTACTTAAACTGTAATATTTATATTTTAATCATTTTTAGATAGCGTTCCGATGTCAAACATTTATTTTAAATGCGCATGTGTTACGATATGTCTCCCAAGATGAAGTCGGTGTTACTAATGTTCGATTGTTATTGCTAGAGTCCACAGTATTGTTTCTCAGCCGAGAAGCTTTTCGAAGGGCCTGTTTAACAGATACAATAAACCATAACTGGCCAAAGGTCGTCAATCTCATCTGGCTGGCGTATGTGAACACCTGGTTAAATATTTAATGGGTAGTAACTAATAAGTTTAACTTTACAGAGTATCACTATGCGTTGCAATTTGCGGGTTGTTTGGTTATATTTGGTTAAACATATTGGAACAGCCAAGTTCGTCTGTTACTATTTATTACAATTTTGGAGTTTGGGCGATACTCATTAGCTGTGTCATGGAATTATGCTGCGAACAGTTATACATAATAGCACAATCATTTTTGTTTGTTAAACTACAGGTTAATATCATAATCCATTTAATATCGTAAACAATGTACTTTTAATTCTAACCTTATATTTAAGAACATCATGTGAATGTATACATTAATTTATTTTATTTTTAGGTTGTGTTGGAAATTATTAATATTATGGTACGAACGATAGTTTATACAACATTGGTATTGTCTTGGAGCGGTCAAAATTCTGTTTTGGCTTTTTCTTTAGCGCAACTTGCTTCAGTTTTTGCGTATACAATATCGTTTTATGTATACTTTTGGTATTATATAAAACATCAGAATAAAGATTTTCCATTCAAGTCTATGTGGGATTTTTTCCCAAATATCTCTAATAAAGTAAAGTATTACTAAAACGGTCATTGTAATTACTATATTATGTATTTGGTTTTTAGAAATGGTCTGAGTGTTTAGATATACCATTAGTTATGTTGCTTTGGAGTTTCATGAAACAGGGTTTAATGAAACAGCTTCTTACCGATGGAGAACGTTATGTCATGACATTTTTTAATACTTTAAAGTTTGATCAACAAGGCGTATATGATATTGTGAATAATTTGGGCTCATTAGCTGCTAGATTTTTATTTAAACCCGTTGAGGCTGCTTCATATTTCTATTTTAGTCAACTTGTTCACAGAGATATTCCAATTAAAAAACAGATAGAGCAAGTAAGCATAATTTATAAAAAGCTATAATTATTATAGTATAATTTAAATACATTTTGTATAGGATTCCAATAAAGTAAAAGAAGCAACTAGTGTTTTAGAATGTCTATTACGAATTAATAGCTCAGTTGGTCTAGTAGCATTATCATTTGGCCAAGCATATGCAAAACTTGCTTTGTTTTTATATGGTGGGTCAAGTTTAGCCCTTGGCATAGGACCTATTTTACTGAAGTTGCATTGTTTGGCCATTTTATTTTTGGCTGTGAATGGAATTACAGAATGTTATGCTGCTGCTACAATGAATGTCACAGAATTAAATAAGTACCTATGTTGTTTTTATGAATAATAGATTATAACATAATCTGTTCATTTTTTTCATTTTTTTAGGTATAATATTGAAATGGTCATGTTGTCTGTGATATTTTTATTTATATCGTTTTTGTTGTCTTGGTTTCTGGGTGGAGTAGGATTCATTCTGGCTAATTGTTTCAATTTTACTTTTAGAATTATACAATGGTACAGTACATTTTTTTTAAATAATTACTTTGATTTATCTTATCAAATGAAAAATTAATTTATGTTTTATTTTAAAAAAGTTGTATTAAATAACACTTTTTTCAAATGTTTTAATAAGATAATTATTTAACAAATCCGATTAACAATAAAATAAATTTGAATTAAAATGTTTTTTTTCTCTTACTCTGTGATTGTGGTTTTTGTAGATCTTAGTTTCAGATATTATTATTAAGTATATTAAGAGTAAAAATAAATACAGGTTATTTCACATTATTTTGATACATTTTATAATTTACAAACAAATTTATCAAAATAGCATGAAATGTCATATATAAACTTATTATTGTTTCGCTTGCCCTACGAATAAATATAAATTATTTCGCTTTTGTAAAATATGTTTTTCTTTTTTATAGTGGACGATATATTTTATTCCAATACAAAGATACCAATTTCAAACCACTTAATGGGCTGTTGCCCAAAAAGTCATTCATTGTATGCTTAATACTTTCAACCATTTTAACATTATATTCTGAGGTAAATTTTATAATTGAATTTTTACTTAAAAACATAAATGTAACATAATTCCAATTCTTTAATTACAGGAAAAATATTATGAAAATAATAAAATTATTCACGTTTTAAATGGCGGCATTATGTTTGTGTTGACAATATCTATTTGGTTGTTTGAAGAAATATCTACATTTAAATTCCTCGCAAAAGTTTACCGATCAAAACACAATTAAACTATTATTTTTGTAATAATATATTACAAAAGGTTTATATTACATATTAAAACGGAATAATTTTTCTTATCATTTTTTAGAATGTACTTTTTTTTACCAAAAAGTTGTTGTGATAAACTGTTCATTTTTTTATTTTATACAATATATATTTTGTTACCAACGGAGTTAAATAAGTACAATTTGTTCATTCATTTGTAATCAACCCAAACTTATAAATGACTCTTTGGCTATAGAAATTTGAAGGTTCTAGTATAATGTTGACAAAGTCTTTCTGAAACATTAGTAATTAAAACTATATAATATGTGTAATGTGTTATTTGACAAAAGTAATAACATATTAACTAACATGAGTGACAGCATCTGGATACAATTGAGGTCGTATAGATATACCCGAAAGTCTATTATATATTGTTTTAGATTTGCCAATTATTGGGTTAGTTTTTTTAACTTTGTTGTTTTGATATGCCGTTGTTGGTATTTGCAATGAATTTCCCTCCTCCATGTCCTCTGGTACTAATTGTTCAAGACTATAGATGGACAAATCTTCAGCAGTTTCTGAATGTTGCTCGCTTCCGCTTTCCCCAAACATTGCATTAGGACTAATTAAATCTGTAACTTTCGTTACTTTTTCATCTTTTATCATTATATTCCCATAATCTGGAAAATCCTGTGCAGTATTTATATGAATACATGGCATGTCTGTATAAACGTCTAGTGTGCGGCCAGATGATTTATGCACTAAGCTGTTTAAAATTTGTTTTTAATAATAAATAGATAATAATAAATACTAAAAAAAAATATTATACCTGGCTGCTAGATTAAATGCCTTTTTTTCTTTGCCCTTAAATAATTTGAATGTATGGTTATACCCAACACCAGGAATATGGCTAAAAGCTTTTTTCAACAATCTAGGCACACGTAAATCAAGACACGTTTGTCTCACATCTTTAAGTATACCAACAGGTCTTCGATCTGGCAACTTGATTACTATATATTCGTCTGCATTGACCATTAATGAATGATTCATAATTTCAGACTCGCCTGCGTCCTATTATTACATTCATTTTAATATTTTATGTTGAATAAACTACTAATATATATATATTTTTTTTTTTATTACATGACCAGCCAAGTTGAAAAAAATATTAGAAGATAAGTTCAATGGTGTAGGCTTTGACGATAATGCCACATAATCTATGACTAATTCATTTTTACACGTTAGTTGATAGGTTATGCGACTATGCAATATTCCGGGATATCCTTCTTCACCTTCAGGACTAGAATATGTTAGCACTAACTTATCGTCAGAGATATGGCCATGCCAAACAACCTTGTCAAAACCATTTTCACCACCATTATAATGATGACAGCCACAATTTTTTGTTAATTTAGCCGTGTTTCCTTTATAATTAAATTTTCCATCTGTAATGTAATCTGTTACTCTACCTATAGTTCCACCGATGAAATGAGCATTCTTTTTTCTATACTCTATTTAAAATTTGGAAACATTTTAGTAAAATGGAAATTTATAATATTCTATAGTCATACCATCAAGAGTATCAAACCCTAATAAAACATCATCCGATTCTCCTAAAACATTTGGTAACCAACACGATATCATAGTAGCGCCATAATTGATTATTTCTATTAAAACGCCATGTTCATTTGTTAATGAATACTTGATTATATCAATATTTTGACCATTTTGATCCTAGTAATATATTGTTTGAATTATAAAAAAAAAGTGTTTACATAACTTACTTAACTTTACTTTAATATTGCCATAAAAATCTTCTACAACAAAACTATATTTTTTTTCTTGCTTTGTCCCATGCTCAACTTTTTCACCATCACCTTCATCTTCTGTCAAAATATTGTTATAAACATCAGATTCATTTAGTTTGGAAAATGTCTGATTTGACAATTTGAAATTATCACTCATATTTTTTTTAACAAAATAATACTTAAAAAATGTAATTTGAAAAATATACAAATAAACATTGATATCTATGTATATAATGAGCAATGAGTTAAAAGCAGTCCTTACACTAATATTATTAGCCAATATAATTATAAATTAAATAATAGCTAAACAAATAAAAAATTATAAATAAAAATTGTTTTCACATTTGTACAAATACTTAATACTAAAAATAGTAACTTGTTTTATAACCGCTCTAACTCGAGACTGACTAAATAAAAATCAAGTAGTGTTTATTCCATTTCACTGTCACTAGTTTCAATTTTTTCTATGCCTTCAATAGAAGAATCGTCATCAGTTTCACTTTCTGACCCGTCTCTATTTTCATTTTCATGTTCTATAACTGCTTTGTCACTTATATGTGCTGAAGTCTCCATAAATTCGGCAAACCTAACATTTTTCAAAAAATATCAAACAATGAAGTAAAATATTTAACCGGTTCTATGACATCTTACATTTTAGGGTTACGCAGTTTACTCATAACTTTCCAAGGATCACAGCCTGGACTCCTACAATACTGGCGTAATTCTTCTAGAGCTTTGGGTGTTTCAGTCAATCCTTGCTGAATGTATTCATCATCAGACAGTAATCGTGGTTTTAGACGACTCTTGCCAAATAACTTTGCAGGAAAATGTATTATGTTGTAATAGATAATAATACTTATTATGTCAACCAAGACCATAGCTTCTAAGTGGTAACTGCAAGTTGTAATCATTGCTAAACCAGACCCCTGTAATCATATGTGTAACATATTAAGGTAATTGTATTAATTCCAGTTAGCATCACATTATAAATATGAAACATTCATTTGTAAAATTACCTGTAATGTCCATCTAATTAAATCTATAGACCTTTGGTTTGTCACTGGACCATATCTGTAGCAAACTACGAAGCTAACAAATGCCGAAAATACTACATACCCAATTACATATTTGTAGTACATAAACAGTACGACATTCAGATTTTCTACTAAAATCTGTAAACCATACAAACCTAAAGTACAACTAGCTCCGAGGAATCCCAACATAGTTTTTTTCTAAAATAAATTTAAATATATTTTTACTACACATATTTTAATAAAGATTGATTTTAAAACACTCACTTTGGGTATAAAACGACTAATAAAAAATATGACAACAAGAAAAGAGGCACACACACCAATTGTAATGCCACATAAATAGTAAAACAATGAATTGTAGCTAAGTCTTGCTGAATATGCAAATAAGTATAATCCGATTATGAACATAGCTAGTCGCCTAGTATCTAATGCTATAATGAAACATATTAAATTTTAGCAATTATTGTTACTTAATATGATAAAATTGTATTTTCCCATACCATCAGAAGAAATACTTATTACAAAATCAGCATTTGTTTTAATACTAAAACAAGTTGGTTGAAATGGATCTAGTTTGAAATCTTTTACCCTCCAAAAAAATGAAATTATTTTGTTTAGAGATAAAACACTTTCATCAATACGCATTTTTTCCTGTAATAGCTGAGCATTAGTATCCTGGTAAATTAAAAACTCCTCTGTATTGTTAATTGTTAAATTAACCTGAAAAGCAATATAATTAGAACAATTCACTACTTTCTATCCAACATTTCTTGTTTCTTACTGTAATGCTTTGAAAAACATTGACTATTGTTTTATCATTTCCTGGGTAACAATAAATTGGGGGTAATGGATATTTTCTCTCATTGATTGTACATTTTCTTGTTTCTCCAATATTAATTTCGTATATCAGACCTATATTAATCATAAATATTTAAAAAAAGTATATAATGTATATAAATAAGCAAATAATATACTTAATATTTTAATTATAATTAGTTCTAAAAATATCTTTGTACAATATAATAAACAATTAAAAATAATTTTGAATTATGCTTACCCTTTTGGGCATTAACTACTGTTGCAGTTATTAATATAGCTGTAAAACAATCAAGATAGTTTTTAGATATCATTTTGACAAATAAACGTTCATTAAAGAGTGCTTTTTATGCACGAAACTTCCTTAATTTAAATTGTAATAGTAAAAAAAAAACGGTATCAATATTCATATTAAAAGTCCGTTAGGAATTGAGGTCTGGGACCTGGGGATGATGAAAAATTATGAAATACCGAACTGTACATTTTTCGATAATCAAAAGAAAAAAATTATATGACCCTAACCTCATTTCAACATTTCATGGAGGTATGAAACAATAGTGAATTGATCATAACTGCAGTATTGAATGATAACAAATTGTATTAAATCCAAAATTCAAATTGTTATGTTATGTTAAATTTTCTAAAATGCCTGTGGATTTGCATAGGCTAATTCAAGGTTGGCTGGAACTAGAAAGTGATCCAGGTTTATTTACATTGTTATTAGAAGACTTTGGTGTAAAAGGCGTCCAGTTGGAAGAAATTTATGACCTTCAAAAACCTTTCATGGATGGTCCAGTTTATGGTTTCATATTCTTATTTCGATGGATTGAAGAGCGTCGTAGTCGCAGAAAAGTTGTTGATCAAACAGATATATTTGTTAAAGACGATGAAGCTGTTAATAGTTTATTTTTTGCCCAGCAAATGATACCAAACAGTTGCGCTACTCACGCCTTATTATCGGTGTTACTCAATTGCTCAGATATTCACCTCGGAGAGACATTAGGACGACTCAAAGAACATACAAGACTAATGGATCCTGAAAATAAAGGATGGGCTATTGGTAATACACCCGAATTAGCACGAGCTCATAATTCTCACGCTATGCCAAAAAGTAGACCACGTATGGACAAAACACCAGGCCTAACAACTGGACGATTTACTGGTGAAGCATATCATTTTGTTAGTTATGTACCTATTAATGGTCACTTATACGAGTTAGATGGTCTCAAACCTTATCCTATGGATCATGGACCTTGGGCTGAAGGAGAAGATTGGACTGAAAAATTTAGACGAGTAATAAGTGACCGTTTAGGTGCTGCTGCTGACTATAGTGATATAAGGTTTAATTTAATGGCCGTAGTCCCAGACAAGCGAATAGCTATAACACACAAATTAAACATGCTTAAGACAAATAGACAGATTGTCTTGGAAGCATTGCAACAGCTTGTACTTGTTGATGACTATGGAAAAAAACGAAAAAGCAGTGAAAATGATTTATCTCCAAGTAAATGTGTTAAAAAAGATGTTTCTCCTATTCCTAGTACTTCAAAAGATTTTAATGATGAAAAAGTAATATATTTATTTGTTTTATTTTATTTTTCTCTTTTTTAACTTACTTCTTATCAATTTATAATTTTAGACATGTCCAGAATCTAGTAATATTGTGGTAATACGAGTTCAATCATCTAACAGCGGCCTTGAAGGTGAAGGAGATCAAAAAGACATAAAAAATGTTTGCTTAGAAGCAGGAGCTATGCCACGAGGTTGGGAAACTCCATCCAGTCATTCTAAAGACAAAGAACTAGAAAGTAATCAAACATCAGAATGTGTTATGAAGGCTAACCATACATTTGCTCCTAAAGATTTATTGGCCTTGGCTAAAAATTTAGAACTAGAAATAAGTATGAGTGAAGGTAAAAATAAAATTGTGGATTATGTATTTATTGTAAGGAGATTGGAAACGGTCTAATTTTAGGGCAAAAAATGTCTGTTTTTTTTTCCATTATATTTATCGAAATAATGCTGGATTTACAGCAAGTCGACAAAACAACAACTTTCTGTTTTCTGACAAATAGGAGACAAAATGAAAACAATTCCACAACATTATCCAATCTCGCGACACAATGTGTGTGTTTTTGGAGACATTTTTGTGTCTCCTCGAAAGCGGTAAACATGAAAAGGTTTATGTTATGTTTCTGTTTTCGGCAACATCTGTCTGGTATTATAAATATATATTGGTGTTATATCATAAAATATAATCGATCCATATATAAATGCATATTTTAATACTTCATTATTAATGCGTATTAAAAGCGGTTACATATTCTCTCTGTCGCTGTCTCTGTTTCCATTTTGTTGTTTTTTTAATGTAAACAGAATGTCTCCATTTTGTTGCTGTTTCTAATTTGTTGCTAAATTTAAAAATTCAATTTGTTGCTGTTTTGTCGGCTTGGTGTAAACCCGGCATAATAATTTGATCTATGAATCTGAAGACAGCCTTAACTCTTTGGCATCTCATTTAGAAAATTATTTTCCAATTTTTTTTTGTCAAACATCGACTTAAAACTTATTAATTTATATGTATACAAGATAATTTATAGAATTATAAATTCTTGCAAACATCTTATAATTTTTTTTTTCTTATAAATAATCGTCCAATTCAGAAAAAAAAATATATAGTTAAAGAGTAAACTGAGAATATTGACCAGAACGTTATCCAGCCATAAACAATGGTCCACAATATAACCACTTAAAAATATACTGTTTCCAATCCTCTTAATGCATAGTATATAATTATTTTATAAGTAATAATTATACTTTACAGGTATATTACGTGAAGAAAATGAAAAACGCAATAAATATAAAATAGATGATTGTAGACGAACTCATAATTATGATCAGTTTATTTGCACATTTTTAACAATGTTGGCTCAGAAAGGCATATTAGCTGATTTAGTACAACAACATTTAGGAACACAAAAAAAAAACTCAAATGCACAACTTTCATTATCTGTACAATCACAATCTGGAAATCAAATTCAAATGAAATCTAAAAGTAACAAATCAAATTCCAAAAATAGTACTACAACTACGGCAACAAGACTTAGGAAAAAACGCAAAACTACTGCCAAAAAAGGCCGTAAGTCATGACAGGTCATAATTTTAAATGAAAAGTATTTTTCACTTCGGTAGGACATCTTGTTAGAGGATATAAAAGAAGGTATTTAAAAATTGAACAGGGAAACATTTTGATCATACTAATTTATGTGCTGATACTTTAATATTATCTGGAGTTTACTAATTCATTTTGGTATCTACTAATTCTATGTGTTCTTTATATTATTAAGTATTTTTAGTCATTACTAAATTTTTATTACAGCTGAAGTGGAGTACAAAATATGTCAGATAAGTGTATACCATAAAACTTTTTAAATAACAATAAAAAAAACTACTAATAAGATCTTTAACTATTTTTCATTGTAATGGGACATTTATACATAAACAGTAATTTTTAATTAGGCCATAAACGAAGTCAATACAGTTTTTAAATTTTAACTATTATTAGGTAGTAGATAGTCCATTCATTTATTGGCATGGTCAAAATTTCCCTTGCTCAAGTCTTTAAATAAACTACCCAACTATTATATCCTTATAAAAATAGTGTCACCGAAGGCCTTGATACACCAAATATATTATATTGTTAGCCTATTGTTATTTTGATACAATCATCACAGTTGATATTTGTTATCTATTTATATATTTTTTATAAATTTATACTATTTTAGAAATTTAATTGTAAGATAAAGCAATTAATTATTTTTAGTTGATTACAAAATACTACTATGTAGATACCAGAGTTTATTTAAAACTCTATGCGATAAAAAAACAAATTATATTATTTTAGGAACTCAATAACTGAGACATTCTATGTTGAAAGGGCATGTAGCGTACACAGTGGCCAGTGCTAGCTATACCTAAGTTCTAACCCCTTTTATACAATGAATGTCTCAGTCATCCATAAAGACTATTATAAGGATAATAATTGGATATCAAATTTTTTACTCTTTATTGTAAATAATTTTTATAATTGGATCTCATAAAGTCCGAAATAATGGACACTTTAAATTCTTTTTTCTTTCCTTCTTTTTTTATGATTTTTTTATTTATTTATATATTATATTTATTGAACAGCACTTAAGCTTTTATTTTTAGTATTGTTATTCTAATCTTTCAATATATATTTTACTTTAAATTTTGTATTTAATTTGATGAATATATGTATTATAATTACAATTGTTTTGGAATAATTCACTTTGGACTTTTGTTTTAATATATTAAAGTTTTCATTCAATAATCTGTGTCTAACGAATCACTGAAGTAATAAGAAGTATTATTCTTATATTCAACATTTAATCATACTGAAATAATTCATATAGTTACTTAATTATTTAAAATAAACGATTAGCATTAAAAAAGAACTGATAGGTTGGTTATTAATAAATTAACCTAATTTGTTAACATAATATGTATATACAGGATGATTTATTAAAAAAAGACACTCATTTTTTTGAAAAATAGTTGCAATTTTGTAGTTTTTATGTTATTGTACAACATAAATAAATGACCAAATATTTACTCTTTTAGGTAATTTCCAAAGCGCTACCAACTTTTGAAACTTAAATAGTAACATATATTATATTTAATTAACTTTTTAAAAGAAAAATAATTTGCTGAAAAATTTGACTGGTTAGGTTAGATTACTTTTAAAATTTAAAAATGATGGCAGAAGTTGAGTGCGACTAATAATACGTGGAGATAAAAATAATACTACACTCCACTCTTCTTCCCGTCCTAAACTTCAAACTTTAAAAGTAATCATTTAAAACTGATTATTGACCATTAAAATTGGTTAGCAAATTATTCTTCTTTTAAAAAAGTAATTAAATATACATACGTTACCATTTAAACTGATAGTTGATAGCGCTCTGATAGCTAGTAGCTTTATTATATTAAATAATAACAAATCAAAATATTTAAGAAAAAAAAACTATAAACACTCAATTATTTTCTTGAAAAAATGAATGACTTATGTTAAATAGATCACATTAAATTAAGTTTAGTCCTTTATCAATAATATAAACAGAAAAATCAAAATGAAGAAACGAAAAAGTAATGAGTGCTAAGCACTGGGATTTGCGATTATGCTTATTAGTTATTAGTTACTTTTGTGTTCATACTTAAATACAGGTACATTATAGTTTCAGCTAAAAAATATAAGATTTTGCGCAAACTAAACTTAAACAAAAAGGTTAAAGAAATAATTACAGTATCTAACCATCTAGGTATTTTATCGAAGAGGGCTATAGGTCCAGCAATTTTTTTTATCTATTGGTAAAGGAGGTTATCATATATTAATATTTTGACATTCCTTATAAAATTTAAATTTCAACAATTTAACAATAATATCATTTGCCGAACGAAAAATAAAACTTTAGCCCTGTGTATAAGCTGAAGTGTAGTATTTCGTTGACAGATTTCGTTGTCAACGCTCTTTTTCTACTGAACCTACTTGTTTTAAAAATTGTCTTCAACATTTAAGGAGATATTGAAAAAAACTAACGACCATCATTCGCCATCCATACGAATTAAGAACACATTTGAATAGGTACAACTTTTATTTTGACTTGCAAAATGTTATAAAAATGGATTCTTTTAATTGGTTCTCACTAGTCACTACTTCAATTACTTGAAAACTTAATAATACTTAACAGCGATTGGTAGGATTGAATATAACTTTTTTAGGAGCTTTGCTTTTAGTAAGGGCAATTTTTCGTAAGACCTCGCGTTAAAGCTTGAGCTATTGAGTAGGTACTGTGTAATTTTATTAGTATAGTAATTAAACAATGTAAGGATTTATTTTTGGTAGTTTTTTTTTACCAGAGCACTACAGTGTTCATTATTAATAATGGTATTTTCATTATTTTAAACCAAATAATAGCTACATAAATTGAGTTTGACTAGGTTCAATGAAGGAGCAGTGGTGTAACCACTGTGGTGGTAGGTGCACTCGGATCGTGGGACCCGGGCAACAATCTGCTCCTTCAAAAGCAGATCTTATTCATTATTTTTTTTACATTTGATTAACATGGGAAATTTTAATTTTTTTTTAAAAGTTTTGCTTGAAAACTAAGCAACATTTTTTTGTTTGAAAAAATGGTTCTTACAATTAATATACTAGGACACTTGAATACCCATCTTTTTATACTTCAAGATAACATTTTATTTTTAGCAAGTTATAAATTTATCAGTTTCAGTAGTTTTAGTTACTGTAACTTTGGTAAAAAAAATTGTATCGTGAAATATTAAGAGTGATTCTGAAGAGTCATATTTCAGCTTTAGAAATATTTTTTTTTTAATTATAAAAATGTTTATTAGTTTTCAAGTAGAATTTGTTATATAAAAAATTAAAATTTCCTACTTTAATCAAATGCAAAAAATATCACGATGAAATACTTAAGAGTTAAGCTAAGAGTAGGGATCTGAATTTTAGAGAGTTCTTATTTGAGTCGATTACCATTGGAAGGGTAAATAAAAAGTTTTTTTAGATACAGTCTTGTGAGTACCTAGTTTATCTCAATAGGTGGAACTAATTAGCAAAATTTATCGCAAAACTATTAATTACTAATTTATTGTTAAAATATTAACCAAACCTGTTTAACATGACCTTCCTCGTGTTAAACAAAAATTGAACCAATTTTTTTTTACCACAGTTATACCAGTTGCTGCAATCTGCTTCGGTGTTAATGAAAGGCCGTTTATTCATGCGACATGCATTGCATCTGCGGAACCTACGACATAATACATGTTCGAAAATAATTTATTGACGTGGGCTCTTGATTTACAATTTATAATGGGCTCTATAAGAAACATACAACTATATATATATATATTTACTTAATAATGATGAAATAAATAATTCATTGATGAATTACAGCACGACGATTTTACTTTGGACCAATCGCATAAATTTGTATTTAAATAATATAATGGCACAAACAAGCTCGCGTTACCCCCGAAACAAAAATGATTGGGGTCCGTAAATGTATAAAGGAAAACTAGTCTCTATAAGAGCAATAATTTACAGTCTAGCGTTACTACTCAGTTGTGCGTGTAACAAGATACAACCTGGTCATTGCCTGTATCGAGTCCTCGCAGTCTGGAATGCGTCTACAGATTCTGAAAAATATAGCACGTTTAGCCCCGTGAGAAAAATTACTACAGTCGATGATTCGTATTATAAAAAAACAACTCAAATCATACAACCGGTCTGTATTATAATTTATAAACCGCATTTTGACAATGTACCATAGTAAATAAAAACCCATTATTATAGTTCTGGTGTCAATAATTTTTGAAAGTGTGTTATTCGATCGGCGTGCGTTTTAGTTGGTTGCATTTGGAATATCAACAATATATTTTGTTTAAAATTGTTACAAACTGTTGAACACTGTAGTAGAGATGTAGATGAAATTTTGTTGCCGTTTATTTTGGAAATGCGTCTATTCGGCAAGGTAACCCGTTGAAACCGCAAAAAAAAAATGTCGAGAAAAATGCTCGTGTAATGTTCGGCCAAACGACGACTTTCGTTAGTATATAAATTATTTTTCGAAAACAACGCGAAATGGTATTATTGTTTTACCCCGAGTCGGCAACAAAACGTGAACAAAATGCGTCCGATGTTTATTTTATGGGCTCTTGACAAGTCGTCATAAGAGCTAACTGCAATGAGATTGTGGACTTGGAAATCAATTTCTTTGGTTTTGTTCGCGGTAATCATTCCGGCCAGCAACATCCAGTGGCTGTAAGTACATAATTTTTATCTTGCCATTAATACGATTTATGTATTATTTATATATGCGCGAAAAAAGCATCACGAAAACATTTAAATTTATTTTTTGTTATCGCCTCGTTATGTAATGTATTAATATAAACAAGGAATGTAGAAAAAACTGGTTGCGATTTCGTTTGTACAAAATTAATTTTTTCCCCCTAGGGCCTAGACGCATAGACGAAACTAGGTAGTCATTTTAGATTAAATCAATTTAGAACTATCTAAAATCAACAAACTAAAATTGTTTTTCAAAATTAATTTTGTACTTGGACAATGTAAATCCACCCCGTGGACTCTGAAATTAGACTTATAGAAATATTAAGAAAACTCCTCTAAGTTCATTTCAAGTAGGAATTCCGTAGGAGTAATAGTAGGTAAAAGTTCATTAGGTTGTGGTAACATAAAAATTGTTTTGTTTTTTATTAAAATATTGAACTTTAAAACATTTTTATATCAATATAAATTTAAATTGAATACTATTGATTGCTACTTTAAAATATTTAGCAGTTGCAATTGCATAATTAAGTTACCTTATTCATCCCAACTGAGTTTATTTCTCTAATGCTGGGTTGCGCAAAACTTTAATGTTTCCATAAACACTTATTAGAGCATTTTAGTCCCAACACAGTTTTTGGAGCCATTTAAGTTTAGTGCAATTATTTTAATAATTTTAGTACCTACTTAGTTATATTATACTAACTAGGTTGGCTGAAATATTATACTAATACTGAATAAATAGGTAGATTATTTTCAGGTAGATTATATTATTGTGTTTTTTATCTACTGTAACCGGATAAGAATCCTATAAAGTTTAATGTTCTCCATCGATCGAGCGGAATTTCCAACATTAATAAGTAATTTAAAAAGATCAGAGACAACATTTTATGTTAAATACATTTTTTCAGTTACAAAAACTATTAAAAATCTCGACGTAAAGTAATCTCATTTCACATCCGCCACGACAGCTAATCTTAATTTACACCAGTGGGGTTGATTTCAATCCATCATTCCTTCTATAATAAATAGCCCTTGTGGTTTTTAATCATATGTTGAAAACAATGTTTTTTTTACCACAAAACCTTGGCATTTGGATTTTAGCACAAGTAATAAATTAAATGTCAGGTATCATCGAAGGCAATCCATATCTTAATTCTTGAAAAAGAAGTTTACAGTAACGTTAAATTAATTTATTAATTCGGTTATTGCGTAGGTAGCTATAACAAAATACACACATAATTATAATTTATAATGTTGTCGAATTGAATGCGCGAAAAATACATTTTTTACATAATAGAGATTAATAATAAAGAGATTATATATTATATAGATTTATTATACTATAGAAGAAATATCATCCAGTTTTGACTAACACGTGTTAGCGACTATTTAAATTTTTTTTTATTCTCTATTTTGTTTTTATCTTATCGAAAACAATTATGAAGATATTTTGCACAAGACGTGTGCAATAGGCGGAAAACGTTGCACGTGCACCAAGGATACTTTAGTTTTGCTCACTTCGTTACCGCATGTGTCAAAGGACTTCGGCGGTATTAATCCATACATATATATGGTTTCTTTCGATAATATTATTATTCTGACAAGGCATGTATTGAACAAAATACGTTCGGTTGCATTTTTTCGACCTACGCAATTTATAGGCGTTAACATCGAATAATAAATTCCCTTTGATAATCGATCATGCATAAAGCATGCACGTTTAGTTGGGTTCAAAAACTTACTTTTAAAAAACTATAAGTTATAAAAATTGTCTCAAAATATTTTAAACATGAAAATAACCATTATTATCTCAACTTTGAAATAAAAAACAATCAGTAGGTATAGACAATAATCACTATAGACTGTAGAGCTCAACCTGCGCCGGCTGGAGTACCGATTATTTTCATCATTAACCTAATGCAAATTACTGAAGTATTTTTTGTTTTAATTATTACAGTATTTATTTTTTAATTCATTAATTTAAAAAAAACCTTGAATTTTGATACATTAGTTATATTTTGTGTGAACTTAAGTATAAAGGGAATTCCTGATTTAAAAAAAAAAATAAGAAGAAACTGAGGAGACCACAGCATGGTTCCTTTTGTTTCTGCGTCTACTTATAAATAAAAAAAATAATTTAAAACAAATACTAAGCTTGTTTTTAAAAATGTTTAAGTCACATAGAAGACAATCGAGTAAAACTAATAGCTTAAATGACGTTACTCGTTTTTAAAAGTTATATCTACATATAGTTATTAGTTATAAACTATAATTTATATTTTATATATACATATGAGGCACAATTACCAATTAGATATTAAAAAATTCAGTGAGAAATAATGCATTAGGTACTAATTTTATCTGCCATTTATTTTATGTGGGATGAATTAAAATAAATGTTTCGGGGACCTACGCATAATTTAATCTTTAAGTATTGCATTTAATCTCACTTTATAAATTCCTGTTTCGTAAAACAAACTGTCAAAATGGATAGTACCTACAGCAAGTTTTTACTTGCCACTCAGCTGAACTTGTTTTAAACATAAATAATTAATTCCATTAGAAAATCTAATTCAAATGTAATATTTTATTAGTATTTGTCTTCGTATTCCATTAGATTTAATGTATGGTAAATAGAATTATATAATGGTATAATGACTATGACACTCGCCACTCGGTCACGGGCGCTTCGTTTGCTGAGCAAGCTATTGTCCGGTGAAAATGAGCCGATATTCCCCTCTCCGGCGACGGAATGACGACTCGTCCCGGATAGCGAATCCGTCTAATACCTAGTGTATTAAGTTTGAAATATTTCCCTAGATAGTGAAATATTGGATTTGTATTAATTATTTTGTTATTTTATTTTAAGCTCGTCGTCAATTTAGGAGACAATTAAATAGCAGTATTATAATTTTTGAACGTGCAATCACCATCACACATAAAAGTACTTCAAATTTTACGTTCAATCAAGTGTAATATAAGTACACTATGTTTTTTTTCTTAATATCAAAATGTATAATGGTAAACACAGTGCCCAAATTCATTAAGTGTTTAGAAATGTCTTCTTCTTCTTAATGTTCCTCTTCTATCGAAGGTTAGAAATTATCAAGGCTATATGGTGTTTGTTCATATTAAAACTTCTGCATTTGTAACTTTGTCAACCCAAGATATGTCGAGAACCTATGGAAACCCCATATTTCAATTGCTTGAATTTTTAAAAAATCTGCTTTCTTCAGTGTCCAAACGTTGCAACTGAAACATTTATTAATTAATATGATAAGGAGCAGTGGGTAGATTATATGACTCCAGGTGGGGAGATAATAGGAAGTAGTACCTACCCCTTATTTTCCTGGGACCCCAATAGTTAGAAAGTAGGTACCCAAGTATGTACAATCGGCATGGTGGGATAGTGCTATTAGCTTCCCAACTTCCCGGTGCTACAAGTGTAAATCAGAATCAGACTCAGTTGAAAGTTTAGTTAAGACTCATTATAAAAAATTCCACTCAAGATTACTTCTCCACTCGAATCCATTAATAGCGAGCCAGCACACAGCCACTATTCTGGACAACCCCCCTCGCCGTCTTAAAAGACGTTGGTGTCGTGATCTTCTAAATTGCAATGCTACTGTTTGATTTCTAGCCGAAACCTGTCATAAGAGTCCTATCACTAGATAGCTTCCCCACTAATAGTCTCCCTGTCATTTATTTTCTTTGTTAGCATATTTGCCTATTGTGTATGTACAGATTGTAAATTTATTTAAAAATAAAAAGTTAATGATTTACATATTTTATTACAAGTAGGTAGGAAACCACAACTAAAAAAAACGTTACAAAACAATATTGTCTTTAACATATTTTAACTTAGGTATTTATGTATATATTTTATATATTATATATATATTTATATACATATGTTGGTCTATACCTAAGTGGTAGGAATTACACATAATAATTTATTATTCTACTTGAGGACCGCTATTTCCACTTATGTTTTACTCGATTAGATACCCATATTATTACGATTTGTCACTCAACTAGTAGTATATGTATATTATTACCAAAACAAACTCGTATCCTTTATATTATATGATTTGACTTGGCTAATAAAGTGATCACGACCAATAAATATCAAATCAATTAACTATTGACATTTAATTCAGGTTTTTCCTAAATATTATATAAACATCGACAATATGTCATCTATAATTTATACTATACATTTAAAATAGTGATAATTCTTTTTTTTCTTAATGTAATATTATAATTGTATCTAGAAACAAATTAAACCCATATTATGAATAAATTTGGCAAATTTTGTAGGTTAACAATAATTGCAATACTTTGATAAAAAAGTACGAGTATTAAATATACAGATTATTTGAACTGGATGTACAGATTATTTGCATGTCCAGGAAAATTAAATTTTATGGAATTAATCGGTTCGGCATCTGAGCGCCTCATATATCAGTCATCAGAAAACTGATCTGAAAAGTATTTTATTGTTGCAACAATTTAAAAACTTCACACCTAACACCTTCCTTTTCAAAATCGAAAAAAACACCCGAAAAATGTACATATTTTTCAACTTAAAATTATGGCGCGCTATAACTTACAATTAGTCGAATTAAGTTCAAATTTGTACAGAATATCAGTGGTGCTTCGGCATCGGAGACGATGTCTACCGACTTAGCATGTGGATTGTTTGTGCACTAGCCATTGGCGTGGCTAATGTTAGTGGCGTCAAATGATATTGCAAAAAAAATCTGTTTCTCGTTTGTGCAGTTGTTGTTGAGCGGTCGACGATGATCGTTTAGATTTTATAGCTCGACTCCCTTGCAGACATGGGTTTTCATGGAATAAATCCAGACTCTTGCAAACATTGTTATCGGCGCACGGCAAGGCGACAGCAGCGACCCAAAACGAAATTAAAAAAAAAAAAAAAATTGTGTTGCGGAGGCTGTAAAAACTCATCGAGGTAATAAAACCGTAGCGAACACGCGGTAGATAAAAACCTTAACTTGAAAAACCTTAACGCCGCCGCTATAATTTGTGGCCGGCCGTTAAAACGCGGCAAAATTATTTTGTGATCCTTTTTACTTTAAGACAACGATTGCGGCGACCAACCGGCTACATAACAATGTGTATCCTTACATTAAAGCGGCATATTACACCATAGAAAATGCTTTAAAGTCTTACCACAAATAAATTATATATGAATGTAAATAATATTGAGCATAATTACGATTTTAAAAGTAGCATTCAAAATGACTCGTACGAAAGAAAATAAAGACCAAAATTCATATTAAAATTTAACGACTGCAGACGGAAAAACAATTAAAATATTTTTTTATTTTGTATAATTACATTTTTTTAATTAGTTTGAAAAAGTTTTTACCTTTTATAATATATTATGTCAATTTTGTTTCAAGTTTTTGAAGATATATTTTTACAATATAGATAAAATAAAATAGGGTCTGGGTGGGTGCAGCTCCCCTATCAAGGAGCCTAGCGCCATTTTTTTTCAACTTCTCCCTGACCTAAAACCGTACGCCTCGCCACAGCAGAATATTCTTTACATAATATTAACAACTTACCTACGTTGACAAAACAAAAACTATCAAAAACCCCGTTTCTCAAAAGTCTGAAAATTAATCTAAACTCTGAAATGTAGATCTAGAGTGAGGCTATAACATTTTCTTAAAAATAGGTAGTCTATGTATGATTGGTCCATTACATTTTATTAAATCTAATAAATATGTAAAAATATTTTGTGCAATCCGGCATAAGTTATTTTTATTTAATCTTGTATAATGTATAAGAATAAGAAACCTAGGATATAATTCCCATTTCGAGGTCTTAAAGAAATATTATAATTCTATATTATGTTAATTCTGACTACTTGCTTAGAGCTTACAGGTGTATCTGACGTGCAATTACCTGAAGCGCGCATTAATGTTTTACTTATAACAAATTAATCATAAAAATAATAATAATTGTTCATAAAAACAATTTTTTTACTTGGTTACCTTCACAGAGAGCTGGCTTTTAATTATGTATTATGTGTGTATAAGATTTAAGAATAATAATGATAGTCTTTATCAAGACTCTCTAGTCTCTACCATACCGTATACCCTTAGATGCTGTAATATTATGATGATTTCCTGTTATACTGAATTTACTTCTTAATGCGTTGGCGGTTAGCATATAATAAAACTATTTTAATCGAAAATAAACCTCATCCAATTTCCAAGGAGACTTATATATCAACTTAAGAAAGCCTACTATACGAGCGAGCGTCTTTTTTTTTTATTAAGGCTTCAACAACATAGGTTATTAGCCTGAAATTAAGTCTTATGAACTAATTTCTCAGAACACCTAAAAAATCCCAAAAATGTTTGTCAACATTCAACTAATTTACATTTTTATAGTTATTTATATAATTGTCATTGTTGCATATCATCATAGGCACTAGCTATGGGTAGTTTTGGGCTTTCAAACCATCCCACTAGGCTTTTTTTACTTCACTACTGCCTTCTCCAAAGAGGAAGTACACATAACAATATATAAATATGTATTATTTTAGAACTCCAGCTTGACCTATTTCTAGCTATGCTACTGCATGGTTTAGGTACTGGTTTTGATACTGATTATTTAAAATATATTACAGGGGTATGCGTAGGGCGAATAGAATGAACTGGGATAACGCAAGCGTTTGTCGAACTTTACGTAGGAACTACGGTCTGGATTCACGTCAAACTCGCATTTGCAAAACATGGCGCCCTGTCATGCAACACATATCCCAAGCAGCAACATTGACGGTTGTCGTTTGTCAGGCAGTATTACAGAACAGACGATGGAACTGTTCATCCGTACGAGCTGCACCAAGATTAACACCAGAGCTAGTTAAAGGTTGGAAAACTGGTTTTCCTTATATTTTAAATAAATATTAAATATTAGGAATTTTGAATAGTTATACCTTCACATACCTAAGCATAACATAACTGATGAATTATTTTTTTTTCATTAGTTTATATTCTTAGAAATTATGAAAAGTTGAACATCTTGACAGTCGTTGTCTTTCCTCTTATTTACTGCTTTATGGTAATTTTTTTTCCACCACACCATGGGGGAGAGTATTTACATTACTTCCCCCTGGTAGGCATCATTTATTGAAAAAAAAAAATCAATACATCTATTAAATCTTTATGGTAATTAGCATACAGAGATACAACATTTTTTTCTCTAACAAAACGTGGATAGTTTTGCATAATTATTGTCCCTACTAGATAAATATCAAGAATTGAATGAAAAAAACTCACATTGATTAAAAAAAAAAAACGTGTACATTTATTATTGTTTTTAAAATATATACATTTTTTTTATTTTTCAGGTACTAAGGAACAGTCATTTGTGTACGCATTGAGTGCGGCAGCAATGACTTACACAATAACTAGAGATTGTGCAATGGGTAAAATATCAAATTGTGGGTGCGGTACGCATCCGGAAGCCACTGATGGAACATTTAAGTGGAGGGGTTGTGATGATAATATTCGGTGGGGTTTGAAATTTGCCAGACAATTCACTAAAAGCGACGATATGTTCATTAAGAAGTCAAACAACACTTATAGTGATACTGATTTATCATTAAACGCCAACGACGATATGGTTCTACGCGAGCAAAAAGCTTTAAATATAATCAACGAACATAATTATAAAATAGGCAGAAAAGTGAGTGACAAAAGCAACTTACAGTATAGTTTGTATTTTCAAGTGGTTTTATTTAGATGGTTATGTCAAGTGTGACGACCCATTGTAAGTGTCACGGAATGTCAGGGTCGTGTAATGTGAAGACATGTTGGAGAGGTTTGCCAAACAAGTTCATCGAAGTGGGTCTCAAGTTACTGAAACATTACAACAAGATGACAGTTCAAGTCAGCATGGCTCAAGTCACTCGATTAGGTTTGCCAGAAAATGTGGACAATTCATTAGTGTATGTCTCAGATTCTTCAGATTATTGTGATTATGATTTAAAAAGAGGAAGTTTTGGAACATTTGGCAGGTAGAATATATAAACTTAACTTATAAAAAAAGTTTTTTTTTTAAAAATAAATAATTATTTAGAAAATGTAACGCAACAGCAATTGGCTATGAAAATTGTTTTTCAATGTGCTGTGGTCGTGGATATACAACACAAATTATTGAACACACAGAACGATGCCAATGCAAATACCACTGGTGTTGTTATGTTAAATGTCAAAGTTGTAAGAATCTGGTCAATCATCACATTTGTAACTGATAAATTCTGAAATATTGTGAGCTATATATGTATTTATATGTATATAACATATTGGATAAGACAATTAAAAATAAATGTTTTAATTGAACAATAAAAATATTAAAATTCACTTATTTTAGCATTTATTTATATTATACCATATACTTTTAACAAAAACTATGTGGTAAAAAAACACTGGTGACAAAAATAAAGTATAATATAAATGATGTTGGAAATAATTTAGGTATGTTACCATACGCAACTGACAAAGAGATCGTTTGCACTTCACAATTTTCAAATTTTATTATTACAATATGTATTACAGCTCTGTATGCTTTTCGAGTTCTGAAAATAAAATGGCAAATTGCTTGTTAGTATTCTACACTAATACAAATAAAAGCACAAAAATAATAATAAAATTAGTCAATAAAGATTTAAGAATATATTAATTCTACATTGTTTCTACAGTCTACACACATTAATACATGGTATCTGTTTAACCTTAGAACTATTTGTTTATCAGCAAAGCTCTGGTAGAGAATTTATATGCAATGATGCATTACTTTAAGCCAAAATACTTTAGTATAAAGTAAAATTTAATTTCTAGTTTCCATTTGTAGAAACTTATTACTAAACACTACTAACTTAATATAAAATGCAAACTAAATTATTATATTCAAACAAAAGAAAAATTTATAAATTTTTATATATTACCAATTGACTGAACTTCTTCTTTAATAATCTCATCTTCATGTTCACTTTGTTTTATTTGTAATCTCTTGATTTCATTATCATAATCTTTCCACTCGCTAACAATTCTCATGGCTGCTGTCAGTTTGGCTTCTTTGGTCAATGGGTTATTACACTATAAAAAAAGATAAACGTTGCATTATAGATACTGATAACCATTCACACAAATCTAGTTTCTAATTTTTTTTATTTCTATATACGTTTGGTATTAGTGACTTACAAGATCAATGGTTTTAGCTGATTTTTTTGATGCCTCATCACACCACGTTTCACACCACAACCATTCTTGTGGTAAACTCTTAATAGATACTTGATGAATCATATTGTTTGGCAAATCCTACAATTCACAAATTAATGTTTAAGTACATTTTATTATACACTATTTTCACCACAGATACAAATGTTTGAAAATCAAATTAAATATTACCTGATCCAAATTTGATAAACTATTTGGATCTTGACTAAGAGCTTGATATTGGCCTCTCAGTCGATCTCCTGCAGCAACTTTTCTGAAGCGTTTCAAATCTACAACGTACAAAGCACTTATGTGGTAACGACGGCCTTGTAGATGTGTTTTCCAGTACCCTTGTTTCCAAAATCTATCATAAACAAGGTTGATACATTGAAGCTGTTTCGCAAATCGGATATTTACAATTTTATAAACATAAAATGTAAGTGTATACTAGGCGATGTTTACTTAAACTTACCTAAATCCGTCCATTTCTTTTCGACTCTCACAAAATGGTGTATACGCATATGGAGCACCTCCTAAATCTAAATTGACTAGTTCTTTCATATCTGCTCTAACCACTTGGTCAGCATCGACAAATATAATTTTTTTCACATCCAGTGGGAAAAGAACATCCAAAAATAATATTTTATAACCCCAAATAGTTCTTTGTTTTTCAGTTTGTTGGTGTAGCCAGCGGGGCCACTTGTACTCAACCAACTCGTATTGGAATTTGTATTCACTTGCCATCACGGGAAGGAAGTCCTATGCATAAAATATTTCAAAATTAATACAATTTTTCAAATGCTTACTGAAAAAAATTATAACATACTTTGAAAGTGGGGGACAAATAGTTTTTTAGGAACCAAAATTTAACTGGTGATTTAGTGTGCTTTAATACACTCAACATCATTATCCTAAGAAAACGTTCGTATAGATGGCCTGATGCAACGGAGAATATGTTAATTATTTCATCAGCTGATTTATCAGCAGAACCTGAACTAAAAGAACTATAAAATAAAAGATTTGTTTGTTAGTACATAGTTTTCATAGTTTGTTTTGTTAAAGTACACTTACCTGGTTATAGAATTCCATAGACCTTTGTTTTCATCATTGTCATCATCCAATACACTCAAACTCTGTTTGCCAGCTTTTTTTGCAACTTTTACTTTTAATATATGAGAACGGAATGAACTTATCAACACTTTAATATCTGTACTGTTGGGTGTCTGTTCAGACCCTTCATGAGAAACAATGTCATAAATATCGGCCGACAATCCTTGACGGAGTCTTAATGTCCAAGCTCCAGGATTTGCTTTCATTTGAAAATATCCCAAATTGGCCATCACTATTGTATCAACCATAACAGGATTGGTCTTAGTACCTAAAGTCATTTGAAGTCCTCGGGGAGGATTCATATTAACCGCATCATAACAATGGCCCTCAAGAAGAAGATATTCTAATTCATAACGGCTAAATTTATATAACAAAAGAAGAAAAAACACTGTAAAATTAATTACCTCGACGAAGTTTAATAAAAAAAAATTATTTTTAATCTTTCTTTCAATAGTTGAGCATTCCTTACCTATAAACTCCCATTTCGACATCTTCAAGGCGGATGTTATCAAGATCATAAGGCGATGCAACAGATTCTACTAACCAATTATCAGGAACATGAAGAATTTGAGTTAATAAAGGACTAGTGGGCATGTTAGTGAATTTTGCTATTGGGTTAGGAGCCAAGTGGCCTGATTTGTCAAAAACAACATCAGGCTCGAGCACAAAACGGTAAAAGCTAAAAAAAAAACATTTATTAAGTTAACAAAAAATAAAATAAAAATGAAGTATAAACAAAATAAAGCTTACCTTTTTAAAGGCATATCACTATTTTTATCAACACAATTTAAATATATATTTATATTCGTATTGAGTACTTCAGACAAAACAGAAATAATAGAACCAATCTTTTGTGCCCCTCTAGATACAGGATCAACAATAACATTAATTTCAAACACAGGTTCATTTTCGTTTTTAGCAGGCATTTTAATCACACTGTAAATGAAAAAATAGGATAATAAAACTTCATTATTTTCATTTATATTAGTGTTACCTATGTTTAGATGACACTTCAGGTATTTTATGTCTATTTTTCGTTTGTGGGCGACTGCTAATTAAAGCACTAGCTTTCATTAACATATCACTTGTCACATCAGCAACATCTGTAAATATAGCACACAAAATATAGATATGAAATGTGCATGATAGGATATCTTATTTTCTAACAACAAAACATTTACCAGATTCTTTAAGTATATCCAAAATTCTGTTAATGCTGCTCTTAAGAGTGTGTTGTTCTAGTAAAGAAAAATCGTCAGTGAGAAATTCTTCATCGTTATCAAAAGGTCCAAGAATACGTCCATTCGTAATAACACCACTCTGTCCTCTTTCAAACTTTAATGCATTAACAGCATAACTATTATAAATAGCTAAATCTGAATTTGATATATCAAATTGCAATTCATCCTACACAAATTAACCAGAAACAAGTAAGTACTATACATTATACATTATATTACACATGGTTAAAATAAAAATGTAATATGATAATTAACTTTTATATTTTATTTAGTTGGACTATATCATAATAAATAATATAATATATAAGTAAGAGAAAATTAATTTTTAAGTATGATTTTACATGCACATACAGTAGTTTACATTTATAATGTATATACAATTAACTTACTGGTAATGAGTTAAGAACCTCTACATGGTCTTTATTGGATACAATGGCATTTGTCAAGTGTTTAATTAAAATGTGCAATTTATCCTTATTCTTAAATGACTCAAAAATAATTTTATTAATTTTTATAATATGTTCATCATCACTTGATGGATTGGGAATAATACCAATACGAGATTCCGAACCAGATTTCTACAAAAGTATTTTAAGAAACAATTTTAATTAAAATAATATTACAAAAGTGAACTAATAAGATTTGTATTTATAATCTATAATAAATAATAAGTATACTCACTAAGTGTTCATAGACTGTTGTGATCAATTTAAAAGTAGAAATGCTAGAAAAGTCTCCAACAATCCAGTGGGTAATTGAATTAGTAACAGAGTTTTTAGTAAAACTTATATAGGAAATCAAATTAGATATTAAACCATGAGTGCCCGCTAATTGCAAAGTTTTACTAGAATCTGGGTTTAGAACACGGGAGTTCAACCTAAAATGTGAACACAAAAACACTAATTTTGAATAGGAATTAATAATATACCCTAAAATAAAAATTAACACCCTAGTTTTACACAAACCTGTGCGTTATTTAAGACTTTTTTAATATAAAAAAATATATTATTATTAAAAATCAATAAATAAAATTGTATTAAAAATAACTCACTATTTTCAAATAGTTATTTTTTATTTATTATTTGTTGTGTAAATAATAAACGTCCAGGTCTGAGTTTATGCTTACTAACTACTTTCTTTAATTAAAAATTAATTATTTACCTGGGCATCACATTAGGTTGAGACATTAACCAATCAGTGACACTATCTGCATCAGTTAATTCTCTTTTATAAACGGCTTTCTGTAAAATCTGAGTTTGAGCCACTAACTCAACCAAAACTGCTTCTTCAAAGTCTTCTTCAACTAGAGATTTCTCCTGAAGTGGAACACCATTTAATAATACTTGAGGCAATTTTCTAAATCCTATCCTTGCAATATATTCTTTTGAGAGCATACGAGCTGTATCATAATCAGTTCCTTCTCCAAAAACATCATCAACAACAGCTTTGGGATATACTTTTTTAAATTCGGTTAAAACATCTGACACAATAACATCTCTGTCCTCACTAATTGACGAGTAAACATTTGTTATGAAACTAAATGCAACTGATGGTTTTGAGGTTTGTTCAACAATATAGTTGTAAGCATTTAATAAAGCTACACTAGCGCTTGTTAAACCAATTGCAGGTTTCGAAGAAACACTGAATACAATGCCTATTCTCAGAGGGCTGAGATGTCCCAAAAATGAATCGGATAGTTTTAAAAGTGGCCAAGAACTTTTTGAAGCCGGGTCACAAACTATTACAAGATTATACAAGTTACGTCGAATACTTCGCAACATGCCTGGAAATGTAGGCCTGAGAAGATCATCCAATGAGGATGGCCATCTTTTATATGCAGCATCAGATTCCAAGTCGTTGACCCACTGAATAGCAGAATCTCTAATATCTACTGCATATGATTTTCCTTTAACACTACCTACGTCAAGAGCTAACATGGAAGATACTGCATTTTTGTCTTTTATACCTGAATAAAAGAAATGTTTGATAAATAGGCATGCATTGAATGAATGTTTTATCATAAATACCTATAGAATATAGTCCTTCCATTATTCGTAATTCTTGAGTAATAGATTCCAAAATAGTTGACATGTCTGTTACATCAACATCAAAGTACATGCCATTCAATAACATCACAGTGTCACTGGGTTGCAAATTTAAACCCATTGAGAAACTATCTTGATTTTTGGTAATCTCATCTCTCAATTCTTTGCTAACTTTAACATTTGCTAATGATCTAGCCTAAAAAAACAACAGTCAATTTATTAATTTTATTATCAAACATTACAAATTCGTAATTATTGATCTAGACCATTGGTCTGTATTTTGTCTTACTTGAGTTGGAAAATTTTGAGCAATATGAATAAAAGTCTGAATAGCATCTTGGGATGGTCCACTCATTATTCTTTGTGCCGCTTGCAAACTTAATTCTTGAAATTGCCAAGCTTTAAGAGGTGCTAATTCGCCACTCATTTCTGACAAATGTGTCCTAAATTTCAATAAATCTTGTTTCTTATCTGGATACAGCTCACTGAAAGTGTAAATAGTTTTTATTAAAATAACATTAGGAACCAGTTATTTTTGGTTTTGAAATACTTACATAAGACGCTTGATATCAAAACCTTCAATTTCAGAAGTATCTTCTTCCAATTCGTTAATATTTATACCATTTTTATCTTTAACAACACTATCATCTTCAGCTTTGTACTCAGTTGATTTCATATGTAGTTCTACACCATAACCAGATAACCGCACTTTTTGTTCACTTTTGTCCTAGACAAAATATTAATATTTAATAAGAACATTTAAAAATAATTGTTTATAATTATTTCTCTTATTTACCTTAACAAAATGGCGAAAAATATAATCAATAACACCGTTTTGGGCATATACCTTTAAAACTTTATGAAAGAGAGAAAATTCTGAAGTACCTAATTCACCATACAAAATTGCCACATTGTTCTTGTTTCCAGAGGAAGGATAATGATGATCAATGTGATATATTTCAGAATTTGATGTCGAACCCTCAGCCTGCAAATTAAAAATTGTTGTTTGAAATAAAACTTTTAAAAAATAAACTATCAAATTTGGTAGGACAGCACAAAAAGCTTAGACAATAAATATATTTTTTAACTATTAATGCATTACTTAAATTGTATTCAATTATCATATATACTAACTTCTATTTGGTTTACAATTGTTTTTAATTGTTCTAATGAGCATACAAGTTGACCATTAATATCTACAGCGGTAGAACATTCTATACCTCGATCTGCAGCCATTTGTGCATACATTTCAATACGAGGTGAATAAATATGCATTGACAAAGAAAATTTAAGTAGTCTTAACTTTGATTTTGATAATAGTAATTCAGCATTAGACAAAGCAGACTGATATTTAATTTCATCATTTTCTGTATCAAAATAAATAGTTAATTATGCACTTAGTAAAATAATAATTTATTACAAAAATAATAATATTTACCAAGTTCTTTTAAAACTGGATGAAGATCTGATATATTATCAACAAATGACCACAAAGAATGTTGACTATCTTCAGCCATGTACTCTGCCATTTCTAAAACGAGTGGTGTTAAACTCCATTTTGTATCTATCATTGTTGTAACAGTTTTTCCTTTTTTCGAAGATGCTTTCATTTCAGTTGTATATAAGTATAATACTATACCAAGTATAACTACCCAAAATATAGAACCTGAAAAAAAAATACAAAACAAAATATAAAAATACTGATAATATAATCACATAATTTTTACATCATCATCAAGTAGCTTAACAGGCCATAAAGGCCCAACGCTGCCATCATGAGATGGTTTCTTGACGAAAAAATGTTTACATATTTAACAATAATTCAAAATTTTAAATATATATATATATTGATAATCTATTGATTAGAGAAAAGTGAAAGTTATACAAGTTATACTGACCTCACACAATTAAATTGCAATGCATTATTTTTTAGTAAAGACAGTGGCGCTAAATTGTTAGTCAAAATTAAAATAATACTACATATATTTTATTTTTTACTTTGGTGTTTATCTACTTAAAAAAATACATAATATTTTTTATTTATTTCATTAGTAGAAAATAGTATTATTTTCTATAAAACTTACCATTTTGTTTATTTTTTTTGAATTTATACCGTGCTCGACGAGTAGGCTGCTGACGGCCATGGTTTTCTGTGTATAATAATAATTTAAATACAAATTATTAACTAAACATTTTTAAACGCCTAATTTATTATGCAAAAGTAAAAGAATATGGTATTGATCCTTACGATTTGGTACACAGTTATTCGTATTATACATTGTTGGAGTTTGTTAAAATTAACGTAGAACAACACTATATCTCCAAAAACTAAAAATTAAGTAAGAAATTCAAAAATTCGTGTTCATTGTTATTGTTTTTATTTTTATTTCCTAAAGCACAAATATAATTATTAATTATTTGATTAAATATTATTAACAAAACAACGAACACGCATAAGTAACATTAATAACTAATATTTAATAATTACTGTTATCTAATCTATTTTACCGTATGAAGTATATTACGTTCTATGCATGGAGTAATACCGATTACCGAATGATAACATAAACCTCAAGTGTTTCCATGTAGTTGAATGTGATTGGTCAAAAAGTAGCATTCTATAAATCAGGTGGAACCCTGTTCTCTCGACAGTGATGCACAAGCTTTATGAAATTATATTATGATTTTAGATTTAAAATTACTTTTCATATTATAATTTATAGTCTGTAGACTGTGAGTCAAGTGTCAAATGTCAACACTGAATTGAATAGTGAAAACTAGAGAGCCTACATACAAATTGTATAGGCTCTCTAGTGAAAACTTAACAAACATTAAAGCACATCACGCTTAAACTCTTGTCATCGGGTCATTCCGTTTAAGATAATAATTGTCGTCGACAAGAAATGAGAATTGAGATAAAATCTTTAGAAATCTGTAAACGATAAAACGCCTACCCTACCCTATCATTTGTTAGAGGGTGATGCGTGGTTAATTTTCTCTAAATTAATGCTTAGAGTCAGTCAAACCACAGACTATACTTCATATTATAGTCAGTTGTTCCATGATCTACATTTTGGCGTCATTACTGCCTACATGACATGAGCCATACAACCTAAATACCTACTTAAATATTTTTCATACCTACAAAAATAAAATATTCCTATTAAATTATGCATAAATGCACAAAATTAGCATCAATATTTATTCATATTCAGTTCTTCATGATTCAACATTAAAATTTTAATTTTTTCATCCAGGTTCATAAAAATATAAATAATCACATTTTTCAACGTGTATATGTTATGTACAACAATTATTGGCATTGCTAATACAATAATTATCATAAATATGATATTATTAATATAAATTAATAACGTTATTGATTTTCAATACTGAAAAGTGTATAATTTTTTTTTTGGTAAAGGGTATCTTATAATATTTATTTTATTTAACTATAAATGCTCCACAAGTTTTTCTCATGTTTTCTCTACATTAATATTAAATCTTTATTATTATAATTTTTTTTTACAGATATTAATTGTACAATAATTTCATTTCAATTAGATGAGTATGGAAGCAAAATTACATAATTAAAATACATTTTTGGATTCAAAATAACATGATAAAAGTTTAACCAATTAATAGGGGGCAAATTTGTTATCATTTTTTTCTCTTTTTTTAATTAAATGTTTTTTATTGTTAATGTTTCCTAACAATTCCTTAAGACCTGTCAATGTCCCTAAAGCACTGATACCATTAGGATTTGTTAATAATGTGGCCAAAGTTTCAGATGTTGATTTTGTATCAGTAGGTAAATTTGAAGGGCATTCTTCATCATAATCTAATGCTTCACTACCAGATGATTTATTATATTGATCAACACTGAAAAAAATAAAAAATTGTAACACATTTTTAGTTTTTACAACTTCAGTATATAATATAAACCTCAAATTGATTAATGTCTTTGCAACATTAACAGCATCAGATTGTCCACTAATAGTAATGGCTCTTTCCATTTTCCCAGATGCTTCATGTTCTTCAGTATTTGATATTCTTATCATAGCCCCACTTATTCTCCTAGAAATATGATATAAAAATATTATCTTATACTTATTTCAGTAAAGTTTTTTTTATGTATTCCAAGAACGTCATATAAGATTATGGGTCAAACACATCGAACAATATTTCAAACCTAATAAAAAATAAACACAATAAAAATTATTTTATATCAACTGATGTTACTGTATATTACAAAATGATTATTTCTTGATTGCAAGTAAAAAAAAAAAAAATCATGTAAAATGTATCCCTTGGCTGCTGGCAACCCTAAATTAACTATAATTATTATAAAGCTAACATATTTCTAGTATGGACTTTTTACTATAATTAACTATACAAAAATTTGATTGATTAGATTCAGGGAAATTACACATCCTATTAAATATTAATAAACCTACTATCTAAGTAAAATATTTAAATAATCCAGTACGTCTATAAACAACAGTCAACAAATGTTCTCAATCTTGTAGTCCTATCAGGATCTCTTTCATCACCTATTTAAGATATTATAGTTAACTTGGTCCTCACCAAGTTAGCTATAATCCCGGTCAATAATGCCACACGAATTTATTTATCACCTATTTAAAAAAAAAAAAATAGTAAATACCTAATTTCCGCAATTTTTGTTCCACCTTTGCCAATAATACAACCAATAATATCATTTGGTATAGCCATTTCATGAGTGATATGTTGTTGTGTATTTTTAGAACCAACTCCACCTCCTCGTAACTGACTACCAGCTAATGCAGCAAGCACTAAAATCATTAGACAATTAAATTAACTTTTTTTTTCAATTGACAATAATTATAATCTACAATACCTGAAGGATCTAATCCAGAACCAGCTATTAGGTTAGGTGCTATACTTGCTATTGTGTTTAAAGCCGAGCTCGTAGCAGATTGCTAAACATATTTAAACACATATTAGCTTTTAAGAATATAATCATCTACTAGCAAGGTTTAATCGAAAGGATGGAAAAGTTTTACTAAATGAAATATTTAAAAAAATATTATACATGTTAATATAATATAATATTAAGTATAATATATTATTATAGATGAATAACTAAAAAAAAAATAAGTAATTTTTGATAAAACTAGATATTTTTTTAAAAAAATGTTTATAATATTTTCTTCAAAAAATCTATCATCCATTTTCAATCAATCTAATGGGAATTAAATTATCAAAATATATTTACATCTCCTACAGCAGGAATAGCAAGAGATCCTTGAAGAGTATAGGCTTGACCTCCACATAACACTACAGGCCCTGGCTGCGTCACTATAGGTCTGTAGGCCACTGTTGGACCTCTTCCCGGAGTCTATAAATAATAAATTATAGTTATTTATGAAAAAATTTAGAATTATTGTACTTTATTGTATACCTCTAGCATAACAACACAAATTTGGTGAATGGCTTCAGTGATGGCTTCAGCAGTTCCACTAATACTTACTGTTCTTTCAGTTGAATTGGCTAATAAATCAGAAGCTACATTTACCATCGCTCCACTTGCTTCTCGAATTTCTCGAATTTTTACACCTCCTTTTCCAATTAATGAACCACATTGGGACGCAGGTACAATGAGCTTTATTGTTGTAGAATTATTTGGTGCCTTACGATTATTTTGTAAATGAATCAAATTATTCTATAAAACATATGTACTCAAATAATATTCTGTAAATATAATTTATTTGTTTGTATCATCTACAAATTAAATAGAACCTCAATTAGAAAAAAATAGAATAACTAATTATTGATTATTTAAGATATTCCTATTTATATTTAAAACAAGGAACTTAAAAAAGTAGATAAAGTTAAAAACATTTTATTAAAGAATATTTAATGGATAAAAATATGTAAATGCTTCGTAACATACCTGTTCCAAAATGTTTGTAATAAGTTTAAATGCCTTTTGTATGATACTTATATTACCAGTGACAGTCACGATACGTTCTGGAGTGGAACTATCAGTAATCGATATAGATGCTCCTGACTATTTAAAAATAATAATATTATAATTTTAGTAATAAAGTACAGCTTAAAAATACAGTATTTAAGTGAGTCCAAATTAGCTAATGCAAATATCATTCAAACTTTCATAAATATTAACTAATTGTTATTTTATACTTTATAGTATAATATTTTTTTTTACATCATTAAACTATATTTAAATTTGAATCCCAGTTTACATAATTCCATTATATTCTAAATTAGAAAATTACTTGGTTTCGAAGGTCTCGAACAACTTCTCCATACTCTCCAATTAAAGGAATGACTTCCTATAAAATATATTACAAAATTAAAAATAATTTAAAGACAGTTCAATTATTCACATTATTTAACATAAGACATCTACTTATCATCGTAAACTATAATAATGCATATGAAATTTTGCTAAAAAAAATTGTAATTAAAGGGCTTGAAACTAAATAAATCATAATTTCAAAAATAATTTATATAATCATTTACAATTCCTCCTTATAAGAACATGGGGGGAATAATTTAAAATTAAATGTAAAATGTATGTACTTATACATTTATATGAATGGGTGCTTGATTGTAATTTGTGTTTATACATATGTATGTATACAAAAATATACAATAAATTGCCTTTAATACTATAATGTTCACTGGTTAGACTATCTTAGAATATGGTTCGGTTATTTAGAACCCTCATACGGCGGAAAACTCTATAATGCTTGAGCGAATTCAACACAAATTTTTAAATTATTTAAGTTATGCTTTAAATATTGAGTGTCCTCCGCAAGTTTATACCCCAGTCCTTGAGCTCCTTGAATTGGATACATTAGCAAACCGTAGACATGCAAACAATCTTGGATTTTTAGTCAAACTACTGCATGGACAAATTGACTCACCTTATTTGCTTTCCAAAATTTCCTTCAAAGTTCCTCCCGCTACATAGTTCCTTTTCCCTTTTTTCCTCTTCCACTAATTATAGTTTAAATAAAACACTACGCCCCTGTATGTCATTAGCTAATTCCGACCCCTCTAACTTGTCGTATTTATTATAAATTATTGTAAATACCTTACATCTCTTTTTTTCTTTTTTTTTCTACCGTAGATATAGTGTTTAGTTTTATAACATTAATTGTTACTATTATTATTTTTTTTTGATATTCCATTATTTTATATGTAGTTGTATAAATTATCACTGTTTTTATGATGTTTTATAATCTTGCCCTCGAGGCGTATAAATATATAAATACCTTACATAATAATATTACCTTTCCCATTAAAATTCTAATGGTAAGAACAACTTCAGAATAATTGCCATCCGCAGGATCATAATCTACCCCATCTCGTGTAGCCATTATAATTACTAAAGGAACACACACACAATAAAATCTTAAATACTTCACAATAATTTCAATATTCCTAGTAAAACTATCTTACTTTGACCTTATCAATTTGTTTATTTAATTCGTTAATTTTTCAATAACTCAAGTTTTTAAAAAGTTTAACATCTTATTAAATAAATACTGGTGTAATTCGTTTCTTTTTAAAAAATATTGGCAGTTCTGAAATCATTAAGTATAAATAATTTGTAATTTTAATCTAATTTGTAAATTACTGAACTTACTAATTTGATGTTCTTATTAAAAAACTCATGTTGTTGTTTAATGTTTTTTAATTAAATCACAATTCACAACATCATTATCACCGTTAACTAATCATTAAAAACGTATTCTTATCATTTTAGGGTCTTGTCAGTTATAGTGCAGTGGTACCATTAATAAGATTAAAACAACGTATGATACTGAAAAAAACGCTTAAAAACATTAAAATAAGCAAAAAAAGTAATTTCCAAAATGGTAACCCGCTTTCTAACTCCCAAAAATAAAAGGTGCCATTAAAAATTTAAGTTTGCCTCTATTTTATATTATAAAATACTTGATATTTATGCCTATGCTGAGTATGTTTGTCTACAAAATAGAGACTACAATAACTAAATGACCATTAACAAAAACATAGAATGAAGATGAATTGAATGGAAAATCTTTAATTTTAAACAAAATGGATCTCAATTCAAATAAATAAAAAATGTTTAATTTTAAACGAATAAAACATATCTGTGGAAAACAACATTTGATATATCGAAAATCAATAGTTCGTTTTCAATAATGCATTATTATATAGTGTGAAATATTAAACATGGATATGATTTTTGAGCTGGGGTCTATTTATCAAATCTAAAAACATATCCATGTTTCAACGTTTTTCTGTACAGCAGTCAGCAGAGAAAATGTACGTTTTTTTTTAGATGGCCTTTGTCGCTATTGCCACCGATATTTATTTTTAAATTTAATTTTTTCAAAAATAAAAATATTTATAGTATTATTATAATATTTATAATCAATGGTATTATATACTAATAGTTACACTTGTTCACCCAATTTCCGACCACGTATTACCTAATAAAATGCTTTAATTGTGTACAGTAGTTGATCACGATTCGCCAATAAATATAAATATTGTATATTGTGTAGTAGCAAAATTTAATGTACAATTTTTTTTTACCCTTAACAAAGATTAGTTATTTGTTGTAACTTATAAAAGTTAATTTTAATATCATAGAGAAATTAAAAAAATAATAATATTGTTCGCATAAAAAAAAAAATTGTAAAAACATAAAAAGTTTGGTGCGACCGTGACAGGACTCGAACCTGCAATCTTCGGATCCGAAGTCCGACGCCTTATCCATTAGGCCACACGGTCTACATGTAGTAATAGTGGAAATAACGTTATTTAAGCTTCTTTCATAAATCGCATACCGTATATGGTAGCTCATAAAAAATATTTTAATAAATTATTCTTAATTAATGTAAGCTATGTTTACTAGTAGTGTTTAGAAAATGGAAGTCAATTATTATAATAGGGGTTTTGGTGCGATACAAGTCATGTCCTGGGGTATTTTACGTATTTGTTTTTATTTATATTATATCCATTCACTCAAAATTATAAAGTACTTATTAGTTACACATTTACAAATAACAATATTTTAAATAATTGTATTTCGTAATTTATGTTTATTATATTTGTTTCCAAAATTGAGCTCTTTAATTAAGAGGGCGTCGCACCGGTGATTTTCAGTGGTAAAAACATGTTTAAACAGACTGAAAATAACTCGCTTAATTTTGGTTTTAGAGTAAAAGCACCCATTATAAAATTAAAAGAGAACAATATTCCGGAGGGCAAGACTATGCGTTTTTTTAAAAAAAAAATCATTTATTGAAAAGTTACAGTAATTTAAAAATGTTATTAAATAGTCGTTATTTCTAAACTATGTATTGAGCGCTATACTTAGAATAATGAAAAAAATGCATCGTCTTGCCCACCGAAATATTGTTATCTTTAAATTTTATAATGGATGACTTTACTCTAAATCCAAAATTAAGCGAGTTATTTTCAGTCTGCTTAAACAAGTAGAGATGAAAAAACAATTTTTAAATCGCTTTCAAGGGTGCTGTGATAGTTCAAAAAATAAATTAACTACCAAAATAGAGTCTTAGTTATTGAACTAATAATTACACATCACAGTTTAACCTTTAAATTAAGATTTTGTAAAAAATTGCCTACACTTTATTCCTTAAAAATGGGCGGTGCGACGCCCTCTTAATTGAAGATATTTAGTTGAGTAGGTATTGCAAAAATATTGTACCTACAATAGGCAATAATAAATGTAAATAAAGTATCTTGTAAAAACAAATTTGATTACGAATGCGTTTTGAAAGACTATTATTTATTAGTAATTAAAATTGGACGTACAGACAATAAATTACCATAACTTATTCTATTTTATACCATTTAGTCGATAGAGCGTCAAAACTTATTAGCAGTCACATCTTGCCTCTACTTGAATAAGAGGTACCACGGACTGCACGGCATATAGATACATATACCAGTAAATGGCACCTAATATTTACTTTTTTTAATGCTATTAATCTAAAAAAATGCTAATAGTAAACAGATAAAACTGTCAGATCAACTATAATGTCAGTCAGGGGAAATAGGACTGAGGACAAGTGGTCTAAGGCGGCATGTATTGAGGGAGCGCCAATTTTACAAAAAAATACGATGAAGCGCCAAGGGCTGGAGTGGCTGGAATAAACGGCTGCCCTAGCGCTCCTAGGCTAATTATAAATTGTTTAGTACCCATAGAAAATATATTAAAGTACCTACCTACTGTTGTCGGCAATGCCAATATTATAGTCGAGTGAAAAGTATTTTAGTAACTAATCGTGTGCGAACATACCAATATTGTTACGTAGTTTTAATGCATAAAAGAAAAAAATAATTTTGTTCTAATTTTCTGGTCATCGCCAGTCTTTTTAATAACCGAATATATGTTTAAAACTCCGGTCTGAACACGTTTTTTTAGTCGATTGCCGTGAAACCGAAACGGCGATGTACCAAAACTGTATGAACACTTGTGTAACTTAAAAGTTTCTAATGAGTAAAGTGTATAGTAGTAGTTAGTACATCACTCGTCATTCGACTAAAATCCTAACGTAGGTTTTAAAACTAGGCTTTATTCCAGTATTTTGTAAGGCTACAGACCCATACTCTTAGTCCTATGACCGGCATTGGATAAAAACCCTATTTTTTATACCTTTTACCGAAAAAGTATAACATCTTGGCAATTATTAAAATTAATACAAATAACAATTCTTGGATAAAAACAATTTAACTGTACAATAATTTTCGGATCGACTGCCTAAATTAATATTACCTTAGCGAAGTATTGGGTTAACTCCATCGTACGACACCCAATTACACCCCCTACAACAGCTATATTGTAAATTATTTTAATTAATACGAATTAAAAATTACGATTTACGATTTCTAATTATCATTAAACCAAAGAATTGTTTTAATACGTTCCATGTAAAAAAAATAAATATTTATTCAAATTTTAGATACCTATACATAATATTTATACTTACCTAAAACAATAGACTTATTAAAACAATTCTGTGATTTAATTATGCAGACGTATGATTATTGTAACTTGAAGATTTGTAAGATAAATATAATTTAACACAATTATATAGTACATTATGACATGTCATAATGTACTATAACAAAATTCAGCATTTTCGATTGCTATATTTTAACACCCCGTTAAATGTGGTAGTTTTTGACTATAGTTACATGGCGACCGTGTGGCCTAATGGATAAGGCGTCGGACTTCGAATCCGAAGATTGCAGGTTCGAGTCCTGTCACGGTCGGTAAAATTTTATTTTTTTCGATCTATTTATTATTATTATAATTTTAGTAATTAGTTACTAGTATTTGCATAAATATGATTATAATTCAACTTTTTATTATTCTATAATTATTGTATGGTGTATGATGTGTAATAAATTAATTTCAAGATTTTTTGTAACTAATAGTACCTAAAAATATTATATATAAATAACAATTGAGTAAATATATAATTTTAATTTACTTATTGACATAAGGGATTGCTTATTAATATTTAATATTAAACTTTTAAGAGAAACTCGTTGTACGTCATACTCGACAAGGTTGTTTATTAAAACACTTATCGACATTAGACAAGTACGTTAGACATTGAGGACTAGGATGTAGCGAAAAAAATATTTTTCAAATTGTTTTCACGATACCTTACCAAAGTATCTTGGTGTATAATATAGCTTATTTAAAGTACAATATTTAACATTATTATATTTCTTAGGCGTTCACGTTTCAAACATAATCGAAAATGTTCGGTGTACTGAAAATTAAGTAGATATTTTCTACAATAACTGTAGGTAACTACTATGGACTTTGTGGACAATTTAAAACTAAGCATGATTGCGCATCATTTAGCGGATAACGCTAACGTGATTCTAATACCTACGAACGCCATAGACTATAGGGAGTTTTTGCTTAACGTAAAATTATGTACGTATCGGTTAGCGGAAAACGCTACGTTATTAAACCGATATTAGCGTAATTAATAAATAACATTGCTAATAAGTTTTCGCAAACGGGATTTGCGGTATCAGTAGAGAACGCTATTGTACTTATTAATTATTATTAACTCCTACACTCATATTGAAAAAAAAAAACAGTTAGCGTTAGTTGCTAACCGATAGTGTACATCATTTTACGTTATGCGAACACTCCCTGTTGTTACTTAATACGTACACTAACATTGGAAAAATAACGTTGACGCTATCCACTTATCGATACTGTAGATACATCCCTAGTTTTACGTTAAGCAAAACTTCCTAGTAATTACTCTAGTGATGTAATTTGCGTATTTTAAGTACTTGTAATTCATCAAAATTATTAATTTTGTCAACAAATATGACTGTACCCTATATTGTGTTATTAATTATAATGTCATGACTACATAACTCGACATTTTCGCTTACCATATTTTACACCCCGTTAAATGTGGTAGTTTTTGACTGATATTACACGGCGACCGTGTGGCCTAATGGATAAGGCGTCGGACTTCGAATCCGAAGATTGCAGGTTCGAGTCCTGTCACGGTCGGTAAAATTTTGCGTTATGCAAAAACTGCCTATAAAATACATTGAAACTACTTTAAATACCGATAACTTACTATTAGGGTTTAAAATTAGAAAAATCAAATGAGCCGAATAATCCCATCATTGTGCGTTACCGGGTATAAGCGATAAATTTTTATGGTGCAGTTTATCAGTTAAAATGTTAAAGACACAAATAACACTATAACTATTATTATATTATTTTATTTAGGCTATTAATTTCTATCTATTTATTTTTATAAATTTCGGTAATTATCGTAAATGTCATAACAACGGTCTAATTTTACTAAAATTTTAGTTTACTTATACTTATGGATTATGATTAGAACTTAGCAGTATTATTTCGATCTACCGAAAATACAATTTTGAAGATTATTACCACGTTTATATGCAATCGTTTATGCGCACTTACATAACACGCATTAATTAAATTAAATTAATGCGCATTAGTGTACACTGTACGAGTTTATTATGTATACGGGGTGTATTTCAAATATTAGGATTATGATTTATGTGTTTTTTAATACCAGATTAGAATTCATAGATTTGATAAAAGAGAGGCAAGACATTTTTATAAATCCAATAACTTCTTAGTTGTGCTTTAAAGACAAAACTTATTAAATGTTTTATTTTCTAAGAATTGTCAATGTTATAAATACATACATAAACTAATATAAGTATAATTTACAATTTAGTGCAATTTTTGTAGTAAATTTATTTGAGTTCTGTCAGAATGTAGGGTGATTCCAGAGTCTGATAATTCGACATCTGTAAAAAAAATTCACATTTATAAATAAATATTAATTAAAATCAAATTTTAAAATATTATAATGTCTGCATTACAATTAATTTAAATCTATAATTTAGTGAATTGTGATAACATTAAGTGCTGAAAAATCACAATTTTATCAATTTAAAGATAATTTGTTAAATCATTATATTTTATTTATACCTTTTTGTTTTACATTTTTAATTACAGTAGTAATATTTGTGAACATATTCTGTGAAGGATATTACAGAAACACTTCAAAACCTACGCGTAAATTATTAGTTAGTTTTAATTTTATATAGCGATTAATTAATTAATTTTGTGTATGTATAAAATCCATATTTAGGGATAGTGCCTGTTATTTAAAACGTTGACCTAAACACTATAATTTACATTTCAAATATTTTAAATTAATAAATTCGGTTGAACTTTATATTTATAATAAATAATAATAATCGATTTATTGTCATCATACTGGTACTAAAGTGACGGTATCTCTGCTCACAACTTGAATGCTGTTCTATTAATTCAGTAGACTCTAACTGCTTATACTTTGGTCGTTTCATTGGGTCATTTCGATTTACATTTTGCTGAAACATAATTCAATTTTGGTATTTATAGGCAGCTTCAGATGTAATTTTTAAAAAAATCTCCAATATTTTAAATTTGTACCTATAAGTTATAAGTTATAATCTACCTTTAAATAATTTACTACTTATTTACTTTACTTCTAATTGTTATGAGACAAACATAATATACTTCTATATTTAATCCGAAGCTGCCTTTTTAATATTATATAAATATTTATGTTTAGTGTTTACTTTACTTGAGTGTCGGAAACTTCTGTAACAATTTGATGACGTTTGATTAAAATTGAACCAAAGACAAAGCAAGCAAGGAAGGATACAAATATTGCAAAAAACATCGCAATAGGTTTTCCCATGTCGTTGACCTCTTAAATTGCAACGTTTATTTATTATTAATCATAACACGAGTGATTTTTATTTTAAAACCACTGTGAGCTATTTGCATAATTACCTTTATCTCGCGGCTGCACTATTCGCAAAGGCTGTTCTGGTACATTCAATCTAGATCTATGTAAATCGTATAAAATTAATGATCTGTCACTTAATTTTTTTGCTAATATCTGTATTGGTTCGTCAGTTGTAATATTTGTAGTCTGTATTAAATGTAAGGTAATATACACCGGTTCATCTTGAATTTAAAAAACATAATACGTGATAAGGTAAAAAAAAATAACATAAATACATTTTGTATGAGATTAATACTTAATATTATTTTCAGTCCTTTCATAATTGCAGAAAGCGATTCTATTTTTTCTGTTAATTGTTGGCTCAACGAGTTTTCCAACGTTTCAAGATTTTGATCATACAAATCAGCTGAATTACCGGTTATACTGAAACAAAAATATATTTGTGTATGACATACCATATTTTTACTTTTGAAGTAATTAAGACTAAACGATTTGTCCGTTTGGATTTAGATAATTTGACTTATTATATTTTGTAAATAAATGCTCACATATATTATTTTTTAATTTAATTGATTTTTTATCATAAACAGTACCATGATAAATTGTTATAATTACCTAGAAATATACATTTATTTTTTAATTTAAATTTGTATATTAAACAGAAAAATAAAATAGAACATACAAATTACATGTTTGTTGTAAAAATAAGACAATAATAATTGTACAAGCTGTATCGATTAATGTACAACTATACGCTATGATATTTAGGAGGTAATTTTAACATGAAATTAGTATTTTTACTCGGGAATACGATTTAATAACGCGTCACGTAGGGTTTGGATCAGTAGCAATTATAATGACTGATTTGAGTATCCTTAGTATGTAAAAAATAAAAATGTTAACTCTCCCTAACATTTTTACCCTACAATCGATTTTTATTATTAGTATTATTTATTCTATGGTTTTTACGGACAATAAAAAAAAATCTTAGATTTAAATTCAAACTAAAAAAAATTATATTATTTTACAATTTTCATTAATGTTCGTGTTAAAATAGTTTGTTTTATGTTATTAAAAACATACCTAAAAGCGACGTAAACGTCATTCAAAGATCGTTGAGATAATATTTTTGAACTGTTATTCAGTTGATTTTTTTGCTTATCATATACAATTGAGTTTTGTGCAGTTTCCGATGCAAAACTGTCCAAAGGAATTTGATAATCTGCTGAAAATATTCTGAAAACACGATTGGCTAGAATAAATGTACATTTATCATATATTTTTATCAGTAAAAAAACGTATTAAAACATAAAAACATTAAAAAACGTAGTAAGTAAATTTTTAAAGCAATTTTTAATGAAGTGCACAATATTATGTAGATTATTTGAATTGTTAAAAATAATAACTAAACTAACCCGTAAAATTTAAATACAGGGCATTCACATTTGACATAATTTGAAAGTTCTTTGTTTTCTATTCCCAAAAATTTACAACTTTCGTTTGACCAGCCACGCGTGTCATGCCAATATCTACACTACAAAGAACAATATTCATGGTAAGAGATAACTTCAAAATGTATAGATACCCAAAAATAATTTATTAAAATTATACTTCATAAATATTTTCTGATTTTGATTCCAGCGGAATTTCAATAACGTTTAATGAACTTGAAAATTCATTCGCTTCTTCACTAGTCAAAAGTTCTTTCATGTTGTTTATTTTTAAAACTCGATAGCCATATATACTACTATGCCTAAAATATTGAATTATGAATTAGTTTTTTTGTTTACTATAACAATTACTTTAACTTAAAACTATCAAGATCATTAATTAAATGTAATCCTGTTTGTATTCATAATTATTATCATAAGATGTTAAAAGTTAAATATTATATTTCTTAAAATTTTCCTAAAATTTGTATTTAACGAAGATAATACTTATATCATTAAAATATAGGTAAAAAATTGGTAAAACGTATTAAAAAATAAATGAGTGATTATGAACAATATATTTTTTACCTTTTGAGTTTTACTCCTTTACTTCCATATACTTGAGTGAAGAGGTCATCGTAAAAATGAATACCAACGATGCAAAATTGAGATTTAGTACTTAAAACTTCTTGAAAAAAACTGTCATTATACATAACCTGAAGGTTATAATATAAATTATAGTAGAAATAATTACGGTAAATTGTATAATTATTAATAATAATAATACTCACCGTATTTACCTATTTAACTATTATTTCTTATGTAATAGACAATGAGAAATTATCTATTTAGTATTACATTTACTAATACAGGGTGGGCCAGAGAAACGGAAAAATTTGAAAGTCTTAGTGGCAGCTCTGAGGAGCTTGTAGAAAGACGAAAGTGTTATTGTTATGTTCACAGGTATTTCACATTTAGTAATCATTTATCATTGATCAGTGGGTCGGTTCACAACGCGAATTTACCTTGAAGGCATATTACAAAAATGGTGATAGTCTGACTGCCGCTAGCAGGAAATTTCGTCGTCAATACAACTTGGGACGTCATGGTCGTGTTCCATCATGCAACGCAATCAAGACTTGGGTTGAGAATTTTGAGGAGACGAGTTCAGCTCTCAAAAAGAAACCACTAAGAGCTCAGCATACTCAACTGACCCCTCAGAATATTGAAGCAGTTCGGACGTCGTTTGAAAAGATCCCACGACGAAAACAAGCAGAAATTTATGGAAAAATTAATGGCAACCCCCACTTTTATTGACAGCCTGTAGATGGAGGCTCATAAACCGACGTTGTGCATTGTGACTCATTAATCAATGATTACTAAATGACAGGTACCTGTGAACATAACAATAATATTATCGCCTTTCTAAAAGCTCCTCAGGGCTGCCACTAAAACTTTCAAATTTTTCCGTTTCTCTCTGCCCACTCTGTATATATTGTTGTAAAATGTAAATAGCAGAAAGGATAGGGATTGTTTATCAAAATATTGGCGTAGCTATTAACTTTTTTTTTTAACTCGGTGGAAATTCAAAAGTTTTAAACTTTTGAGGGTATCTCCATGCCCCTCTTCTATTTCTGTTCTAACTTTAAATTTTTTCTTAAATTTTTAAACTAAACATTTATAAAAAAAATTTACTTTTGTTTTTTGTTTAATGCATTTTTTGTATAAATCTGAACTACATGTAGGAATTTCCACGTATGAATCTTGTGTCCTTAAACTGTTATCATTTTGCACACTAAAACTTCCAACCAAAGAACCTATATGAAATATATGAATTTTTATACAGAAGTAGTTGAGTAAATAATATTCAGATGGAGCTTACCGACATACATTTCTTCTCGTTCGTCTAATGCAAGACAAATTTGTTTACTGTATTTGTTAATATTGTCGAGTATTTTTTTCTTTTCACGCAATTCGTCAGATTCGTTGTCATAATTCAATATAGCCGTTTCTGACGCCCGTAATAACAATTCTACCTAATATAATTTATAAAATAGATCAATTAAAGTTTTTTTTTTTCATATTATGTAAGTATTTCTACCTACAATTTTTGAATTTATTTCCGTGTTTGAGTAAATGAGTTGGTCAATTGAGTTAAAATTTCGAATAATATATTTAATATCAGTAATGATGTTTAATGATGTCGGTAGATTATCAGCTGCTAAAAATACATAAATATTACACATGTAACATACAAATAGTGGCTAATTCATTTACTTGTCAAGATTGTGTAAATAGTATCTCTAAGTAATAATAATGATTGCAATACTATATTATTGAATTTAAATAATGTAGGTAGCGTTCGTGTAAATGACTCCATGTACGTTAAACTGATTGGAAGGTATTCAGTGCGATGAGACAAACTAAATGAAATAACATATTAACATAGAAAAATTAAAAAACTTACTACAATTAGATATTTAAATATTGTTGAAGTTAACAACTTTTTGTTCATTGTTACTTTTAGTTTTCGGGATCGGTCACCCTAGTACTCAACCTAAAATAAACTTAAGACGACTAAGATATCTTCCGCATACACACTGATTATCCTCACACCACTTGTTATCTTGTTTGGTGTTCCTTTATCTTTCTATCGTCTACAATCTTCATCCATTGACATTGTCATTATCGTCCTTACTGCTTCTTCTTTCGTGCATCGCATAACATGCCCAAACCCCTTCATCTATTATTTTTTATAATTCTTCTTATTCTTTATTTTATCCATTAGTATAGTTCCATTGTTTTTAGCTACTCCACTCTTATCATATCTGTAATATACATTTCCCGATCCAATTTTTCAACCCTAATGAAGTACTACGAACCGGCCTTTAAACTGTTTTTAAACCACTTTTTTAGTTTTAAAACTAAAGCAGTCAAACTCTTAGTTTTAAAATATAACCTTTTGATTAAATTATCGTTTATGAATTCTTCTATGACATCACTTATTTTTTCTGTAAATTGTTGGTATTTACTATGCTCATATAATCTCAGCGTTCCCGTTATAGAAAAAAGGTAAGCTTCTGATTCACCAACCATTTGCAACTCTAACAAACTTTTGAACTTCGACGAGTATTTTCTGTAATTAACATAATTTTAAACTTGTTAACTTATGTTTAAATATGAATAAAGATATTAATATCTTTATATAAATATAAAGATTATTTACGAAGAATTATTTAAGAATTCCAAATAATTTATCTACATAATATTGGTTAAAATATGTAAGTTTGTACAATACAATTTTTAATTTAAATATTTACATGGTGTATAGTAACACTTATATTTACAAATTGGCTTTGCCGACGTTTCGGAAGTCTTTAAAGTTTAATCTTCCATCCTCTCCAGGCTGTGTTGCGGGCTAGTTAGTTATTGTTCGCACCGCTACTACCTCTAGTCCCTAAACTGAAGCCACAGTCTTTTTTTCTGGTAGTCATAGTTAATATAATTATGCCGATACGTTTTCTACCCCCACTATTCTTTACTTGTTGCTGCTTTTTTATTTGTTGTTCACAGCCGCTCTTTCTACTGCTGCCGCCGGCTTCTCCTGTCTCGTCTTTCTTCCCACTCCCATGGCCCATTACGCAATTATAATAGGAAAAATGCCCACTAACCTTTATCAGAGAAGATGGATGAAAACTGAGTAAGACGTAGAAACTAGTATTAAGCCAATTAAGAAGAGGTCCAGAGAAAAACAATCGTGGTAAATATTGTGAGAAGTGATATGAAGTCCATGAAAAAGGAGAAAGATGTGGGATCATGGGAGGAAAAATTGGAGGGATAAGGAAGAGAGTCTATGGAGAAAGGGAGAAACGACGGGGCAGAAGGCAGCGGTAGAACCAGCGCCAGTAAACATCAAACAAAAAGGCGGTCGGAATAAGAGATTGGTGGGGGTTGTATACGCATCGGCAAAATATATAAACTACAATCGCTCTAGTCTACAGGCTGCAGTGGAGCGAACACCACGTTACTAGCACGCAACACAGCCCTGGAGATAGAAAGGCTTCCGAAACATTGACAAAGTCAATTATGTGTAGATGTAAATATTTCAAATAAACCATACACAAACTTCAACCAATTTAAAACTGTTTTTGTTTGTAATTATAATTAAGATTAAATACTATTACAGATGAATGACTTACGTCAAGTCTGAATTAGAGATTTGAGTTGGTTGATAAATAATGACATCTGGACCTTCAGTGATACTACAACTCTTATACATGTTACACGCTCTTAATACTGTCTTTATCCGAGTAGTAGACGAGTTGACTGTTATAAAATATCAGCTTAATTATAAATTGGTTGTATGTTTAATCTATGATAGACTGTATATTATTTTACTTTGTTAAACATTAAGAATTACTGACCTGACGGAAGAATATATTCCGTTTTTAACCAATAAGAAGACGAATAAAAATATATCGGTCTAGATAACAATGATGGGACATAATATCCAAAACTATATTGTATGGGATGACTTGACTTAGTGTCATAAGCAGGAATGGTTTGAAATCTGAATACTGTTGTGAGTCCAATACCCTCTATCGGTTCCACCTGGTTAATTATAAGTTTATAATAACGTGTTAAAAGAGTTCAGTAAAATACACTACACGTGTATACTGGTTTTCAGGTATACTTACTTTTAATTCGGAAATCATTGGAGAAGCAATGATTGAAATCGGTATTATACCAAAAATTGGATGTTTCAATGAATCACAGAGTATACTTAACTTAATTAGGTAATTCGTATTATACTTAACATTATTGGGTAAAGTCATGGTTAAACGCACATTACGCGAAAATGTTTTATTTCGGCTTGGCGTAAACTCTTCTAGAATTTTAACTTTCCCTCCCTAAAATAAGTATATTCAGACAATTCAGTGATGATTACCATTTTACTAAAGTAGTAAAATATAAATAATTATATCGATTTGAAACTGTATCATAATTTTTGCTAAATTAAAATAAAATAATTTACGAAAGTTTAAAAATTCGACTGAAACTTAACTATTTAGAACTCGTATGTACATATTTGAATAATGTGATACTAAATTAAAATGACATATATTTTTTAATAATTATTATGACATTTTGTTTACCAATTGGCAATTACCATTTGTTTAGACGTTAAATAGGTATAGCCAGTGTCTGCTGAAGTGCTCCAAGTAGCTAGACAGCCTGATATCAAGTAAGAAACCGTTGCAGCAATTGAAAAACTTTTTCCAGCCGAAAAAGGAACACTTGGGTTGAAGTTTTTATTTGGCCAATAGAACGATATATGTGGACCAGATTCATAAGACACGACCAACACTGAAACCGCTGAATCTATTGGAACTCCAGATAGTGATATTTGAACAACGACATAATATCTAAATTATATAGTTAGTAGTAAATATAATAGTCAATACAATAATTTAATTAAAATGTTATTTGTTACGTTATTTGTTTTTTAGTAAACCTTTTAGCTATCTTATAACAACTGTTTGCAATATAATTTAAATTTTCTAAATCTGTTTAATTTAAGTTTTTTTATGATGAACTGATTTAGTTACAGATTTTTAATTCTTACAATTATGGAATCATCTAAATATTCGCATTTAATGTACAATGTAGATGACCTACCTTCCAGGCTGCAATGTAACTTCACGAATTGTGAGTTCTGAAGAACCTGTTTGATCAAAGGCTGCTTTTAGTTCAGGATAGTTACCAACCATCAAGCAATCGTCACCCTTAATTGTCTTGCACAACCATTTATACTGTTATAAATACATACAATTTTTTATAGAGAGCATTATTACTTTTACATTTAATATTTATAAAATAAAATAAATTGTAATTTTCATATTGAATTTGGGTTATTTGAATAAGATTAGGTTAAGTAGAGAGCGTTTAAGAAGAAATATTATAAGATGCAGGTATGGTAATCGAGCGGATTCCTCCAGTAGATATAAAAGTAAAGGCACGCAAGATACAGTGTAACTTTCGGAAGAATAAACAGATAAAGTAGATAATATCCGGAAAATTAGCCAGGCCACGGTGTCTGAGAATTGACAAGTAGGCGAACAAGTCTTCGGTGAGCCCTTAGATAAGGCTCATTTATTACGTTTATTGATTTTTCAAGGCGAATAATTGAATTTATAACTTACATAAGTGTTATAAAATAAGGTGTACATTTAGGGTTCAACGCCGCTATAACGGGTGTCGGGGTGTTATAAGTAACAATAAAGCCGCAAAAAAAGCAGCGCAGAAGAAAAAAAAACTTCTTACTAAAAAAAAGGTGTATGTATTTTTAATAAAAATGAATGCTGTTTTTTAGTAATAACTTTGCAATATAAGCTATTTCTAAAATAGGATTTTATAAGACTGCAATTTTGAACTGCTATCGATTGATAATTAATGTTAACGTATTATTAATTATTAACTATATGTGCTTACTTGTATATTTTCTTTTCTCGAAAAATCCCTGTGGGTGACTTTAAGTCGTATAGAACGGCCAAATGAAATCACTAATTGCTGAGGTATTATAATTGCTTTAGCGTCAAATGGTTCTATTCCAAATTTAATTTCGTCCTATTAAAAAAATACATTTTATAAATCAGTTTCATCGACAACAATAAAGATCAAAAACAAATTTGTAGAATAAAAAAATTAGAAAAATCGTTTCTTAAATCATGAAAAAAAGTATTCGCAAACACAAATCCAAAATATTCGATTTTAATCCAATTTACACAGGGTTTCAATATACAATATTAAATAAAATAAATAAATTTAAAAAAACTTTTTTAAAAACATGCTTTTCTAAAAAATAGTCAAAAAGTGAACTAAAAAGTAAAAAAGAATTATACTACAAAAATAATTTACGAATCGATTGTAGCACATTTTATTTAATATGCCAATTACTTTAAAAACAACCGAAAATTAACTAAAATTTGAAATAATGGTAAACATCTTTAATTTTTTACTAAAAAGAAAAGCGTGGGCCCTATTCAACAATGTCCCTAATACATACATTTATCAGATAACATTTTAGATAATGTTTTATATTGTAAGATTTTTTGTAATTTTAATTTAGTAAAATATTTGCGTGTGTCACATATATTTAGTAATACTTAACTCAACGAATTTGGACTTTGCTGAATAGAGCCCACGCTTTTCTTTTTAGCAATTAATTAAAGATGTTTAACATTACTTAAAATTGTAGTTAATTTTAGGTTCTTTTCAAAGTAACAGACATTTTAAATAAAATTTGCTACAGTTGATGGTAAATTTTTCTTGTAGTAAAATTATTTTTTACTTTTTAGTTCACTTTTTTACTATTTTTTAGAAAAGCGTGTTTTTTTAAAAAAAAATTTTTAATTTATTTATTTTATTTTTTACTTTTTAGTCCTATTAAAGGTACTTAATAATTAGTGAATAGATTACTAAATTCATTTTGGAATATTTGTAAAAACATGAAATTTTAGTGAAATGACCCCCACATATTATGATCCTGTGTAGGGTGTCCGGGTCCCAATATTATGACGGAACATTGTATTGTCATCCAAAATGAGTATCTGGGTTAAATTTCAGTCTTCTACGATATTGGGAAGTGGGTTAAATTTTTTTTTTGGAAGATTAGTAAAACATAATATTTTAGTAAAATGACCCCCACATATCACCCTGTGTAAGGCGAGCTGGATGTCCTAGTCCCAATTTTATTACAGGATTTTGTACTGTCGTGATGAGTGTCTGTGCCAAGTTTCAGCCTTCTACAACGTCGGAAAGTGAGTTAAATTAATTTTGCAAGATTTGAATAATACCCGTACAAACGTACCTACGTATGTGTTAGCAAGTTAAAGAAAATCATGTAAAAACATATTAAGTATAGTATATTAGTATGTACGTATTAAATTATAGAATTTCTGTATTTACTTTTGCTATTACTGGCTCTTTTATATTATTGAATTTTATTTCTCCTCGTAGGTCACAACCTACAGTGTAATTATAATAATTATGAGTTAACTCCTTTGTATCCAATATCAATGTAGGCGCGTTTATACCGATTATATTCCGCTTGATACCGTCTGCTACGATATACCAGTCGTACTATAACAATTTAAATTATTACTCTTAAATTTTAACCTTTTAAGTTTAAATAAATAACGACAACACGATTTGACATCTAAATGAAATAAATGTACATAATTTATATAGCCACTAGTTCCACTAAAAATTAATTTTTATTTGGAGGGTATACCAAAGTGAAGGGATAGGTAAATAACTTAAATGGATCAATGATATTTTATTTACCAAATCAGTTATTTACTCGAATATATAATAATTTTCTTAATGGTTTTCAATAATGATAACTAGTTTAGATTGGTTTAGAACTTTAATTTGAGCTTTTTGTAATAGATTAACTTTGTTTTATTCTTAACTCGTCATATCTACAGTTTTCTCATACAGCGAGCAGTAAGAACTGAATACATGTATAAAAACATAACTAACGATTGAATTTAGATAAAAATAAAATATAATATAATAAAAAATACATAGTAAATATAATCAATTAGTTTATTCGGTCGTAATCAGGTATATTATGAGATTTTTTCACAACTAATATTATAATTTATATGCATCACATATTACCTGAAGGTTATTATATAAATTATTATCTAACTCATCGCATGTTAAGTACAACATAGTTTCAAAAACAGCTTCAGTGCCGGTAGCATATGATGGTCTTGTTATTATTTGAAGATTTAATTCTGCTTTAAAATTTTGGGTTTCGGCTAACTTGAATTGTAGTTGAGTTTTTGAACCAGATTGGTATAAAATATTGGTACCGGTTATTTCTAAGGTGTACATCACATTTGGCAACATCTGTGTATATTAGAGTAAGCCATTGAATGATATAATCATAATTTTAATACATAAGCCACAAAAGGATTTAAAGAGTTACAGCTCCTTGTACTCAATTAGTAATTTATTTGTATTTACTTAAATACGAACCATGTTACTATTAAGGCAAATACCAGTGCCTAAGTTTTGCCTCTTGACAGCTTTGACTATGTCTTTAACACTATTTCTCAATATAATATTTCGTTGAGACGCTTCTTCCGGCGACATCATTGCCGAATTTGAATAATCATTCACACTTAAAATTGTGTTGTACTTAAGTAATAACGAACTCATTGAAAAAGCACTTATCATTTTCTGGCCTAGGCATTTACTGTCCTCTATTGTAAATTTTGCTGGATCGTCTACATAATTTGAATTATTTTTGGGACTTCCACAATAATATCGAGGACCGTGTAACCAGTATCTTGGCAATGTGACCTAAGTATTATTATGAAAAAAAATATTAAGCAAATTATGTAATGCTAAAGATCTTCTATTTCCAACAGTAACAACACTAAATAGATTATGTATTTTATTTATAATAGACGTTTATTAAGTCAATGATAGGGTAGTGTTAAATATTAATAATAATTTGTAGCTGTAATTCAGACTGCTGATTTAAATTTTTATGCGTGATTTTATTTTTGATTAAGAAGGAAATTTAAATAACTCTACTTATTCATAAAACATCATGTAGAAGGAAAATATGAGACAGTACCGTATTTAAGACCGCCCCATCCCCCACCGACTTGAATTGATTTATCAAGGTTATATGTTAAATATAAATTAGGCAATAGTAAATTACACCTTTAGGCTTTTTTCATAACTTATTCTGAGAATATTCCAAAATCATAAAAATACCTAATATTTGCTATTATAAAAACTATAATTTAATTTTTTAACTTTTGGACCTAATAATATGGAATACTATACCCCATTTCATAAAATTTAGTAATTAATATAATATGTATATAAATCATAATTAATGTAGGTAGTCGGAACTCAAAAATAGCAAAGATATGACAACCGCAATCAGTATTTACCGAATTATTGCAAACTTATACGCCCGCATCACTCCCATCAGAGCTAAAATTATTACAGAAAGTCAAGAAAGAAATTAAATATTAAAGAAAAGTAGTTCAATATTATTCCCGTAAGTGTTCATAAATTAGATAACAACCTCTATTTAATGAATACTATTATTATTTTGTTAAAGGAATTTCAATTTATTTTAATTAAAATATCTATAAAAATATTAACGATTTGTGGTTAAGGGGCCGCAGAGTGGTTTTTATAAAAAAATATTCAGTACAGATATCAAAAATATAAAAACGCCACCCCATTGACAACGTTTTTCTCTATACATTGTGAGAATTCAGTAAATCTACCCCACAAGGGGGTCGGAGCACAACTAGTTTTCATGCGTTATAGACCAATAAACGGTGCTAAATTAGACATACATCTAAATGTTGGATTTTAATTTTTAAAGTATGTGTGGATTTAATGACAAATTGTCTAGGTTTCTTAGGAAGCCGATTTTCGATTTAAAATTTGGTATGCCTAAAATAAATTCAAATTTAATTTGGAAATTATCACTGAATTGTCATCAAAAATAATAAAAAATAATTTTGGAGGTCTTTAAAAGAGAAAATTGAAAATCGCCTTCCTAAGAAACCGGTTTTATTTTTTTGATATCTCTACTTAATATTTTTTTTTGTATAAACCATGCTGCTGCCCCCTTAAATAATAAATAGTTATAAATAAAATATTATTTATAAATGGGTTTTGTAATATATTTTTGAATAGTGTTGCAAAAAACTATAATAACTATTTTACTTCAGATGCTGCTATAGGCACAATTATTTCGTGACTCAACATAGCCGAACTATATTGAGGCCACGACCTGTAAGAACGTATGGCATTATTCGCAGAAAACTGAATGATGAATTGGTTGTCTTTTATCTCGGTAATATTCCCCAAAAGAACCGTTAAATGGTCAGATGAGAACCAACAAATGGCATCTACACAATGAAGAATTAATGTCAAATTGTATTTTATTCGAAACAACATATTTTTTTTACGAATGCAAAAATATGAAAACTCCATACCATAACCGAGTTGAGTCAATGTGTTGTGGGTAAATATTTCATTACACGATTCTGGACCTTCTACATTTTGGTCAAACTGAAACCAAAGTGTTCTTAAATCTTTAGTGTAACCGGACTTTATCAATTTTGGCCGACTTGCGTGAACTGCAATCATCTTAAAGTTGTTCATGCTATCAAAGATGTATTAAATTTATTGTTATATATGTATTTGAAAATGTTTAAATGTATTAATAATTTTATAATTTTAATCACTTTAAAACAGATTCAATGGCATCTACTGAATAAACTACGGTCACGCGGTACTCTGCTGCTTTGGTGAACTGATGTTCAGGACAAGTTATCCACGTCGAAAGTTTATTTCCGTTAATTGAATTTGTTGGTAAAACTACATAATCGTCATTATCAGATAAATGACATAGCAAAGGAACAGGCTCGGTTAGATTGAAAACTTCTAATTTGAGCTATAGTTAACATAATGCCATAATGGTAAACATTTTATTTTAGAGTATCAAATTCACTAACTTGAGTAACTAAATCTACAAACGGAGATGAGCATAATGGATTTCATTCTATAATCAACTACGGGGCTATGGATTACTCGTAATTTGGAATTAGTATAAAACTGGATTATATTTATTTCACTAATCCCTAAGTTGTTGGATAACCGAATTTCCTATTATAGTTCGTTTTTTCTGGATCGACGGAATACTTGTAATCCTTTGAACCAACCTATTAAAGTAATGGCTTTTTTTTTATTCCTGTAATACTTATTACTTGGATTATTGAACGATATAATAACTGCTGGTGTATGCAAGGAGGATGTGGGAGATCGTGCAACTGCCAAGTTGATGTTTAAAACAAGGGTGGCCGACCTTTAAATAATTGGGATTAAGGCAAAAGAAAAGAAAATATTACAGTAATACGGAATTGATAATCCTGCCCATTTCTGTCTACAAGTACTTATCCAACATAAAGCTTAAAAATAAGAAAATATATAATATCTGTTCACAAATTAAAATTAAGTAAAGTAAATTTAAAAAAAAAAATGTTTTGAAAAATATGATGAAACACAACACTAAATGTTATTGTTAAGTTTTTAAATACATTTTTTTACTCACAGAAACACTTTCTCCGAGTGAAATTGTACTTGGTTCCACATTTTGAATTAACAAGTATAAGCTATTAACGAGTAGAAAATTTCCATCAAAGTTTAATTGTGTGGCGTATTTTGAACACTGTACTTTAAAAGCGCCTAATGACGATGGTGTATAAAATCGTGCCAGGACTGATGAATCGTCGTAAGTTAAATTTGCTTTCTTTAAAAATAAATACAGTATAACTTATAATCTGTTTCTTATAATATTTACTTATTTTTAAATACTTCTAGAACACTAATGAGTGTAAGTTTTGGAAAATAAAAATAAATGGAGGGTTTACAAAGCTGATAAGCCATAATAGCATGTATCATGTAACATGTTAGTAAAAAATGTATTTATAGAAAATAAGCTACCATTTGACCCATACTCTTGGCTTTTAGTACTATTTTGAAAGGAATGGCATAATAATTAACATGTTGTATACCTATAACTTTTTTAAACTTAATTGTGTTAACTAGAGAGTGTATAACTGACACAAATACTAGTGGGTGTTTATTATTTATAAATCGATTTTGTCGAAACATTGTTTTAATAAAGAAGTCATAACTGCATTGTATTATAATATCTTTGTTTTGTCCTCTGTCAGATTGTCTCTCTAACCTTTAAGTTGTATGATTGTATCTTTAAGTATTATCAATTTGTTAGATTTAAGAAAGATATTATTATTATGAACATCAAAATACAATTTAGAGATAGTTGTTCATTAAATTACCATCAAAATTCGAGATTCTAAATCCATTATATTGCAATTTGTCCATTTAATCATATCAAAAGTCGATGCCAATCCTTTTATATGTATTGTTACGTAATCTTTGTGTTGGACATCATATATAAATGGCGATACATGTATTTCTTGAGTAAACGCTCTTGGATAATATACTGAACAAATACATTAAAATATGCAATATGTATCAAATAAATTATAATTAAGCTTAAAATATGTATATTTAGTTTAAATATATATTAAATAAAACTATAATAATATTTAAAAAAAACGTAATTTGTTTTATTGAAAATGATTTCTTTGAAATTAGTTATTTATTATGGCATAAAGTTTAATTTTGGAAGCCAAGTTCTTAGGATTAAAATAAAATTGTATGGTGTATTAGGTTATGTGACTTACTTAACGTTATTAAAACAATAATTGTTCCTGAAAAAATGAAAAACATTTTTAAACTAAATAATTATTCTTAACACCTATATGTTGTCCATTGGATCTAAGAGAAACACTGTAGTGGACAACAGTTTATGGCTAGCGGTGATGTGTATACATACAAATGTCTTGTTGTCATGGAAACAAAAAGTCAATATACCGTAAAAATTACATATCATACATTTTATTCCTTTTTATGTATAAATTATGATTTTTTATGAACTAAGCACAATATTTTTAAAATGAATATAGGTATGTATATGTACCTACTATCAGTAAACTTGTTATACTTCATCAATACAACGGGAACTAGAAAAACTGTGTGTAGGCTTAGCGAATCACGGGTGTAAATAAGTTCAAATAAAATTAATTTTCAAATGTCTGCACAAACGTTCAGCGAAAGACAACTACCGAGTTTCAAAAAATTAAAAGGTTGCCATCTCTCACTTATTTTTAGAATTGCTTTATGCTCGAACTTGGGATAGCATTGAAATGGGCCTATTAAGAAGTAACCATCTTCGGAAGTTCGGTAGCTTCTCTCAACTAGAAACATTTTTAATTTTTTGATATGTTCTCTCAATTTACTCGTATAAGGTACACGCACTTGTAACTAAATTCGAAACAATCCGCAATATATATGTAGACGACATTCAAACTATTTATATTATTATAACTTAATTATATTATTGTCAAAAATTGCATTGTTGCCTACGTAACCGAATTATTCGGTCCGAATAACATACAAATTTAAATTAAATTAGGTCGTGTTCAGTTAAGAGAACGAAAGAGTTTAGAGCCGAGGCTTTTTTATTTACATAACATGCTTTAAAAACTTGTAAATGAGTTTAAAATAGTAAAATTCGTATTAGGTATGTAACCTTATCTTGTAAAGTTTTTAGTAGTTATAGTTAATGTGTCTGATTATCCACAGTAAATAATTGATGATTCACTATGCATATATTATTATGTACAATATGTAATATGCTATTTATCGGGACGTTATCGTTTTTTCCTAATCATTAATGCTTTTTAGTTTTTTAAATTCGATGACGCGTAGTTCATTGGAATTACCTATCGGATTTTATAGTCATTCAGTTTTATAAATAAAAATCAATGCGAGTTGCCACTGCATGTGCGTAGATTTGAGGCCTATTAGTCGATTATGTTACATTAAACCGTATAGCCACGCACGTGGGAGGCCACTTCAGGCTTTTTTTTTACAAATGAGACACAGGTAATTCCAAAGGTCAAGTTAAAGTAAATCTCATAAACGAACAATAGTGCGCCGATAGCAATTTCCAAAATCAACGTCTAAGTAGGCACGATTACGTAGGTACAACCAATTTTCAAATGCAAATGTTTGAAAAAAAGAGCAATTGTTTGGTTTTGCATATATATTCAACGAGTTTAGTTTCTGTTCTTTGATTTTTGAACCTGTTATAGTATTTAATTATAAACAAGTATTACAAAATAATTATCATGAATACGAACGTTGGGTTTTAAAATATATCCCACGTGAGTTGTAAAGTTATTTATAATTGACTTACTCATGGTCCCCCTTGTTTGTTTTATCGACATAGGTAGGTTATGTAAATTAATATTGAAAATGGAACTCGAAGAAAATATACATATATATATATAGCAGTAACATAATCGGATTAAATGAGATATTTTACTATTTGAAATATCGGTGTAACTATTATTTAAACATTTTTCTATTTACATTGTTTCGAGAAAACAAAATAACCAAGAGTTCAGCTATTCTATGCAAATAAACTGCTCGCCTTATCTATAAATAACATTGTTAACCGATACGAGCGATTACGGGATTTAAATAATAATTTTTTTTCGAAAATGTTCGAAATGATCATAAGGTAAATTTGATTGTGTTGCGATATAGTACGAGACAATTTTCGTTAAATGCTATTCAGATATAAGAACTTGTTTGTTCAGAAACAGCCGTAGCCCGCAGCGTCGGCGCTAGTCTCTCCGTCTCGCTTCCTTTCGGACACGCGGGACACCTATTTGCGAAGAAGCGCTATAATTTATAAACACCGTAAACGTGGCTGGTTATCTGTTGAATACAAATGCCGATATCATGGTATATTTGTGTGTTATTAGCGCTAAACTCAGATAAGGTGACTCAAGTCTCGGTCGTTCAGGTGTTACGTTCGCGTTTCGTTCGCGCACATCGTCCAATTGCGCTATAGCATTTGTATTGTCGCGTTTACATTACACGCATTAATATTAACGGGTCATATGATATTACCTTTTATTGCTTACCACTATCGCGAATATCGCCGTCAGTGCATGTGATTACAGAAAACCTTTTTTGTGTCACCCGTTAGCACAGCGCCAGTGCTGCATTTGCGTAAGCCGACGATGGACGGGCCCGGTATGAGCGGCCGTACGTGAAATGGTCATCATCGGATGGGCGTTTGTGTTGATGGCGGCCGCCCTTCAGGGGTGGTCGTCCGCAGTGGACGCGGCCAACGTCGAAATTGGCCGCGGAGTGGACGTTCTTCAGAGGATCAGCATCATCGGGGATATGCTCTTCGGAGGTGCTCCCAACAATAAAGACATGATTACTCACGATATTCTTTCCAACGCCAATAGTATAACGTAAGCGAAGATTACACAATATATAATACGGTGTATGAACTTCCCAGCTCCTCACCCTAAAGGTATTTTTGGCTTCATAGTTCTAATAACGCTTATAAATGGAGATGACACTGTGATGAAAGGTCCGAGTAGTATTTTTCGGTAAAAATTTTTGTTAAATACTTTTTGGAATTATTAGAAAAATTTTACAACAAAAGTCTGCTAGAATAGTTTATGATTTTTCTGTTATTTAAAGAAACAAAACTAGATAATATTTTTAATATATAATTATTTAGAGGACGTTATACCTCCTAGTTATTAAATGTTCTGTACAAATAATTATTGCCAAAATATTAATTGAACGCTTAAAGTAATGTATATTTATGAGTACAGCTGTTATTAGGATTCTTTAATGCTATAATTCGTACACACCATTCATTACTTTACTTATTAATATGTACTTATATATATATTTCTTATTTTTTAGTTAATTTGTGTAATTTAAATGTCACTTTGTTGTCTGTAACACAATTATAAAAAGCCTTTTGGCTGATATTACTAAAATAAATTGGTAGTTAATTTTAGATCAGGCTATCATAGTGTCCCTGACAAAGTTTTTCATATTTTTTGTAACAAACATAGTTATTGGTAAATGCCATTTTAAAAGGAATATTATATTCATTTTACACTAATTCAGTAATTGATTGCAAATATATTTAATGTTGAAAAAACAATTTGTACATCTTTAAAACAGATTTCTTTTTTCCAAAAAATATTTTTAAAAACGGATAAGGCATTAAGTGCGATTAACAAGGGAGTGCAATGCGATCTACGCAGTCGAGTTTTTATACTAGAAATAGGGGGGGGGGGTCACGTTCCCCCGGAAGGAAGTTAAGTCAGGTTCAGCAGTGCATACAGATGAACAAAATATTACACTACCTCTTTCTATAACTGAAATATATTAATAAATTAAAAATGATTTGTTCAAAACTGGTTATCCTTATTGACTGTGCTTATTGTGGAGTTTAAATCTACTTTCCTTTACCTCTGCTCAGCTTAGCAATTTCTCTGCTAACTGCCATTGTTCATTAATAAATTTGTTCTGTTGTTTTGCTAGCTATGAAACTTGCAATTTGCATTTAAACATTTAATCTATTTATTCCTTATCAGAAACTGCCCATGACCTTATTAAACAATAAGGTCATTAATAATTAATATGATTTCTAACATGGTTTTATTTTTGTTGGGGGCGCCTACGAAAATTGCATAGCCAAAGTCACAAATAGAATAGAGAATGAAAACTATTAACCTAATTATGATAAAAAATGAGTTATGCGTTTGTTGTTTATTAGCAAACAAAAAACAAACATTTTTATATGACGAATGGTTCATTTATAAAATATTAAAATAACTATTTAGATGTACATTCTCGAGATACTTCGATGTTTAGCTAATTCCTGGAAAATTAACAATTTGTTCAGTTTTGTTATATCGTTACTCTTATTATAATTTCCGTATTTTTTTATTTTAACGAATTTTTTGAAAGTTATAGTTTTAATGTGAACTCTTGATTGTTGGTTTTTTTATGATTACACAGATTGTGATTTGTATAGTTATCCAAATTATGGCTAATATTTTCTTTAACCTTTAACTTAACGATATATCTTTTACATGCACAAATAATAATATTAGAAAAATTATTTCAGTGAAAATATGAAAACTGTATAGATTATTATGATTTTTATGATATTTGGAGTTATCATTCTGGTTTTGTTAAAAATTTACAGTGGTCGCGTCATAATATTATACATTTTGTTGTGCTGAACCAAAAACCGTGTTATCAACTTTGAGTTTTAATAAACATGTTTTTTTACTGATTTTTAGCGCATTTAGGTTAAAACTAAAATATATTGAGAGAAGCTATTGGAATATGGCCGGGTACATCTAAATATTTTATTCATAAAGTCAAGCATATATTTAATTATTTTTTTATTTTAGTGTAAAATATCGTGTATCAATACACTTTGCTTTTTACATCAAAATGATTGATTTTATCCAAAAAGATAAATTATCCTATTACTTTTTTTTATGTTGTATCTAAAAAGATACAATGCTCTAATAATAAAATACTAATTGAAAATAATATTTTTTTTCTTACAACTAAACATACATTTATTTAATATTATTATTTTCTATAACTGGCTTGAAAGAGGTAGTGTATCTTTAAAGATACACGCTTTATATATGTATATATTTCACTGTTCAGTAAAAAAAAAAAGAAAATCAAAAATAATTCTACGGGTCTTAACTAGTTTAAAATTTTCGAGAGATTTTTTAATTTTTGCCAAGTTAATGGTTAAGTTAATAGTAATTATTGCTTAAATTTTAAATCGCGATACGGCTGTATGCTATACAATTTTCATTACATTTAAATTTATTTAAATTCAATTCTGCATAGTATGGTGGATAATTAATTTATTTTTCTGTTTTTTTTTTTAGAGATGTAGTTAACATTACGAACCAACCGAAGGAGTTAAACATAACTTTTTGTCCAGATTTGGACAGCTTATTTGACGCATATTTCAATGGATTTCGGGTCGATTTATCTGAAACGCCATGGAAACTATTGACAGCCAGCTGGTCGCGTTACACGATTTCTGAACGTTTTGGTGTATCAGATATGTCATTGTCGCCGAATTACCAATTTGTGCTCGTGTCTTACACACGTCCCATAAAAATGTATAAAACTGTCAAAAACTTGACGCGATTGGCAGATTTGAAGTCGTCGGTTGTAGAAAAGTTTAAGTCTATAACGAGCGACGTTGAATCCAAAGTGACAGATTTTGTTGCAGAGTACGGTTCACACTATGTTGATGAATATATTGTTGGTGATGCGGTTTTTCAGGTATTTTTTGATATTCATTTTTTTTTATCTATTAATAATTTCCACTTTATTATGTACTAGCTGAGTTTACCTGACTTAGCAAGGGATTAATGTTTTGATCAGTTTTATTTAGCGTAGAATCCGTAGTATAATAGTTATTTAGGTGTATACGTTTACATTCTTATGGCAAAGTGCTTAATATTAAGTAGCCTATAAGACACTAGGAAAATCATTTTACACCTATGTAAAATTCTTCAAAAACTACAACAAAGTGCCCTTTAAGCAAATAATATAATTTTTTTTCTGATATGTTTCCAACCCTGATCGATATTTTAGCCTCTTCTCAGATTTGGATTCTTGCGACAAGAGGTCCTTTTACCCTTCCGCCTCACATAATATATTAAAAATACATCGCCGCCAAATCAATCAACCAATAATAAAATTGGATGATTTAATTTAAAAGGTCAATGACCAAAATAATAAATACTAAAAAAATAATCAGTTAAAAACGTAGAAAATAAAAAATAAATGGCTTTGGCAAATGCAAATATAATTAAATTATAGCAGATAATGCAGGTAACAGATATGATATCAGTAACTTTTCCAGGTATTGTGTAGCTAGGTATTAATTAATAAAATTAGTTCTTTTAACCTTGTAATTAATTATATTTTATGATTTATTTTGAAACAGGTGTTCACGTATCTTCCAGTTTTCTACACAAAATTCCAAAAGTGCTTTTATAGCAACTATTGTTCCGATACTGAACAATCTGTATTTTTATCACCAGTTTTTGCCGAATATGTTGGTCAAGTAATGACAATTGGAAATAAAGGCGAAGTAGAAAAATGGGCAGATACGAATTTATCTTCAAAATCTAGAATCGGTGGCATGTACACAAGCTTGTTTATGATGAAAATTAACCCGAGGCTATTTAACGAAATAGCTCCATTAATGGACGACCAATCAGTGCTTGAAATGCACCTCAAAACCATTTCAATATTTCTTAATGATACTGTAACTAAAAAGTGGTTCGCCGAAGTTCTTGACAATCACGTAAAACTTCGGGAAATCAATCTATAAAGCCGGAATATAAAATGATGTTATTAAATGGACTTAATAAGTTACCTATTTATAAAAGAACATTTGACATATAAAACAAATTTTAAATTCTAATGCTTATTAAAATATTATTGATAATATCATACATTAATGATATCTGTAATAGAAATTAATAGTTGTATATGTATATATATATATAACCTTTACATAAAGATAATATGTAAAGGAATGTATATCTTAAGTTAATAATTGTGTATCGTAGTTTTTTTATTGTATATTTTTAATTTTTTTCTTAGTTATAAACAAGACAATGATGGTGAATATTCAAATATTTGTAGCTAAAGAAATTCTATATATTTATTTTTGTTTGGAACTAAAAGTACCTATTGTAACACGATTATGTAAATAATTTAGGTAATCATTAACTAGAGCTAATTACTATCTTTTAATTTTATATTACAGATTTTATTATTTTAAAGTCATTTTTTATCGTGATGTTCAATATTTTGTAAAAAATGTATAATAAAATGTTTATATTTTACCGAGGTTGATAATTGATTTATTTTATAATTTTTTTATGTATATATTTATATATATATATTAAGATACATTTATAGATTATAGTATCTTTATGTTAGTTTTAGCATCTAAGTCCCCTAAAAACATTCAGCTTGAGTTCCGGCTACGATTGCGATGATCTATTGGCCCTTGATCACTGATAGTTACAAGTATTATAAGTTTTTAATAGTGTGGTGAAGTTTTTTGTAAACATTTTATCAAGTGACAGCCATTATGAGTTGTTCTATTGTAAACCAGTGATAAAGAATTTTAATATGAGCAATTTCAAGAGCAACACCAAGAGGCAAAGGGTACCATTTTTATATAAAAGTGTATAAAACAGATGTTTCAATTATAGTTCAGTGAACTAAATTGTTTATGTCAAAAATGGACATTGGTTGGTTCTTTTAGACTTAAGGTACAGAATTATATCAACACGGAACACCCAATAGCTTTCTGCGAAAACCTCATTTTATAAAATATGTATCTATTATGGCGAAGACGATATACCATAGATTAAATGAATTCATGTCTGTGGATGTACAGTTTAAATGGTGATAAATGGTAATACATATATAAACAGATGATGTGAAGTCTTATTTTACATCTAAAATCTAAATTATACATAAATAACATAATCAACGAGTAACAGCAGCTGACAAAGCGTTACAACTTAAAGATTAGCTGCTGAGTTTTAAAATGAACGCCGACTTATTGGTATTTTGTTATAGTAACTTGTGCTATGATTGAGAATCTTAGTTAAATATTCTTTTTTTTACAAACAATTGTAGGACCAATTTGAAGATAGAGTTGGTCACACTGCTTGTTATCAGGAGTTTGAAATGTGATAAAAGGAAAAACCATACATTTTATCCGGTGCTGAACCTCGTTGTGAACAATAGTTTTTTACACTACATATTACGAGTTATTTTATAATTTACAATTTAATTTCTTAATTTACTCAGTATTTCACTATTAAACATTTATTCCTAACTAAAACCAAACATGGTAAGAAATTAAAATCTGAACTATTATGAACATTACTTGTATTATGCAATATTCCTACAACTAAATTACCTATGTAGGGTTATAGGGGTATTAAAAGGGTTATATATTTCTTTTCAGGTTTCTTTAAATCCAGTTCGCATCTTGAAACATCAAGCTGAAGAAGACAAAGGTGAAAATGCACGGTTATCCAGTTTTATTGGGGCAATTGCCATTGGTGATTTGGTAAAAAGTACATTAGGGCCAAAAGGAATGGACAAAATATTGATATCGGCTGGTCGTGGAGGAATGGATGCTAAAATCGAGGTTACTAATGATGGTGCTACAATTTTGAAAAGTATTGGGGTTGACAACCCAGCTGCTAAAATATTGGTTGACATGTCAAAAGTCCAAGACGGTGAAGTTGGTGATGGCACAACATCTGTCACTGTACTAGGTAAACAATTTTCACAGTTCAAAATTTGGTTAGGCTCTATTATAAATTTGAAAACATTTTAAAATAGTTTTCTATTATTCTGTAATTTTATGTAAGTTATATTTAAATACCAAAATATCCTTGCAGCAGCTCAAAAAAAAAGATCAGTTAAGAACTGTACCATTTTGTCATACATTAATTTATTCTTTTTTTATTGTTAACTTTTCTGTAATACATTTTTAATTTTTTGAACATTTATGTTAGCTTATCTTTGTTTGCTTCATTTAAGGCTTTACAGTTTGAATGGATTTAGTTTACTTTTTTTTCATTTGTAAAAATAGTCCTGTTATAAATGACACCATATGGTGTCACAACTTATGTTATTGTTAAAGCTGAACTGTAAATGTTATTTCTAATCTACTAGGTAGGTACTTCACTGCTTGAAAAGAATAACAGTTTAAAAATTTTTTGAATTTTTTTTTCTTTGTAGGTATTTATAAAATAATTAAGTTGTATTATATAGGGCTACCTTAACTCATTTGTGTCATGCAATATTAAGTTTTAAGTTTTGTTATAAAAACTATTTTGTAATTTTCACTATAATTATTGGCATGTACTTCATAGGCTTTAAAGGCACAACACTACAATGGGATGGTTTCTAATAATTTTGCTATTTTTAAGTATAGTAAATAAAAATGTTATTAACATATGTTAGAAGTAGATATCGTCAAAACTGTTAGCGATAAACTGAATTTGACGATATATTTGTAAATATTGTAATTTTTTTTAAAATTTATGAAAGCTTTAATACATTTATTATAAATAATGTAATTTTAAGTCAATTTAATTACATGAAGAATTGATGTTTTAACATTAATACTTGCAATTCATTGTTATAATTGTATGCATGAAGTTATACACAATAGCAGGTCTCCAAACTTCCTTACAAATAAAACATGATCATTAAAATGTATACTGTTTTATATAAAACAATTAATTTTGATACATTTATTTTTATTTTTAGCTGCTGAATTATTGCGTGAAGCTGAAAAATTGGTGGACCAAAAAATACATCCTCAAGTCATTATTTCGGGATGGCGTAAAGCAACTAAAATTGCACATGATGCTTTACAAAATGCGTCCATGGATAATAGCAAAAGTGACGAGAAGTTTAGAGAAGATCTTCTAAATATTGCTCGTACCACTCTAAGCTCCAAAATTTTATCCCAGCATAAAGAGCATTTTGCTAAATTATCAGTTGACGCTATATTACGTCTCAAGGGTTCTGGAAATTTATCTGCTATACAAATTATAAAACTTAAGGGTGGATGTTTAGAAGATTCATTTTTGGACGAAGGTAAATATTGTTGAATGCCATATAAGTGTATACATTTACTAAAATAATGTTTTTATATTTCAGGGTTCCTTCTCGATAAAAAGATTGGTCAACATCAGCCTAAGCGTATTGAAAATGCTCGTATATTAATTGCCAATACACCAATGGACACAGATAAAATTAAAGTATTTGGATCAAGGATTAAAGTCGATTCAATGGCCAAGGTTGCAGAACTTGAGTTGGCGGAAAAAGAAAAAATGAAAGACAAAGTTAACAAGATACTCTCTCATGGTAGCAACGTGTTCATTAATAGGTAATAAATAATAATATTATATAATAATAATAAATATTATATTATTATAATAATAAATAATATATTCATAATTATAAATAACTAATGTCACCGACAATATATTTTAGCTATTTAAAATGAACTACCAACATTTTGGAATAGGTGATAAATATGTATTTTTTAATACATTTTGTATTTTAATGAAGTAACAGGGAAATTTTATGAATAAATAGGTCCTTGGTTAAAAGAATTTTAACTATTAATTTTGTAAACAACATAAATATTTTAAAATAATTTTATTAATTGTTTGAATTAAGTTTTGAGGTATACTATTTTTAAGTTATTCAGTAGTATAAAAGTGATAATTACTATTTCGTACAAATTTCTGACATCAACTAAATTAAAGTTAATTTTATATCTTTTCAAAAAAATTCATATTCAATTTATAGACATGTACTTATGTGTGATTTTAAAATTTCATGTTAATATTTCATGCCTTAAAATAAGGGAAGCTTGTATGTACAATGTATGTTTTGTCGACGTTTAAACGATTAATGTCAAGATAAGGAGATACTACATAATCATTATGTATTTTCATGGAATTTTATTTAAATTAACTTTTTAACTTTTCAGACAGTTGATCTACAACTATCCCGAACAACTTTTTGCTGATTCTGGTATCATGGCTATTGAACATGCTGATTTTGATGGTATTGAACGTTTAGCTCTTGTTACTGGCGGAGAAATTCTATCGACATTTGATTCACCCGCCACAGCCAAACTGGGAACATGTAAACTTATTGAGGAAACCATGATTGGTGAAAGCACATTACTACGCTTTTCTGGTGTAGCTCTTGGAGAAGCTTGCACAATAGTTATTCGTGGAGCTACAGAACAAATTATTGACGAAGCCGATCGTTCTTTACACGATGCTTTATGTGTGCTTTCATCCACTGTACGTGAACCAACCATTGTGTACGGTGGTGGTTGTAGTGAAATGTTAATGGCTAACGCTGTTAGTGCTGTAGCAGCGAAAACTGCTGGTAAAGAGGCGGTAGCAATGGAAGCATTTGCCAGAGCTCTTCAGACATTGCCCACAACTATAGCTGATAATGCTGGTTTAGATTCTGCACAACTTATCAGTGAATTAAAAGCCGCTCATGCTCTTAACAAAACATCTATGGGATTAGGTTTGTAAATAATATAGTTAACAACAAAAACTTGTTTTAAGCGGTATGTTAAGTATCTTTTTTTTTAATTCTTAGATATGGAAAATGGTATCCTGGGATGTATGCGTGAAACTGGAATCACTGAATCTTTTGTTGTTAAGAGGCAAGTATTAGTTTCAGCCGCCGAAGCAGCTGAAATGATCCTGCGTGTCGACTGTATTATTAAAGCGGCTCCGAGGCAACGAGTTGAAGATCGTGGTCATTGCTAACTCTAACATATTTATAAAAATATATTCATTTGTAACAAACTAACTCCAATGGCAAACACATAAGTTTGTTTTTAATTCACATGTTTTTTTATATACATTTTTTTCTTAAAATATATAAAAATATGAAACACTATTTTTTTTTTTTATTATTATTTTTATATTATATATTTAAAAAAGGCTTATTCAATAAAAAAATCTAAATTATTTATTTCTACTATTTATAGTTAGGTAGTGTTCAGCAATAAACAAGAAAAGCATGACTAGTTATAATAAATAATTGACTAGAAAATTATGTAGGACCAAAAATGTTCATATAATGGTAACAAAAATAAAAATGTAAACATACAGACCAAATTCAAGTGAATGAAATGAATGAAAAAAATTGAAGAAAAAAAAGTTGGTACATTTTATAAAATGATCACTTTGGTTTTGGTCAGTCTTAGTTATTTAAAAGAAATAATGACTTGTAAAAATACAAAACCAAAAAATTTGAGCTGGTCCATTATAAATTATAATACTGAAAGTCTATAGACTCTTCCAATAGGTTTGCACCGTATGAATGGAAATCATTATTTGATATACTGATTTGATCGCCGACATATTTGGCCGGACTAGAAATCAAAAACGAGTTGGTGTACATTTCTGAAAACAAATATTTCAATTCAATGATAATGTATTGTACTTAAAAATACAAATAATAAGGTGTATAAAAATAAATGATTACCGTTATCTAATGCGCTGTCGAAGCTTGCTTGTAGTTTGACATCGTCTAAACTATCATCTCTCTGTAGTTCGCTTTCCAGATATTTACAAGCCTGTTCTAGTTCAGATGACTCCTGTGGCGATGGTGACGTTTCTTCTTCTTCAGTAGGTGTAGTGTACTCGCGTTGTCCTAAACTTTCTTCGGTATTGCACAGTCTCCAATAATGACCAGCTCCTTGAGACTTCCGTCCTTTCCGAAAATTCGGATTTATAGACAAATTATGACGAACTGAATTCTTCCAGCGTTCATCGTCTTCCCGGAAGTATGGAAAATGACTCCTAGACAAATTAAATTGTGTTTGTAATAATTTTGGTCTTTAGGGATATAATATTCACTTTCTCAATTTATTAAACATATTTTAGAGAGTCAAATTCTGATGAAGCTTATTACGGTTTATAAAAAAAATTGGGTTCAAATACATAGATCATAATAAAATCTAAAATATTCATATTATGCAATAGTCAAATTATTCGTATTATGTTTATAGATTAAATGTATAAGCCCATGTGCCGGGAAGGCATAGTCTGAATTTTTAGAACAAAACAATATTGTGTTGATTTAGTTGCCTATACGGAACTCCTTAATAAAATAGGATTTTTATAAAGAATTCGGCCGTGGGTATGTTTAATAATTGCAGCATTGATTATATAGATTTTTAATCACAGTTTCCTAACAAAAAAATATTGCGCGCATCTGTTTGTGTTGTTCTTAAAGTTTAAATTAATAAAAAATCTCAAACACTATCATGAAATCAGCAGTACATTGCCACGTTTTCGAAATTTAATTTAGTACCTAATTGAGTTAAGTTAGAACTGTATTAAAAGTAATTTTTGTGTATCAAATATTAGACAATGTTTTTAATTTTTCCAAAATGTACCAACGTACTATTAGAAATATTTTGATCTTTCATATTTATATTAAAAGTTATTGCTCTAAAATCATCGAGTAAAACAGATTCGGAAAAATATTAAAAAACGTGGGGAAAAAACGAAGTCTTATATTAAATAGTAAAAACATTTAAATATATTTTATGAAAAATATTATACTGAATGATTCTATGATGGGTTTGAAAAATATACATAAAACTTGTACATTGAATTATAATATAAATTTGTAGAAAAAACAATCGAGACATTTTGTAAACCAGCCTTAGAGAATTTTTTTTAAAATCAAATTTTTTTGTATGCTATTAGAAGTTTTTTGAATCTTGATAGAGATACATTACTTTTGTAATTGATTTTTAATATTTTAATAATAAATATAGTTATTATTAATAATACAAAACACTTCTAGTGTTTCTCCAAATGCGTACCTATTTGAATTAACTAAGATTAAACTAAGATCCGCATTTCTGTTATCAGCAAGTACAAAATACCAAAATTGAAAGTACTATAGTTATGAAAAGGGGAGACGTAACTTTGGTAAAGTTAACCTTATTTCTTTACTTCCCCCGAAAAGAAAAACGGGACCGGTGCCTGGTACCAAGAGCCACGAATACAATAAACGAGCAAGGGGTGAAATATTTTCAGCTAAACCAAGCATATATACACGCCACATGCATACAACATTGTTGTTTCTAAATAAATTGTAAAAAAAAAAAATCAAATATAAATTCCACATTTGTGATCAGGCCGTTCACGCGTTATTAAATCAAAAGGGCTTTTATGACTGCTTACGAGTAATAATTCGAGACAATATAAAATCGATTTTAATTTAATTAAAAATTAAATCTAAGTACATGCTACATTTGACATATTTTTTAGGTGTTGTGTACATTTTGTTCACAATATTATTGTCTATGTCATCATGACCATTAACAGGCCTGAAGTCCCAACGCTGCTAGCATGAGATGGTTTATTGTTCATATAACATGCCAAAAACGCATTAGCACAGGGGTTTTATTACGGGAGAAGTAGAGTAGACAGTTGCTTTGCCGGCAATTTTACTCCTAGCTAAATCAGAACCCAAAAAAGTATAGGGAATAACTAATAAAAAAATGATCGAACTGTGTCTGTTTAGTTATGGTTAGTACTATTGTTACTTGGGTCAATGTGATAAGTGATGAGGAATTGTGTTTGTGTAATTGGATTTCGCGGCGATTGTAAACTGCGCCCAAGGCACAGGTAAACACAAAATCATACATGTAAACTGCGCGCGAGTTTTTATCGAGTGTAAAAAGGTGACATGTAAACTGCAATAAAAATGAATTAAAATTGGAATGGAATGACTCGCATGCATTGGCGGTTTAAGTTGTTAAATTTTGCATTTCATACCGATGATAAGAAGCTGGGCGCAGTTTACTTACACCTTTTTTGAACCAAATTATAATCAGGGCGCAGTTTACCTAAAACAAAATGATTTGGTCGCAGTTTACGTATGTCCGTATTTCGTAACTTGTACTAATTTAATTATATTACCATTGAGTATATATTACAATATATACTCAATGCTATTACTCCAGCCATGCAGGTTTATTCAAACCTAAGCGTTTTTAAAAAGAAACAGTCTTGTGGACTAATGATACCCGAACTTGATCAATTAACTGTAACATAAATGTTTAAAAAAACACCTATCATATAAATCTAAAATTCAGTGGTAATGGCAGAATGTATTTCATTTTTTTAATTTAGATTTTGAGATTATCATGTTAATATTTTGGGAATTATATTTAAACTAATGTGGTGCTAGACCCGAAAAAAATGACATACTAATAATTATTCTTCAACTTCTGCAATAACGTCACTATATGACAATTGTTTTTAGTAGGTATCATCAGTAGACAATCAATAACGTATTATGATAAACATTTTGTAATTGTACAGTTGAGCTCAGTGAATAATTCTAATAATATGCTAATTATGATATGTTCACAGTATCTACAAACACTATGGGTTGGAAATAGATGAAAAGTTTCACGGCCGGTTGATTTCGGAAACAAATAGCTATCGTTATTAACCCTCACAACCCTCTTTTGTTCGAAAACCGTTTTACACAGGAAATACTAACACGTGACCAAAGAAATATTATGGACAGGTGACGTGAAACGGACAATGTGTATTTTTTTTTTTTGATAATATTACTTGTGAGGTCACTGAGGGTATAAGCTATGGGAAATTTCCGTCACCAACATTGAATAAAATTAATTTTATAAATAAAATAATGTAAAAGTTCTGAACTGTGAAAGAAAAAATAAATGTTTTCATCAGTATTTAAAAGGGTTTAGTTTAGTAAACTTTATACCTTTTATGCTTAATGATTTCAAAACATACGACACCTTCGACTAGGCTAGAATTGATTACAATTTTTATATGTTTTTCTCGTGAATTTTCTCCCCTTCCAGTATAAGTGTGCCTTTAAGTATCATTCACACTTGTAGTTTTTGATAATTATTGATTACCATTATTCGTGTACTTAGTAGGTCTACATTTTAAGATCCTCTATTTATTGTATTTACTTTAGAATCGAATTATAATATTATCGTTATAAGAATGTGTAAAAAACAGATTAGAAAACAATTTGTTAAATAGATTTTTATTAATGTAAAAATGTATAGTCTAATGCTGTCTAACGTGATGTACCTAGATACGCTTATCAGTGACTACTGTGTATACTGCAATTTGATAGTTATATCTTAATACTCTTTCTGAAAGCTAGTTTATATTTATGTACCTGTAGAATAATTCAGTAGTAACTAACGTTTCTTGCGTTAAATGGATAATAGTACGCGTTATTTTTAAAATATAACTTTTTAATACTGAACTTAATGCTTATGAACTAGGTACATGAACATCGAAAAAAAAAGAATAAACTGATATTGGGATAATTGTAGGTATAAGATTTTCCCTGTACAAATTGAACTTAATTTACACCCCATTGGTCATCTGCTTTGATGGTTCTAAACATGATATAATTTAAGCATTGTAGTAAATATTAAATTATAACTTTACCGCATCTTTAAGCGGCCTATCCTCATTTACCTGACGCGACGTTAAAAACAACCTCAGTTTAATATAATATCGCAAACAACGTTATATACAATAATATGGCACTTGTCTTGTATTTTATTTTTTCAAATATGATATCACGCGATCCATAAACAGCGATTCTTCCGTTAACTGAACCGTAAAATTGGTGTTAGCACGCTAGTTGGAAGGTGGGGAGCTTATAGCCGTTGTGGTTGCCAATTGATGACTATGATATTATGGGCACAACACTGAACACATACAAAAAACAGGGTCATGAACCATAATATTAAACAAATATTATGTATGCGGCGTAAATGGCTTACCAAAGGTGTTTACGGTTTACCTATGTACACAACAAAAGCGTATAACCTATAATATAATACACTTTATATATCATTGTTATTTGCATACTATCTTATTAGTTATTAGTTATTTAATATACCGGTACATCTACATGTCCTGTCTAATTATATATAACACTTTGGCTTAGTTTTAATACTATTATAATATGTTTAATAATAATTAATAAATATAAATTCAGGTATAATGTTCCTTATTTATAATTGTTGGTTATTTGAAGCGTTCACTGGCTCAAACGTGTTAATTACCTTTAAACAACTAGTTATGTCAAATTTGAACTGAATTGAACGATGAGAACCCGAGCCGAATCGTCTTTGAAATAAGTACATATCATATTGCTCTAATAGTCCTATAACAAATAATATTGATTTATAATTTTATTCGAATTTTGATTGATTATCATCGCATTGGTAGCTAAAATAAAGTGGTACAAATTTTTGTTTAATATCGCGATTTCAATGGAATATATTAGTATAGGTAAGTCACTAAATTACAAAAAATAATTTTCCATAACAACATTTATTTTTTAATTTATGGTTGAAATTCAATAATTCGAATTAATAATTTATATCAGATTCAGGTACTGAAGGCAATCTTAAGAATTGATACATAATTTTTTTGGCTGTAAAAAAATTGACTTATGAAATATTACATTGTTACATACTATACTTCAGAAATAAAGATTTTAGATAAATTTCTAAGAGTATTTTGGCCAGAATATAACTAAATTATAACTGGAATTACTGGACTTTCAGTTTGAACTAAAAAAAACTATAGTTATAAAAAATATATTTCTATATTTTTAACATTTATATACAACCTAATTTTTTCATTGAAATTGCGATTTTATATTAACAAAATTAAATTTTTCTCATTTAATTTAGGTTCCAATGTCCCGAATAATATACAGCCAAATTTCAATTAAAATAACAAATTTAATATTTTTACTACAGAGCTAATATAGCATTATGACATTGAGGGCTCTGCATTTGGCTATTTATTAAAAATCAAATATAAGCAATATTTGACAAAAACTTTAGTATATTGCATATTAATTATGTAACGTTAACTGTTATAAGTTTCTAGGGTATATTTTTTAACGAAAACATTTTTTTTTATAAATTATACAATTTGACAATGAAAAATGTATTAACGGGAAAATATGAGTAGAATGGTCCGATTTTTGGTTATCTTTTTTTTTTTTGTTTGAAAGGGAAAGCTTTTTACAGACCGCATTGAATATTTTTTCTTTTTAAATAACCGAAAACGGCAGACACTTAACGTTAAAAATACAACAAAAGGAAGTAATATCATAACTTAAATACTACGCACAAAAAGTTGGTTTAAAAATTATTATCCAATATTGTAGTCTTCCTTTTTTCCAAAAAAATACAAATATATGTATCGATATTCTACAAAGCATGAGAACTTTTATCCTTCATATCAAAGACCTCATCATTCAATTCAGTTCAAATTTGGCATAGCTAATTTTGACAAGCAATAAAAAAGTTCAATGGGCGAGAACTTAAAAATAATTAAAAATAAGGAATAATGAAACTTTAGTAAACATTATTTATATAAACTTATTTTTTTTTATGACATACTTATCTAACGCTAAGTAGGTAGTACCCTATTATCTTTTCTACTTACTATATTTAATTTACTCTTTTGGTAGTACCTATAGTTGAAGGTGTAATGACTAATGTGTATTATAACAAATTGTAACTTACGATATCCAATGATAAATTTCTGCTACAGGAAGTTCTTTTTTCTCCATTAAGGCTTGATGAATCATTTCTGTATAGGTGTAACCAGGTTTGTTGGCTTTGTCCAACCTTGACGGCGGTAATCTGTATGGTTTCCGATTGATTTTTTGAACAGCTGCAATCAATTTACTACATTTAATGTTGTACAAAATATAAGTAAACAAAATTGCTTCTATTGCTTCGACACAAAGCCGAGACGGTCCTAATTTTACAATGTTTTTTATTGTGCCCAGTTTTTGTGTACTACTTCAAGTCAAGTTAGTTTAAAACAAACTTTGTTGTATTATAAAATAAACTTTTTGAACTAAAGGTAATTTAGTAATAAAAGCTAGAAAAAAACTCATTACGTTAAAATTTATCGGAAAAAGTAACTTCATTATGTCCGTTCTCACCAGTTAAGCTTAAAAAAATAATTATAGTTAAAGAATATTAAAATTATGAACAAACCATTGCTTAAATGTTAAGCCAAACTGGTAAAAACGGCCATTTTTCGTTAACCTGAGATTTGGAATTTGACAACATCTTCAACAGTAGGTATCATCTTATTTTTCCACCTATGCTTTAGACATCAGTCATCACATAACATTTCCCACTTTCAACTCACTATTCTGCCTTTTTAAATACTTTTAATTTTAGTAGTGTATTTTGGTGTAGGACAACTTGCTATAATTTACAGTGAGGCAATTTCGCTTAAATGAGAGGGGTGTGCTTAAGCACTGGAAATATAAAAAAAATCTCCACACTACTTATGGCAGTTATAAAAACAATTTTGGGGGTGCTAATTTAAAAATTAGGGGGTACTAAGCACACCTAAGCTCCCAAAAATAGCACCTAAGATGTATACATTAAAATCACTATGGCCCGAGTAAAACGCAGCTGTGTTTTAAATCACTGTCAAGGATGCTGTGATAGCCCGAAAAATAAACTGACTACCAAAACAGAGTTCTAATTACTGAACTAAAAATTACACATCACAGTTTAAATTTTAAATTAAGGTTTTGTAAAATTGCCTATATCTAACTCTTTAATAAATAGAGGGTATAACGTCCTCTTAGCCGACTTATGTTTGTGGTGGAATTTTTATGTCGGACACAATGTTTTACATTTAAGTTAGGTATCTACATATATCATGGTTCATATTCTGTACTCACGTTTTTGTTCGGGTTTGGCGACTTTTCTTTTTTGTTTTTGCACTTCTTGTTCATGCCAATTATCGCTGTCCGCATTGCCGCAGATTGCTGTCACTGTCGTGTTCGTTTCGAAAATCGACGCCACCTGAAAGTTGACCAACCAACTGAAATCGTCTGGTCTGTTGGCTTGTTGGTCGGGTGGCGATGGCTGCGGCGACCGATAGTTACAGTTTTTGGCCGGGTGTGGCGGTTGCGGGGGCCGCATTATGTGTGTTTCGCGAGGCATTTGTTCCGCCGTGCGTTTCCACAACGGTGGCGGCTGTTGCGGTCGCTGCGCCTCAAACACTAACGGCGTAAACACGTCAGATGGCTCGAATCGAGCTTGCACGGCCGGCGGCGTAGTCGTTATCTGTATTGGCGGCTGCTGTTGCAGCGGAGTAGGCACCCAAGCTGTTGGCTGCCAGTCGACGACCGCTTCCTGCGGGTCCGGTTGTTGTTCATGCTCCAGCTTATACAGGTGCGGCGGTCTTGCGTACGCCAGATACCTTTTGGACAACACCAGCGACGACAGCCCGTCTGAAATCAAATTGGGCGGAGTGACAGTAGAAGACATCGGTGCGCGGCGCGTACGGCGGTCGATGCGAAAATGTAGTAAACGCGCACGGCGGCGGACGCATCCCTCTGGGCCGAGAAACGGTCTGCTGAAGAGGGGGGGCTCATCGGTGGACGGCCAGGGAGTGCGCTTTGGGCGAGTACACCCACGGAAAACGATGAGTGGGCTCGCGCGCGGTAGGTGGGGCGGAGCTTAGTTAATCGTTGACGCCCATACAAAGGGTAAAAAAATAAAAGCCCAAAGATATTAATCGTCACGCGAATAGATTTCTCACGCCAATCCGTGTACAAGACATACACATAACACAGTCAAAGGGCACGTGAGATTTCCTAAACGTTTTGCTGTTCGCTTTCGAATCTGCGAACCGTAGGTAAATTGTAATTTATAATATTTTACGCGGTTTGTATAACCGTATTCGACTATTATTAATAAGAGACACGAGTCGGTGCTTCACTCACGCGTACCTACAAGTAGATAAATCGTGTTACAACTCTTAGCCATTAAAAAGTTTTACTTAGATTACTAAATTACTTGAGTTGAAACTTGAAAATGGTTTAATCACTTTAAAACGCTTCGATGCGAATTAATGGACAGTATAAGAATTATTGTCTATATGAATCCATTATCCAACACAGTGAAAAGTTCCTGTTGAAACAATTTAGGTACGCAGATTGTAAGTGTTTTTTTAGGAAAAATAAAATCCTATCGAATAATGGATACGTATGTACATATTTTGTCCGTGTATTACATGCATTACGCCTCCGAGTAAGCAGAACAGTAATAAGAAGAGTTACAAAAAGTTACACTTACACAACATAATTTTTATCAAACATAGGTTACCTATTAATTAATTGATATAAGTGATTTTCGTTTGCCTTTAGGCTTTACTTGCCTATGCCGTTATAATACATCGTTTGTTTAATTGGTTAAAGAGATAAAAATATTTAAAATTTTACTCGTGAGGATTTATTCAATTTGTTACGTGCAGTAGGCACATTAAATCATCAAAACGGTTGAATATCAAAACTTTTTAATAAAAAACATATCGTTTTAGTTTTCATAACACACCTTACACACCCCACGCCCAACCACTAACTGTTTTTTAAATTTTCCTAACTCTGAAAGAAAATTAGGGATAAATAAAAAAATGTATATCATTTTCATAATCAGTGGCTCTAAAAACATACAAGTCAATATGGAAAATATTTGATTTTATAAAATTGAAAAAATGTAAGCTTCTAATTTAGGATAAGCCATAAGGGGTGAATTTTAAAATTGGTACCAAATTTGGATTTAGTGACTTAAAAAAGTCATATCATTTGTATTGTGACTCGTGGATTTCCAACTTAATATGTAAATGGTATTAATAAGTCATTACTTATTACAGACTACCTACTATGCGTCGTCGCCAGGCGTTAGCTGTCATCAATATTCGTATTCCTTTTGATTCGATTTGGGTTTTTGGATTTTGGGTTTCAGGCTATTCAGTCAGGCCGAATGTTTTGCTGAAATTCCCTGACTCACTTTGGTTCATATTCGAAATATTTGCCACAGTTACCATCAGACGATAAGGTTTTATCCAGTCCTTTGGTTTGTGGATTTTTAAAACAATTTATGAACCTACTAAATAGTGTTAATACTATTTTTTTTTTTTTGTAGACATATTAGCAAGTAGAACTCAAAAATATATTGACGCGTTACAAGGTATTTTAAACGACTCGTTAGACCCTGAAGTTAGAGTCAAGTTAAACTAAATTCAAATCAAATATATTGTGTTTGTGAAACCCATGTACAAGTTTATCGTTATCAAAAGTCACAACGTCGTTTACGTGTATGAGATGTGACACGGCGTACAGTCGACCGAGGGAGATCAAGACAAATCGTTTTAGTGCTATTCAATGGATCGATTGAAGGTATTCAATGTACTTCGTCAGAATTGCACTACACAGGAGGCCCTAAAGATAGGGGGGAGGATAACGAAGCAAAGAATGTTTTTTTCTGAAACTATTGGAAGATTTACGAGTGGTATTTTTGAATTTGTAGATAAAATTTCGGAAAAAGACAGCAAGACTTAGTCACGTGTCTACGGTTGTAGCTCTAACTACAATCTAATAGTTTTTTAAAGTTTCACTAATACCTAATTTTAAACTAGTTAGTTTTTTCAATCAGTTTTTTAATAGAAAATAATACATGTCAATAAAATATAATAACTAGTTAGAATAAAGATATGTCACATTTATTATGCTAGAGTTTAATGAGATATATTCAATATTTAAATTTTGAGTTTATATAAAAAAAACATGATTATTAATTGTTGACACTTGACAATATGGATTGATTTTAATTCCAAAAGCACAGACTAATACAACAGACATTTATGGTGTACAGGGCGCGGCGTGAGTGCATTTTGAATGATGTTAAAGAAAAATTATAATGGCTACATCATCCCAACAAAATCAAGATTTAAAAACTAATATTTGGCATCAAGTAATTACGAAATGAGATATTAAATCGTTTTTATAAAGGCATAATAATAAACTTAAGTGTTTGTTGAATATTATAAGATTATAATTAACTTATAAAACAATATATTACAGTTATTAAGATAATAAATTTGATCACAGAACTGAAAAAGCTATAGATAATCGTTGCACGCCTGCTGATATACAACATAGAATATACATGGTATAAGTAAAGTAAATAGTTCTAATTTTACTATGGAAAATTTACAATTGTCAATATCACATAATTGTATAAAACTAAACGTTACCATTATTAGGAAAGTAAACAAATAAACATTATTTGTGCAGTTAAATGTTTTTCAAAAATGAAATAAAACAAATGTTGCTTACAAATTAAATATTTGTTATTATTAATCAATAATATTGTATATTATAATATTCATTTACGAAGAATATTGTGCACTTAAATTATTAGTATTATAATAATAGGGAATGGTAAACATTTAAAAGTTGAACACACTAATCATAAATAAAATATCTTTTAAATTACTTTGTTTATACAAGTTAGGAATTTTTTTCTTAGCAAAAAAAATACTTAGGTCTTAACATATACTCCAGTCACTTTAAGAAGATACCTCGTCGATGTAAAGTGACCGGAGTGTAGTAATAGGATTTATCTATCATTATTTAGACTAATCGTCTTCAAATTAGCAATTTGATAAACAAGTTATTAATTTAAAACTAAGAAGACTCCGTCGATGATCTTGAAATAATTTTACAACATCCATGACAAACTGGAACTGGGTCCTGACTAAGATGACCTGGCAATCGAACATTCATGTCAATACATCGAGTACAAAAAACATTGCCACATTTCCAACAATGGTACTAAAACAAAAAATAAATTATCATAAAATATTATAATAATAAAAAAATGTCTATATAAAGTACAATTTTAAATCTTGAAGTTTAGGTAAATAAAAATAAATTTATTAATAGTAAGGTTAACTAACAGAATGCTGATAGACCTTATATATTTTGCCCAGAGCCAGTGATAGGTCTATTGGAGCAAGCTCTGAAGGTACAAAGAACTAGAACAGGGAAGAACATAGGAAAATATTGGGGTACCTATTATCCATTCCAAAAGAGAACATATTGGTTTGGCACATCACAACTGACGGCGGTGGCTGCTGAAAGGTAAATTTCTCTCACTCTTGTTGAAATGTGGCGCCATTAGTACACGACGGTCGCCGTTCGAGCTACGAATCTAACCAAAGCCATTACGGTGGGAGGGCTAGGCGGGAAATGTACGCTGCTGAACGTTAACCGGTCGCCACCTGGTATGTTCTCTTTTGGAATGATAATAGACAATTAAAGGTTTTCAAGCATCCTGCTATATTACCAAAAGATCTTAAAAATATGAATAGGAATCAAATGAATATGTTTGTTTGACTATTAACAGACTACGAAAACATTTACTCAAGCCCTACTATGGAGATAACAGAATCACCAATATGTAGGCGAACAGAAGAGGATGAAACTTCACCGTATCTTGTATGATTGTGACTCTCTAGCTATCCAAGCAATTCACCTTTAGCAAACATTTTCTTGGAAAGGATTAAATCAAAGATATTGGAACAAAGAATGTCAGTGTTACTTTTCACAGAGCTATTAGATTTAATAAAACATAGACGAGATAAGATTATGTGAAATAAGACTTGGATGAGAGGGTATGCACAATAGACCTACTGGTCTGAGTGCATGGACGCTTCCGGGGCAGATCTTTTAAGAATCTAAAACTAACAATAATAGCATTTCTAATTTTGAGTTATTGATATTTGAGTAATAAGAGTCTCCTCTATACATGAAAACAATTAAAAAAATAATTACTTTTTTTGTAGATGAATCAAAGCGAGTGGAGCATTCGCACGCTACAGTTTCTCTTAAGCTTTTCCACTCAATAGCTACCTTATGTGCTTCATCTAACTTAGGTTCTACAACTGTCAAATTGTCAAATGTATCATTCATCGATTGTATGACATTGTCTTCTTTATTGTAGCTCATGGGTTCGAGGCATGTTTCTTTTGTAAATAGGCTATTGCGAACCATGTCTGCGCCATCGGTTATTTTACGTTTAAAATAAGACAATCTTTTTTGTAGGAACTTGACATGATCATCAAGTGATTTGGTTTGTTCACTAGTAGCTAGTAAAATGTCATATACATGCTCACGAGGATGAACTCCATTTTCAAATCGGCAATACATGCCTCGCCAAAAACGGATATTTTGAGGAGATAAGTCTGGATACATAGTGCCTGGATGTGTACTATACAACGGGTTTATAAATTCTTTTTTGTGCTCTTCGACATAGCCCCAGAATGAAAAGGTACGATCCTTGAGTCTTTAAAATGAATATGAATTAATAAATATAAGTTTCTTGTTTATTCAAAATTACCTTAAATCATCACGCTCTTTTTCACAATTTCCAATAAAGGTTCCATACTGACAAGAAGTTACGTGATCGTGCAGAACCAACAAAAATCTTTCATTAAATTCAAATGATGTTTGTTGAATCATTGTTAGTTGCCACGTTGCTTCCACAAATTGTGTGAATACAGGAGACACTTCTTTAGGATCACCAGCAATGTGGCCACATCGATCAGTAAATTTATGACCAAATGACAGCCAATCTTTTTCAATTAGAGCCTAAAACAATATTTTAATATTAATTGTACTTGTAAATATATATATATATATATTTTTTTTTTTCGTACTTGAAATCCTTTAAGTGTACGATAATATGGGTCCAACATAAGCGAAGCAAGAGAACAAACTTGAGCAGTTCTGTCCCAACCGTCAGAGCAATGCACAACAACCGATTTTCCACCATCAACAGCTTGACAGATAAATGCTGAAGTATCAAGAATAGTTTTTATATGACGTAACCAGCCACTACTGTCTAGTCCACCAATAAACTGAGACATAGATAGATTACGTTGCTCGCATACTAAATTAAGATAAATTACAACTAACAATTACCATTTGTTACAAGGACCAAAATAAAAAATTGTATTTTACTTACAGTCAACAACTTTAGACAAACTATTTCTCATTACATGGATGTTCTCAATACCAAGAAAATTAAATTTAATGTTATCATAAAAATTCTCGTTTTCATAACCTTTTCCTGTTGCTCGGTTTGCCATAGCATTTATCTGTAAAAATAATAAATATTAATTTTTAAAAGTTATACCTAAACAACTATTCATAACCTAATTTATATGTCTTAAATTCTAAATAACAGGTTTCATATGTATTCATAGGGTTATACATTTGAATATTACACTTAATCAAGAAATATTAAAACTGTTGCATCAATTTCTTTATATTTCAAAACATATTTAAGGTTTCTGTTTTTAAATTAAACCAAAGCCAAAAATAATTCTACTAATTAACAAACAAAATTAATTACCTTCGGCCTAGTATCAACAACATACATATATTCGCTTCCTGGGTTTGTATATAGTATACAAGTCAGGAGTTGTTCATCTTCCATGCATCGAGCGTTAAAACCAGACAATGGTTGCGCACACCGACATATTGCAGCCTAGGAATAAATACTCATTTTAATGATATCATAAAACATCTTACTTCATACGTACCTTATTGTGATGCAGATATGTGAGTACAGGTAATCTCTCTTTGCTTCTAAATTTAGAACTACCAATCAAAATAGATGTACTCACAGATGATGGTACAAAGAGGAACTTTGGATAAGTATCACACAGCTAAAATATAATATGTATTGATAAATACTAAGAAAATTGTATTATACACAATTATCAGACTATTACTTCTAACTACTAACCTGGTATTCTTGATTTAATGTTGTTAAACTCCAAGCTTCATTTGGCACATTCATTCGTTCATACTCTTTTTCCAAATTAAAACTATCCCAACCAGCGCTTTTTGATATTTTATCAGAATTGGATTTGTACAAAAAACAATAGAGGTCTTCAATTTTTGCTAAAATACAAAACCATTATAGTCATATGCAATTAAAAAAAAGATCACAATATAAATACAAACCAGGTTGACACATAACAAGTAATGATGTAAATATGTTGTGTGAATCTCTTTCTTTTGGTATTAAAAATGTAACTGACAAGAATGTCTTACATCGAATGAGTATAGGACTACCTGTAGTCGTAAGTGGAAGTTTTTCCACATTACCAATGTGCATTAATAATACCCAAGATTCTTTTTTGTTTTCCGGATCAAAAAATATTAAATGAGTTGCTGTTAAATATAATGTTCCAATAGATGTTTTTTTAGAGTTGTATCGATCTAACATTCGCACATTTTCAATCTGAAATTTAATTAAAAATAATTTTAGGAAGCAGTTAAATTTATACCATAAAAAAAAAATTCAATTTTCTATAAATAAAAAATAAGCGCAATTATGTTAATAGCATGTAGCATTAACTATAAGTTACGTGAATTAAATTTATAGATTAAATATGTACTTAAAAAAATATTTATATTTTTATACAACTAAACTAAAATAAAGTTATTTATTTAGAAATCTCTAAAAGTTTGCATTAAGGTTATTATAAATTATAATGTTAAACACAATGCGAGAAGAGGTTAAGTGATAATGTTATATTGTGAGTTGGAATGTATTGTTTTTACTAAGAAGTTTTGCTTATATAATTAATCTAAAAGGTACATGTAATAGGTTACTATAATACTTGTAACAAGAGCAGGAAAATATAAAGAATTTGTACAATATTAACAAGAGTTTTATAAAATACAACATACACTACTTGGGAAGAAAATTACTTCCATAGTAATTGAGCATACTTATTAGGTATTGTTTAAAAATAATTATAAGATATTTAATTAAATAGTTCGTAAGAAACTCTACATGTGCATGTTCAGTTCCAATATAGTAAACAGCTTAAAAAAAAATTGTAGTTTAGTTTTTTACTTTAGATTGTATTTTGAACCTTTGGGTCATTTTACAAAATAGTTTTGATGTTTAAGGTTTTCACTAAAACTATTTATATAAATTCCCAACTTATTGTGTAATATCAAGATGCATAAGACATCCTGCCTTAGTACAACACTCTACCCATTGTTTATTAAGTACTTGAAAGTAGGAAATAGAATATTTGTTTTTAGTTTTAATGTGAAATACTATATAAATTATTGAATAATTACTAATTTACTTTTTATTTTTAATGAACAACACATCCAACATTTTTCTATTTAGTCTTTATTCTGTAATAATATATTCATAATATAAATGTACAATTAAAAACCTAAGTGTGATTCAGTGCTCTTAAATACACTACACTTTAAAGAAACTAGGTTTTAATCAAATATTACCCTATATTTATTTATGTATTATTTACTTATAGGCTACTTAATTTTTCTAGAAAGCTTTGTTTGCAGATATTATTTATATTACACATACACAGTTAATATATTCGTATAAATAAGTAATAATTTTATTAAAATATATTTTATAATCAATACAAAACCATAATGCTAAAATTTTAAAATTCGTAAAGTTTAAAAATTATCTTTTACTATGTTAGTATATGTATTAGTGACTGGCTTGAGTTATAGAAAGGTAAATTTAACTTTTACCTATTTACCAGTCACCCACCCACTTTCAAATGTAGGTATGTAAAAATCTCAGAGACAATCATTATAGAAATGGTCATTCCTCATACCTCTAGGTATAATAAAAAGATAGCAAAAATGGTTCATTAAAAACATAATAAATAATGAGTGGATATAACTTCCATTCATTAATTTATTAAGATATTTTTTCTGGCATTTTGAAAAGTTATTTTTTTCGTGACTGTAAATAGGCATATACTAAATGTAATAAATAAGATTTAGTATCAATAATGTAATATGAATTAATCTTTAATATATAAAAAAAATGATCTTATGGTAATTCTGTACTATAGACAGGAGGTATACACTTCACTTATTTTTTTTTTAAGTTGTGATTTTTGGTTTATTAATAAAATTTATCATTTGTTTGTAATAATTTATTTTTATCTTAAAGGTAATAAAATAACAGTTGTAAATGTTTTAACGAGTTTATTAACTTCAAAATATAGCTGGCAAACTGTTTTACTCCAGCAATATTACAAAATAAACGTTTTATCATTTTAACGTATCATTTTAATGGAATAGTCACGATGTACCTTTTTAATGACCGAACCGTCCTGTTGCTGTTGCCTGGCCACTCTGGCCATGGCAGCCTCACGCTGAAGCCACGACCTGAATCGGCAAAACAGCGAGTACGATCCGGGTGCTGATGACAAACGGTATAGACGGAAGCCAGCTGGCAATACGAACCTGTCGTTCTCAGCCATACAATTGTGTGTGTTACGGTTTTAATTACACAACTCACTGCGTGTCCTACAAAAGCATGCACACAACCATGGGTTAAGTCTACTATGGTAACTACAAGAAATCAAACAACTTGCAGTAGGTACCTAATTTTGGGAGAAAAAGATTTACTACAAGGGACAGCATTAAAAATGATTCTATTAATCTAGCACACATGCATAGTATGTGTTAACCTCGACCACAAGCACCCCACATTATATCCACCACACATATTTAAATTTTTAATAGTAATATAGTACACAATATGTTATTATAAATATGAATTTTGTGTACTCAAAGGTACAAGGAATTATAAGTTACTTTTGGAGTTTTTATATGTTCCATCTTGATACTTCAAGGCACATTGAGTAAATTGATAAAACGACTAGTAAACGTGTAACTTTTAATAATAATGAAGAAAATTAACTAAAATAATTAACATTTTAAAAAATATGACTCAATATTAAGTAATTTTAGCTGTCCGTGTATCTAAATGAGGTAACTAGGCAATCACAATTTGTTTTAATTTCGGACAGACGCTGTATTTGGCTGACAGCCTGCGACCATTTCACAGTTCACTTATCAAAATGTTATTATCACAAAAATAATTTTTATTACTTTCAACAACGATACAATGTTGTTGATAAAACACTATCATAAACATTACGAAAACAGATAACATCAGTCATCAGCTGGACTAACAATTTTCAATATTTTTCTATGTAAGCAAACAAACGTAACGAACAACCCGAATCGAGAATCTTCGAAATAACATTTAATATAAATTTAGCCTCTTATTTTTAGCTTATGATCAAATATGTTCATAATTAATGGATTTAAAATACACGCACAAGTCCATGTACCTATTAAACATTTTTAATTTGCCCAACATTTTAAGTTTCCGAAACAATAGTAATAATTGAGGGTAGTAATATAAAAAAAGAAACAAAATTCGTTTATTTTAAAATCATTAATAATTACTAATCAATATTAATAACATTTACTCATATTCTCTACTTTTTTAAAAAGTATTATTAAATATAATATGAAATTATCAGGATATAATTACAATATAATAATATTGTAATAAGAATTGTGGACAAAAAAACCATTTGAGAATTAAAAAGTGTAGGTAGACTCAAATAAACCATTATAAAACTAAAGCCAACGTAGAACTCTTATGAAATTTAAGGATTCCGTCCCTAAATACAGCATTGAACATAGCTATATACTATGTTGTTAACATTCACATTAAACAAAATGATAATAAAATATTAATTATATTTTAATGGTAGTAGTAAAAGGAATTATTATGAATACGTGTAATAGAATACCAAAAATATTTGAAGTCCTATACTTCATTATAATAGTCATATTGTTAAAAATATGAAGATTAAACAAAGATTACAAAAATTAATTTCCAAATTTTCAAATATTGTTTTACACTATATAAAACAAATACGTACTAAAACATCCTTACTAACATAGAATATAGATAATAATAAAAATAACAAAAAAATGATTTATATCTAATAAAAATATTTTAATATTTAATCTTTAATAGTTTTTAACAGACATTTACATTTTACATAAAGATCTCATAAACATTCATAAAAAGTTGTTCAATAATGTGTAAAATAAAAAAAATATAATTGCTTCATAATATTTAACCATAAATTAAATTGTATATGTTCTCAATCAACAATTTTTCTCAAAAAAATAAGTAAAATTAAAAATCATAAATTTTATTTACTGTAAATACAATAATTGTAATTATACAATATCAAGTTGTTAAAAAAGAAATTGAACAAAATACCTAATCATAATTAGTCACTAAGCTTTTATATAAAAGCTTAAAAATGTATACAATAATAATAGTTTCAAAATTATGTTTAGTATTTTGATTCTTTTGTTAAGCAAAACAAAAAAAGAACAAAAAAGTTGAGGATACACGGTCTTGTGTTAACTTTTTGATTTATAGTTCTAATTCACAACTACTATAATTGTTTTGAATAATAGAGGTATTGGTATAAACTATGGTAAAAAAGAAAGAAATATACAATGAAATAAAAACGTTAAGTTTAACATTTGACACTTTTTCTATGGCTGCGAGTTACTACACCTGCTGACCACGATCTAGACACAGTGCCATTAAGTCTTCTACAGCTTTTCTTCTTTTGTGACCGTAATGTTCTTTTTATTGGTTCTGTTAATGGGGTTTTAATTTTAGGCACTGAAGATATTTTAGATGGAGTAGATACATTTTTTGGACTAGGACACTTCCAGACCTTTGGTACTCTTCCCGAGCTTCTCAAAACTACACCTACTTTTGTTTCTTCAGGCTTAATAGGTTTTGTAGGTGATACTAACCACGCTTCACGAGGTATCTGTTGATTTTCAGAATCACTATTTTGAAGTTTGACAGTCTCTTCACTGGTCGATTCATCATCCAACTTTTGTTTTTTCACAACGTTTCCACTGCTTGCACGAGTATTTCTTTTTTGAGATGATGAACTACTTCTTTTACTGGAAATATTTTTGTCGTCATTGTTATTATTATTGTTATTGTTGTTAAGTTTTGCCGAAGTTCTGAGAACTTTATTAGACTTCACGACTGGTGTTAAAGCTGGAGGTGGACTGGGATATCTAAAAAGTATGTAAAGCAACATTAATGAAAAATGAAAAACTTCAATAAATTACATTATTAATAAAATGAGTAATACTAACGTTTTTGATGTACTAGCTGGAATATGGGGGGATTTAATTGTTTGATCGGTGGGATACCTAGTGAAAATAGCGTAACCACCACTTGAACCTTTGCCAAATCTTTGGACTTGCGGATCTCCATCGACACACTTACAGTCATTCTTCTCTTCACATTTCATGTTACCAGTTTGCATTTTGTGTTTTAGTAAAACGTGTGGAGCAGGTGGCCCGGGTGGATCTAACATTAATGTTATGACTGTAGTGTTATCAGCTCTCAACCTGACTTTATTCCATTGTAATATTGCCTTGTCTACAAGGTTTTTGGATGGATTTAACCAATCTTGCTTCTAAAGTAGGATAAAAAGTATACAGTTATATTGTAATTTTAAAAACCATGATTTAGTGTTAAATTAAATAAAGGTATCTTATGATACTCATTAATAATAATATAAACAAATAATTAGAAAAAAAATATCTACTTACTTCCATAGATTTCATTTCAATATTATGCTTTTCAGTTGCATGAACATTTGTTACAGCCACATCAGGTGAAAGAACATTCCATAGGCCATCAGTACCAAACACTAAACATCTATGTTTCAGTGGATCAACATTAAAAACATCAACATCAGGTTCGGGAGACACAACAAATGTATCATGTTCTGAATTGTAACTCCAAAAGTCTCCAAGAGCTCGAGCGACAGCTAGGAATGGAATTTCATCGATTGTTGTTGAACGTCGTACTGGACCTTTATGACCAATACGAGGTCTATTCCAAACAACACGAGGAACTCCGGATTTATTAATAACTTTGCCTCCACTTTTTTCTATTCTAATTTTTTCTTCAAACGATTCTGGCTTGTGATCACGTGTTAATGGTTTTGCTTTCCAACCGCCATTTTCTAAAATTAAATATTGAACACAAGTCATTATATAATTTGATAAATACAATCATATAATGTTATGAATTCTTCATACGTGATCAACTAGTAAATTTTATATACATTTTAATATATATATATATAAAGTAGTTCTTGTTCAAACAGTGAAATAATTAATTTAGTAGTACCTAAACCTTATTTAAATACTAATACTGGCAAACAAAATTGAAAACAATTCTTTTACAATATTTACCTTCGTCTTGATATCCGAGTACAATGCAACTGTCCCCAACGTGACCAGTATAAATTTTTCCTCTCATAATAAAGGCAATGCTTGCAGTGGTACCAGATGTATTCGGCAGACCAGACGGAGTTCTAGGCCAGTTTTCTATAGAATAGGTATACAATTATTCAAGTTTTAAAGAATAGGTAATTTTGCAAACAACATACCCAAGTTCTTCCACATATCGATATGTGTAGCAATGTAACCATTCCGAATAGCTCTAAGTACATCTTTATCATCGTCTGACCAGAATGCATCATCCTTAATGATAGTGTCAAGTAAATGGTCTTTAGCATATGCCGCTGCTTCTGAGCCACCGTGCCCATCAAATATGCCAAAAAACGCGTACTCCAAGTCTTTCATGTCTGGGGTTTGCTGGTACGCCACCGAGAACATGTCTTCCATGTACTTTCTGCCACCCTGATTACAATAACCAGTTACACGCAAATTAACACCAATGCCTGGCATATTGAATGCGTTCGTTCAAATTATTGCAAAAGGCGCCGACTAAATGAACATTTGAGACCGCCAGACAGAAAAACGCGGGTCACTAGGCTGAACTGGATCGATTCGTTTTGTCACGTTACAAATCAAAATATCTCGAAGAGACCCACTTTCTGCGTTGTTAACAGCAAAACGAAAGGCGCACAGTGACGCCAATAACGGTGTAGTCGAAAAAACCCCGAACTCCTGAATCGGAGATTAACGGACACCTCGGCTCGTTTTTTATATCGACTTAAACGCGGCACATCAAATGACACTAAAAACAATGGTAACGACTAACGAGTAAAGCGACAGGCGATAGCTAATTCGGACAAGCCAAACACGGGAAAAATAAGTTTACAAGTGTGTTGGTCGTGATAGAAATGATAGAATGTAGATCGCGTTTAATAACGAATTTTGTTTTTGAAGTGTATTACCATTCACTTGGTAAATAACGTAATCACGAATTTCCCTTGTGCCGTCAGCCTGAAAGGCTGTTGGCAACACCGTACGTTGGGGCGATCGCGGATCGTGCAAAGAATGGATTTTCGTGTTCGTCTATATTGTGTGGTGCTGTGGCCTGTGCCAGTGTCCCCCGCCGGGCGGCCTCCTTCTTCTATAGCGGTGACGGTGGCGGCTGCGGTGGTCGACCCGTGTATACAATCACGGTGTGTGTAATTTGTACATGTTTGGGAAAAAAATAACACATATATTATATTATTATCCCGGATACGTGATAACGTTCGCGGCCCGACCATCGTCTGTCTCTCATTTGTTGTTGTTTTCGTACGGCAATTAGTGCAATTTTTTAAATTTCCGTTAGTTTTAATTATTACAGTTTGTTATGTTTAAAGCGATTAAGTTTGTTCATGTATTGTTTACATTATATTATTGTGATAAGATTTACGTTAACTAGATTAAAAGAGGATTCACGTAAAACTCACTTCGCATTGCAGTAGCATTAGAGTAAGTCATCATTATATTTTTATTATTACCGAGCTCTTTCTTTATCGAGTCTGTTATAATAAATATTGAGCTATTTGACGTTTAATTTTTTTTTTCAATGCTTTCGATTGCGCAACGCGCAAGACCCGATGAGTTTTTTTTATAATAACCGACGTAGCATAATTAATAATGTCCGATCAGGTAACAAGACATTTAGTATCTTTGCGTGTAATTTACGTCATAAATCATAATCGTTAACAATTTTTTAAAACTATTTGTAAAGTAACATTCACATGGGGGTTAGTACGTAGCGCTTTATCACGAGTTCAGCTGTAAGTTCGCGTGAATTTATATTGAAATAGTTTGGTTTTTGAGGATTTTTAATAAATGTTAAGATAATATATTTTGGTTAAATAAACAGTTTTTAACAACAATTATTACCTCAAAATTGTCTACTGTTTCACTTATTTTCGATAGGTCTTATAAGTATAATATACATTAACTTTTTTGACGTGGTAGATATCAAACATAATAAACCATTTTTATGTATTTACCTACAGTTATAACCAACAAAGAAGTATTTTTAGCATCATTCATTCGCTTCCCACACATTTATGCGACCGTGTAAATAATGATTATTTTACCACAACATTTTTTACGGGCATTAGGTTTGTATTATAGGGATATACTTGTAAAATATTGAAATTATTATATTTGTTTATTTTAGAAAAATAGGTTAGTGGAATTATAAAGTGTTTTCGTAAATATAATAGAACCTGAAACATTTTACATTTCTATGTATTCACATTACTACGTTTTGTTAGGCATTATACTAAAATATCTATGATACAAATAATAATTGATAATGTTCGACAATGTTCGTGAAAAAGTATGAGTATAAAAGTAATTTTAAAGGTAATTACGCATTGCTTAGTTTTTAAACTACTAATAAAAAAATAAAATATTGATTGAAAAACCAACTTGCTAAAAATACATTTTAAATATTTTATTTCGCGATTTTATATTTATACTCAAAGCATAGATTAAACATAAATAGATAAACCACGTCATAGACGCTTTTGGCAACCCGTTTTTGGAAGCAAACTTATATTAACCATGTATTCGTTGCGTCCATTTCCTTATCATAACAGTTACCGTATTCATTATCCACGTGGACTATTTATGTATATAATTTAATAAATTTGGAATGTATGTCAAAATAATGCTTTCATTTTTTGTGTGTATTTTTGGTCTGTACAATGCAAACATAATAACGGCTTTGGCTTTCTAGTATCACCAGTATTAATGTAAAAATTTAAATAAAATGCATCATAAATGTTCACTAACATGTGAACATTTTTAAAAATGGTTATGGGCGGGTTTTTAAAAAAATGTAGGTATTTACTCATCTGTTAAATTTATTAGTGTATTGCTTTTTTGTACGCGCCTTTACATATTTAATTACATGTAACATGCATGTTTGCTTAATTTGTTTGTTTTATTTTAATTGCGTATTGATGTGGTATAATATATTATTACACTAACATTATTATATTAACAGCATGCACAATATTTTGTTTAATCAGCGATAACATGGTGCTAAAACAAATTAATAGTTGTTGGTATTTGTAATTATGCAATTTACGTACGTCATACTATCAAAAACCAAATCAATGAATATTGTCATTAATTGTATTGATAGAAGTATATTATTGTTCCGGGCGTAATGAAATTAACGTACGAATTGTGTCTACTCCACGACCTTGCCCTATGTAGTTGAGCTGTATAACGAATAAATGGCTGGTATATGCTAATCCTTATTTCTCAGTGTCGCTATTTACTCAACATTCCAAGAGTCAAGTATTATAGTTAACAAAACGTTTTATGAAATAGCGCTTTTTATTAATTTTTTTTTTCTTCAAGCGCCATTTAGGCGCTTTGCAGCTTCTACCATAGCTCTCCAAACTTCCCGATCCTCTGCATCCTCAATACTTGCTCCATTACGTAATCTCTTCAGGTCGTCCTTTATTCGGTCCAACCACCGTTGTCTTGGCTTTCCCACAGGTCGTTTTTTATTTGGTTTGTTGATGAGTACCTGTCTTATCAGTCCACCCTCTGCACGCCATACATGACCAGCCCACTCAAACTTTTTCGACCTCAGAAAATCTTTTAAATTAGTTGCATTAAACAGACTGTTAAGTCAGCGTTTTTTCTTCGCTCGTATACACCAGTGTTGAGGTTTAATATAGGCCCATATATTTTTATAAATATTCTCCTTTCGTAAGTCAATAGGTTATTCTCGTCACCTTGCGTCGTGGACCATGTCTCACATCCGTACATGACAATGGGACGTAAGTAGGCAATGTTTAGTTTTTTCTTTTTGTCTCTAGACAGTAGTTTCGATGTGAACATTTTTCTCATTGCATGGTATCCTCGGTTTGCTGCACTTATTCTGGACTTAATCTCGTTATGCATATTATTTTTATGACTTATATTAGCATCTAAGTACTTAAAATTCTCGACTTGTTCATAAGAGAAATGATCAATGCTCACATGTTGTAACGGAGTAGGTTGTCTACTCATTAGCATATACTTAGTCTTATTTTCATTTATTGAAAATAAACACTTTTTATTAATTAAACTTTAAAATTGTTGTCATTATGTTGTTTAAATAAAAACAATTTTTTTTATTATTTAAAAAATGTTAAATAATGGATTATAATTATTTTGCATTTGGCATGGATATAAATTAGATTTTCTGACAGTTTTCATTATTGAATGTGCCTTAGCGTATAGATATGACTTAATATTTTGAATATGATAATGTTTTATTATAGCATCTTAATTCAATTTTTAATTTTTAGCATCTAATTACGTATTCATTTTTGAAACGTTTACTAATTATTTATTATCATTTAATTTAATATTGGATTTCAACGCACCTTTATAGTACGAATTGTCAGCTCTTATTAGGGATAAGATACAAGTAAACACAATCCTCTATAAAACATTTTTCACTGTAACTGGTCATATTATTGACTTGACAAAAAATATATTAAAACGTATGTTTTAGCATCGACGCGGAACTGAAAATGTATTGTTTTTACAATGTTGACGTGTTTTTATTTATTTGTTTATTTTTTGTTTGGACCATTCTATTAATTGGTCTAAAGATTACAAATCGTATCTGAAAGGTACTTTATTGGCCCAACATTTAAAAAGTTCACCCCTTTAAAATTGTTTTTGAAACTTTGGAATATTTATTTGTCAACTTATTATTTTATGGAAAATAATCTTTATACTTATATAAACTATAATATTAGAAAAATACATGTAAAAAATATAACATGTCTTAATATCCTTTTCAGAATAGTTGATAGAAAGAACAGCATTGTTTTAGAGTAGTAACCAGATATCTTCTTGAGTAGTTTCCTGTAGAATAAAAACGTAATAGATAAAAATGACATCTACTGTACTTACGTGTTTTATTACAAGTAATGGCGCAACCGCCTACCGGGTTTAATTTCGGGAGACTTTAAGACGTTCAAACAGTTCCCTTATCTTTTATTTATTTAACAAAAAATACTATTTTTAAAATAACTCATTTTGCTTATGCCTCTGATTATTATTTTTACTAGTTAAAGATGCGTTATTTAATGGTATTTTAAAGTTAAAAAACAATTTTTTTTTTACAGAATTTAAAGAAGAAATTATGAGTTTTCGTATTGTTCAAAAATTACCACTACTCTTGCCAGAGCATCAGTTCATTGCCTTCGTTGAATGACATCTTAGCTATACAGGTATGAATTGTTGTTTACGTATAGAGAAAACAATAACACAATTTCAAATGATGTTGAAGATGAATTACTATTACACCTATTTCTATTCTCTAACCTTCTAAAGAAGACGCGCGGCGTCCGTTTGTTAAACGTGATTAATGTTAGAAGCCTAATATCAGATGTAATATTTCTTTGATCTTGTACTGTTTGCTAAGTATCATAATAATACTTAAATCACAAATAATAAGCTTACTTTGTACACACGATTTACTATTATAAACTTTAAATCAGTTATTATTAAAATATTTTTTTTTATCTACAAGAAGTGACGGAGGTCATTTGTATTTTTTCATTTGTTTATTTTTATAAATGGTGTGCCATGTAACATTGAACATTTTCCATGGAAACAACAATTCAAGCGACTCTCTGTATATTCTTGGCCAATCTTGATTCCTTTACGTTATAAACTTTTTTTATTTATGGTCAACGTATTATGTATAACTGTGTTTCAAAATAAATGATTAATAAATGTATTTAATTTCAGGACTAGTTTACCAAAACCACTTTCACAATGTTTAACTTTATGAAGAAAAATACGGGATCACACAACAACGGTGTGAACAATGGCAGTAGTTCTGGATATGGATCTCAGGGTTCATCTAATAACCAAATCGAAGAGAAAGAGCAACGAAAAAAAATGAAAAAAATGCGAAAAGAAAAAGAAAAAAAGGAAAAAGGGAGCTTTAGTATGTCATCAGATGATTTATTAAGACTAGATGAGGTAATAGTTTTTTTGTGACAAAAAAGTATTATGTATTACATATTTTAAATATTATTTATTTTTAGGTGAGAAAATCATTAAAGTTACGCAGTCGACGCAAAGAAAAAGAAAAACTCCCAAGTGGAATAACTGCAGATTATAGTGCCAACTTTTTTGCTCCGTTGAATCGTGATGAGACTGATGACTCTACCAATACACCTCCCCTACCACCCCGTCGTGGAATTTTAAAACCACCTCCTATTTTGGAACATGGTCTAATACAGGATCTAGATTCAGATTCCTTGCTACAAACTAACACTTTAAAAAATGAACTAATAGTTTATGAAAATGTGCCTAGGGTGTCTAGTATTGATAGCCTTACAGATTCAACAACTAATAGCAGTTTTGCTACTCCATTTAACCTTAGTCCTTCTGGAAATGAATATTTAACAGATGAGTTTGATGAAAACTTAAAACTACCTTGTGTACCAATGATAAAAATTGAGCCTCGCACATTAACCATTAAAAGACGGGCTGGTCCAGGCAGTGATTTCGGTTTTTCATTACGACGAGGACTTGTGTCTGAAAATACATCAAAAAACCTGAAACCTGTAATTTTTGCTGAACCAGGTCAAGACAAATCACATTATACTGGCCTTTTACCAGGAGATAAACTTTTGGAAGTTAATGGAAGTCCTGTGTCGGAAAAAAATAGAGATGAAATCATTGATATGATTAAATCATCGGAAACTAGTATTACTGTTAAGGTATTTTTATTTAATTTGTATTCAGTTATTTAAATATTGATTGATTTGTATTAGTGATGAAATTTTTTGACTAATCAAAAGTTAAAAGTCGAATACTTTGTGTTCTAATAGTAAAAATAGTAAAATAATAGTCATACATTTTAATAATAAAAATTCAAATTATTCAATTACTTAAAATTACAAAATTAAATTATTTTGACCTCAAGGTTTTTTTAAATTAACACTATTAGAGTAGAGAATATTCAAGCTCTAATTTTCGAATACCAAATAATTTCCTTTCTATAATTGCAAATAAAAATTTTTTTTACATTTTTTTTTAGGTGGAACCAGCTATGGAGCTTTATGAGCTAAGTAATAGCTACTTGAATAGTCAAACAGCTGAAAATTATTTAGTAAGTAGATTTTAAGTCTTAAACTATACTAACATGGAATAGCCTAGTTAGTTTTTTTTCAAAATACTTGCCAAATATTACAGATTTGGGTATATTTTTAAATGTTGCAAAAATGTTAATAAAATGTGTGTGGAAGTATAGTATTATCTACACACGTTAAAAATCCAAAAAAATATTACTATGTGGAGTGAATCAACCGCCGACAGGTATTTGAAGATAACCCTAATCGAATCCACCCCAATACTAAAAATACAATTTTAAACACATTTTTGTATTTAAAATGCTTTTATCAATATTTAATATTTCTACCATCTACAGATTTTCGCATTAAAGAATTTATTTGAAGGTGATTTTATAACTTTCAGTTAAAATAATTCTCGAAAAACCTGTGATCTTCCTTATCCAAATATGCTTGACCCCACTATGCTACCACCCCTACATAACTGGAATTTTTGACATTTTTATGTCTTTGCTAGGCACACTCCTGGAAAATCGACACCGCTTATCATAACGAAAAAACCGACACCGACACTGGTTATCATAACAAAAAATAACAGCTGAATTATCTGATAAGAGAGATAAGAGATAAGGGAAGGAGATAGGGGTGAGAGTTAGGGGGTAAGATATGAGGGTTGGGGTTGAGAATGGAAATGGGGGGGGGGCATATATGTTGTATTCACAACGTTCAAAATAGAAATGAATAATAAATTCAATAATTTAAAGGTTGTACATACCTAGGTTACCATGGTTGTGGTTACTTACGTTACCACGGTTGTGGGTACTTACGTTACCACGGTTGTGGTTATCTAGGTTACCACGGTTGTGGTTGACCAGATTACTATGGTTATGGTTACCTGTGTTACCATGGTTGTGGTTACTTAGGTTACCATGGTGTCGGTTACCTAGATTACCACGGTTGTTACTAGTTACCGGTGTGTTGTTACCATGGTTGTGGTTGCTTACGTTACCATGGTTGTGGTTATCTAGGTTACCACGGTTGTGGTTGACCAGATTACCATAGTTATGGTTACCTATGTTATTATGGTTGCGCGTTACCACAATTTTGGTACCTATGTTACCATGGTGTCGGTTACCTAGATTACCCCGGTTGTGGTTACCTAGGTTACCACGGTTGTAGTTAACCAGATTATCACGGTTGTGGTTAACCAGATTACCATGGTTGTGGTTACTTAGGTTACCACAATTTTGGTTACCTATGTTACTACGGTTGTGGTTACTTATGTTACTACGGTTGTGGTTAAATAGATTACCAAGGTTGTGGTTTTTAGTATCATTATTATTTTTTGGTTTACATTACGTAAAACAACGAAAAAAATAACAGTTAAAAACTGAAATAGGGGACTAAAATTATTATTAAAAAGTCCTTCGAGGGGGCTCAACTTGAGTTCCATCTATTCAAAAAAATTAGAAAACATTGTCTATCTGAAATTTGAGAAAAGTTAGTGGCTGTTCTTTTAGAAATTGTATTAATGAAGGCTGAATTAGTCCGATAAAAAAATTAACTTCCATTAACGACCATCCTCTTTTACTATCCTATTAAATGTATAAAGTAATTTTAGATCTTATTAAAAAAATTGTTTGGAACGTTTAACATTTTGTAATAGAGTATTCATAACTACTATATTTTAAGTTTATTCCTTGTTAGTTTTACATAATATTTTCCTTTGATTCTATGGATTATATAGGTCTATATAGAGTTTATATAGAGGTCTAAATTAGGCAGAGTAGAAAACTGTAAAATAGGGATGTCATGTTTTTGTAAAACTTGAATGACTAATTTTGTTAAACTTTGTCGATTTAACACATTTAGCATAAAAATCGCATGTACACCGGATCACCGAGATTACCAAAGCGCGTAAAAAATTTTAACGAAAAAAAGTTGTTTAACGCCCATTTTATTAAATAAAAAAACTACACCCACTAAATGTAAGCAAATGTAAAGAAATGTTAACATTTTAGGTGGGAAGTCAATGGATAATTTACAAAATACTTAACTACGACATAATTTGTATTATGCCATGGACGTTAGAGTAATATTTCTTTAACACTATAGAAATTGACTGTACAATAAACAATACTTTAACAGTTAACCTTATTAGTTAGCGTGGATTGTAAAATTAGTTTTAAATTTTTTTGTAGTATTCATTATAAATACAATTTTGAAAATGACGTTTCGAACTTCGAGTATGTTTTTGTTTTAGTCATAATATAATATCGGTTTGATTTATTCTTTAAGTATGTAAACAGCTGAAGATATTGTCGTCAATCTCCATACCTACACCCACTAAGTAACACAATTATTGTAAATTTGATTAAAAAACCAACTATTTCTGTATAATTGATAACAATTTAATTTTCTCAATAAATACATATTTGTCAGAAAGAATAAATTAATATTTTAACTATCTTGCTCGGCGCAGGAAAGCAGGTGGAGTTGTGATAAAAGAAGCTAATTAGTAAGAGAGTTTTTGAATATCTTAATATAATATCGTATTTTCCCTACCGATTTATTTTATTTTATAAGGCAATAATACATACTCGTATGTAACAATGTTTAAAAAGCATAAAATCTAATCGGTAAGATGCCTGTCGGCATTAAAAATAAACCCAAATTTTCGGGTTGGGAATTAACATTGGTGGTCCTCTTGTATACGTTATTGCTTTTGTCAAAACTTATTAATACAGATTCAAAAACAACAAAGTTATTTGTTGCAAGTTGTAACAATAAACAAAATAGTGGCGGCACCAGAAATGTATACAGATAGGCCAGGCCAAGTCAGGATTTTTTTTTTATTATTGGGTTTCTATAAAATATATTTTAAATTACATTTGCCAATATAGTTTGAATACTACCAGGAACTTTTCTCTCAGCTTAGTGCTGCTCCTGTAATTCATTGTGATCGGGTAACAAATTGTACTTTAATTTGTATACACATACAAGTTTTCTTCTATTTAAAAAAAAACAAATTGTTTAAATTATTTTAGCGAGCTTAAAGTAATGAGCGGTAGGGTAAACACTGACATTGCTAACATCGCAATCGACGATTAAGCACTCAATTTTCGAAACACCAATTTATTTTTTTATTAGAAATCTTGAAAACTAACGCATTTAAAATTGCTAAATATACTCTGCTTGCTGCACAAAACCAAACAATTATTTTGACATTGAATGTGCGTAGTGTTTTTTTTTTTGATATCAAACCCCATTCTCATAACGTTATTATGACATTTTCAATTCGTTCCACGCAAGTATAAATATGTAAATAATAATAATATTGCGAGTCCTCTTTTTAATACTAATAGAAGCTTTAAACCTAACAATACAATATGTGTAATCGATTATTAGTAGCATCATCAACACCAGTGATTTGATGAAGTATAATAGGACGTATAGTAACTATCGTTGTGTTTGCTTTGGCTACTACGTGATCGTATTATGATGAGTACATGAGAATATTTCAAGGACATAGTTTGTCAGATTGCAATTTGTCTCGAGATTTTGAATTAAGAAAAAAATCAGAATATTCGATAATTTTACGTTCATAATTCGTACGATCATTACCTGTTCAACCTGGGCTATTAGCGTTGTCTTGAATAACTCGAATGACTCCGATAGGTACATCATAAATTCCATTTATAAATTTAATTTTTATTTTTTACAATTACTTCATAATAATAGCACTATATAGGAAATACTAAGTACCCGTGTTACTTTACCTTTTATCATGTAATCTTTGGAATGACTGTCTTTCAGATAGTTTCCAAAATATTTCTTTTTACAGAAGAAAGTTTACTTAAATTTTATTCGACCATTGATTATTAGTCTATACAAAACTTTATTTGTATTTTTAATGATCCTTCGATCTAGATATAAAATATTTCAAAATAAAATCAGCTTCGTAAAATTAGTATGAAGAGAATACTTAAGTGCTGAAAAATGTAGACCAGGTAGTTCAGTTTTTGACATGTAAAAAATATTTTTACACTACCAATATATCAATGGGTTTTAAATATGTTTATTTACAATTATTTGTTTGAAATTCAATAGCTTTGTTTTTTTTTATTAGTAACAACGTATTATTATTATTATGTCGTAACCTTATTATCTTCGTAGTAATAGTTTTAAAGTAATTAATACTTTAATAAAGCCGTACAAGTTGTTCTTGAAATCAGTCTGGACATCGACCTTGTCCATTGCCGGTTGCATGTTATACATTCGGTAATTTAATTTCTTTTTAAATTGTTAACGGAAATGAGGCCTACGTGATTCGTACAATATATGGTACAACCCTTCGTCACTGTTATAGTAGTGATCGGTCAGCTTGTTGTGATAGCACGTGCTCAACTGTTTGAAATCTTAGCACATCTGGTTACCGTCCGCACCCTCGTATGTTTGTAAAGCAAAGAAGAGATTGTTTTTTTCGTATACTGTAGTTGCATGCTTAGAAAATGACAAATTTGTAGATAATAGAGTATCTGAAGAATAATGTTGAACTAAAAAATGGTAAAAAAGAGTATTTATGAACACAGGCAATACAAATTGTAGAAATCATTTTATATTTTACTTCTTCTACAAAACATAGTAAGCAATTGCAAAAAAAAGTTGTTTAAAAACTTAAATAGTTAACATTTATTTAGGGTTTTTTTATCGAGCTAGAGTAATTCTCAAGTGATAATTTACTATGGTTAGCTCGCTTCTCTAGTTTCACAAATTCTAATTAGAACTTATATTACTTTATTACATTTTACACTTGATTGTATGCAATTTAATCGTTAGTTTAATTGTTATTAAACAATAAGGAGTTCGTATTTGCAACTTTATTATTGTATTGGCATCGCTGATTAGTTACCTGTTAAATATACTTTTTTATTAGCTAATAATCAATTTAAATACCTGATAAAAAAATAGTTGATTAAATAATAAATAACACGATTACGGTATGTTTAGTTTATTGTTTATTTTTTATGACCAAACTTGT